CAGATATAGTTTCGCTCATGCGCCAGGCCTTCCAGCCAGCCGCTGCGCATACGGTAGAGCGAGTAGAGACATGAACTTCAATCAACCCACTTTACTTATTGTCGTCACCTTCAATTAAAATCAAATAGAAGATACGTTTGCATTTTGCCTGGTGTAGAATCGAACTGCGTGGCGCAATGTCGGCCAAAACAGAAGCACCGGTCTTGGCACTCGTAATAACTTAGCTCATTTACTTTTTCCCCAAGCTCTCATCTTCATCAACTTTAGACCATCCACATTCACAATGCTTTCTCTTCGCACAATTACCCGCTCTATCCCGCGCACTTTCTCGCGCTCCATTGCCACTTCGGCTCTGCGCCCAGCGTTCCCCAAGCCTGCCCTGCAGTCCTGGAAGCAGGCCACTAAGCCCGCCTACGCTGCCTTTTCTACATCCAGCATCTTTAAGGCCCCTTCATCCGAAGGTAAGATGCGTTCAATTCTATTTGAAAGAGTCCGCCGAGATCCGATCCAGTCTGGCGAACTCTGTTTGTGACTTTGCGCTGATTTTGGATTTTCTTATCTTTTTTACAGTCGACATCGACCTCCTCGCCAAGCTCGAGGATGAGCTGAGACACGAGAAGTCTTCCGAGATCCCCGAATTTGAGGAGCAACAGGAAGCCATCGATGATGTTGTCAAGAATGGCGAGTGGCAGGTGAAGGATGTTGCCGGCGAACAGGAGGTGATCCTCACTAAGAAGTTCGGCACCGAGAAGTACGATTCATACAACTCCATTCTGCTTTTTCTTTTCTCCAATCTCGATTATGAATGCTAACATAATAATTGTCTAGCATCCGCGTCAGCTTTACCGTCGCCGATATCCAGAACATCAGCGAACAGGAGGACTTTGACGACGCCTCCCTGACCGACGAGATGGACTTCCAGAACCAGTCTCGCGGCCAGGATGCCGAGGCCTCCGCCGAGGACCTCGAGCACCCCGAGCCCAGCTTCCCTGCCCGTGTTACCATCACCGTTGAGAAGCCCAACAACGGTGCTCTTCTCATCCAGACCGTTGTCCAGGATGGTGTGTTCCAGATCGAGGAGGTCTCCCACTTCGCCAAGGCCGAGCTCGCCCAGTCCCTGACTGCTGAGAAGGACTGGGCTCGCCAGAGCCTCTACGCCGGCCCCCCCTTCGAGAACCTCGATGAGGACCTCCAGGGTCTCTGGGACCGCTACCTCGAGGACCGTGGCCTTAACGCCGAGTTCGCTAACATGGTTCCTGACTACATCTCCGTCAAGGAACAGAAGGAGTACTTGCGCTGGTTGGAGAGTACGTCTTCCTTTCTTTAAAATGTCTCCATAATTTGTGCTAACAATGCCTCTCTCCTTTAGCCGTCAAGAACTTCATTGGTGCTTAAATTAACTCCCCCCATTTAACATTTGGCTCATTTCCCCTTAATCCTGTTGGATATGCTTCTTGATAATAAGAAGTTTGCCTGATACGGCAGTACCACTCTTGTACCTCCATACACGGTCTGCTTCAGCGCAACTACTTGTGTGACTTTATCTGTACCAATATTTCTAAAATACAATCACTTCACTTACTATATGGGCTATACTCCCACTCTAGCTTACTTTACACATAGTTGACGAATTGGCAAGTTTCACAGCTGAGTGATCATATTCGTTCGATAGATTCAAATAAGAAAAAGGTAATATATTTGAGAACACTCTTCTAACAAATGACTCGGTTCCATGCAGAATAAACCCCAACTCCTCGAAAACGCAATCCCTTGATATAAGTGCAAATGGAAATGGGTGGAGGTAATTAACACAAAACATAAAGTCATAATCCTATGAGGCAAAGTGGGCAAAGGGAACAAACATGAACATGGTGCGGCTAAAATTCCATAGGATCGGCCTTGACAGCATGACCACTGTCGTCGCGTTCACGCTTGCCAGCGCGCTCTTCCTTTATGAGGCCTGCGATGAAGGAACGGAAGAAATCAATGTAAGGTTTCAGACTGGTCTTTTCATAGTCCTGCACCTTACGACCACCCTTCATGTCGGAGCCATTCACTGCACTGCCTTCAACATCAGGGATATCTGCCTCCGCTGTGCCAGCAGGGTGTTTTGCGTCATATTCATCAATCTCAGCGAGGAGATTCATTACCGTCGGGACAGTGAGAGGATCGAAGTTTTCGGCATTGTGGGGGTCAATGGGAACACAGATACGACCAGTACCAGGGTGAATGACGAAAGGACTCTTGAGCAAATGGATCATCTTCTTGCTGACCTCGGCATCGAGGCGTGGGTAGGTGTATTCCAAGACAATATCTTGCTTGGCATCTCGGAGCGTCGCTGGGTTGAGCGTGCTGCTCTTACCGGTCTTGGCGAGTGAATCGATATCCGCCCATTTACTGGTGCTAGCACGATCAGGAGATGAGTCCCATTTCCTCCGTAGGGATTCGTTCAGTGTCTTGTCAGGTAGCAAGGACAGAAGGCGTTCTGCCTGCTCGGCGGATTCAAATGTGTCTTGGTCACAAAGTGTGGTTCTGGCAAAGTCATGTTTGAGCAACTCAAGACTGCGTACAATATGGGGGTGTAGTGGCCGTTTGATGTTGACTTTCTTTCCGCTCTGTGACCCTCCGCGGATGATTTCGAGATAACCAGCAATAGCTCGGCGTCGATCATCGGGTAGATTGCGCGCACGGGGATCGCATACCCAGGCGTGAGCACCACGACGGCCCGAGTAAACCCAGAGGATGTGTTCAAACCCAAAGTCCTCCCGTAGTGCGGTATCAATGACCTTGATTGCCATTGTCACAAATGACCAGCACTTAGCGCATATATTTGCTTTGACACAACATGTACGGATGTCATCATAATCAGTCAAATCAATATCAAAAACTAACTCCTTAGAGACTGGCTTCATTTGACCGCCTCGTAGGGTTTTGCGATCGCGTGGGTTGGTGCTGTAGACAGGTCCGATTTCAAAACGAGAGGGGTTCATCTTAAGTATGTCTTTCCGAAACCTAAGAATATGCGTCAGTTGACAGGAGATTCGACTATAAACTCGAGAGGGGTCGTACAGGTCAGCCGTTGGATATGATTGGTATCGGAGATAGGCATCATTTTGCAGTGTTAGTGCAAATTCTCGGTTGCCAAAGTCTTTTGTTGGTATAATTCCATGATTCAGCCATTGGAAAAGGTATCGGAAGGGGAAAAGGCGTTGATAGAAGGCGAGCATGACATCTGGGTCCACACCCGAGGGTGTGGGTGCTGGAGGCCTGCGAGCTTTCGGTCAGCAGTCAAATCCAAACATCTAGGAGAGCTTAGTGCTCACTCTTCCTTTCCTGGAGATTCCATCTTCACATCTCCAGAAGCCGGGAACTCCTCGTCATCGTCATCATCGTTGAACATATCTTCGAGCTTGACATTAGGTTCAGTCGAGGTTGCGACCGGGGGGGCATCCGGCATCTCGTCGTCATTTTGCACAGAGCCAGATGATATGGAGTGAGGCATTGTGGGCGAGTCTGTTGGGCTAAACAACGTTGGAAATACTGCAAGTCTCTCTGGGGCTTAATTGAACCCAAACAGGAAGGCGCGTCGCGCGTCGCGCGTCGCACGCTGGTTCGTGCACGCGCCCTAAGCCCTATGTCACGTGATGTTCTCAAATGGGACTGCAATCTATGAACGAAAACGGATTCGTTACCTCAAACCTGTTCCTCACATTTACTGGGGAGAGCCCTGACTAGTGGAGAACTCAGTCGCAAGATGCTAGGGTACTATGTTCATCCCCTTTCCGCTTGCGACCAAAGTCTCTGCAGTACCTCACTGCTGTACCTCTCATCTATCAGGACCCTTGGATGACATCTGGACTGCCCTGCCGTTCCAAGAAGAACAAAAGAACGAACGGGCGTGTAGGCTACACAGATTGGTTGAAGTCCCCCTGAGCCAATTTTCGATGGAGATCACATTGTTATTGTGCGGCTAAAGCGCCATCTTCACGCAGTTGAGATGGCCTAACACAACGCTGGATTGAGATGTCCCCGTCATTGATTGTCGGTTCTCATGTTACGGTGGGCCATATCCGGATTACTCTCTCCAAAGGAGATGCCTTGTGAGGGTGCTGGAATCTTCTTGCTACGGGTATACTTCGAATCCACGCGTACATTCTTTAAAAGTGACACCTACCAATGGAACGTCCATACACTCCATCGGATGTCATTCCCACATTCTAGAGAGCCAATGAAACACTCCTGGTCGTCTTTGGGGATTTTTGGCTGCTTCTGGTCGACTTGTTTAATGTTCTCACTGGAAGGCCATGCGATTCTGTGCGGTTCCCGACCCCATTTAGAGGAGCCTCGTATCAGTTGTGGTCCCGTTCAAATTTGATAGCCCAAAAATCACACCATCGACCACATCCAGGGTCGGAGGTGTGATGGCTACTGTTCTGCTAACTCTGGACCGGATGGTCCTTCTGCTTGCCATTCAATCCGAAATATACGTATTCCTGCACAATCATTAAGCGGTTTTCTCTGTCGAAATGAAATAATATGCAGTCAAGCCAGTAATTTGCTCACTACATTCGTGGATTGTGAGAGACCTGGAGGATAACCAGGTTCCTGTGTTTTTTCCGCATTAGGTTACCCTGGTGGATTAAGATGAAGACCCCCTGCACTACTTATCCCAACGATACTACAGTCTTTCCGTTTGCGTCTAATGTGCCAGACAAATGTATCACTGCGCCAAGTTTTGTCCAATGGCCTTGCATCTGTGCCTTTTCATTCATCGGTCAGCTAACCTAGTACCTGCATTCGGGCTCATATGGTCACATTGTGAATCAGGTCTACCTTTTTGTCCTGGACACGACCGTGGCAACTATGTCCGTCATGACTTGGAACCAGTCTTCTCAAAAGGACATATAAGATCGTTCATGTCTGTCCATCATTCAAAATTTTTATTATCAACTCTTCACTCGTTATCTCAAGTCTGTTTGTTAAGACTTTGATCTCTCGAAATGATCAACTCCGTTGCTCTTCTGGCGCTTGCCAGCCCGGCATTTGCTGGGATCATGCAGGCTCGTGGCGAGCAGTTCGTTCGTCCCGCTGCTCAGAGCTCTGCTGCTGTCGCTGCCCCTGGCCAGGCTGAGGGCTGGGGCGAGAGCTGGTCTAAGCCGGCCGAGCATGTCTCGACCGCCGAGCATGTCTCGACTCACGACTCCTGGAGCAAGTCCACCGAGTCTAGTGAGTCGTGGACCACCCCGTGCACCACCTCGACCACCCCGGTGCACGAGCATACCACCACCCACCCGGTGCATGAGCACACCACCACCCACCCGGTGCATGAGCACACTACCACCCACCCGGCGCATGAGCACACCACCACCCACCCGGTGCATGAGCACACCACCACTACTCCGGGGCATGAGCATACTCCCACTACCCCATGCACTACCTCGACCACCCCGGTGCACGAGCACACCACTACCCCGGTGCCTGAGCATACTACCAGCATTCCGGTGCACGGTAACACCACCACTCCATGCACCACCTCGACCACCCCGGTGCACGAGCACACCACTACCCCGGTGCCTGAGCACACTACCAGCATTCCGGTGCACGGTAACACCACCACTCCATGCACCACCTCGACCACCCCGGTGCACGAGCACACCACTACCCCGGTGCCTGAGCACACTACCAGCATCCCGGTGCACGGTAACACCACCACTCCATGCACCACCTCGACCACCCCCGTGGCTGAGCACACTACTATCCCGGTGCACAACACCACTGCGATTTATGAGCCCACCACTAAGCCTCACGTTCCTGTGAAGCCTGGCACCACCAAGACGCTCACTTACGTGACCACTACCTGCCCTGGTAAGCCCTAGAATTTCTAAAAAGTCGTACCACTTAAACCGCACGTTCTAACAATACCTCAGTCACCTCGTCTACCATCACCTCCGGCTCTAAGACCTGGACCGTTCCCGTCACTGGAACAAGCACTATCACTATCACTAAGACTACTGTCTGCACCCTGTGCGAGAACGAGAAGCCTTTGACCTTCTACAATGCTACTCAGCCAGCCACTGAAGGCCCCACCGCAGGCCCTACTGCTCCCGTTCTGAAGCCAACCGGAGATGTCGTTGTTCCCCAGAAGCCCGGTCACTCTAAGCCCGCTGAGAGCTACCCTGTCGAGACCAAGCCCGCCGAGACCAAGCCTGTCGTCCCCGCTGAGACCAAGCCCGTTGAGACCAAGCCTGTCGTCCCCGCTGAGACCAAGCCCGTTGAGACCAAGCCTGTCGTCCCCGCTGAGACCAAGCCCGTTGAGACCAAGCCCGTCGTCCCCGTTGAGAGCCACCCTGCTGAGACCAAGCCTGGTGTCCCTGCCGAGACTCAGCCCGCTGTCCCTGCCGAGACCAAGCCTGGTGTCCCTGCCGAGACTCAGCCCGCTGTTCCTGGCGAGACCAAGCCTGCCGTCCCTGCTGAGTCCAAGCCTGGTGTCCCTGCCGAGACTCAGCCCGCTGTCCCTGGCGAGACCAAGCCTGCCGTCCCTGCTGAGTCCAAGCCTGGTGTCCCTGCCGAGACTCAGCCCGCTGTCCCTGGCGAGACCAAGCCTGCCGTCCCTGCTGAGTCCAAGCCTGGTGTCCCTGCCGAGACTCAGCCCGCTGTCCCTGGCGAGACCAAGCCTGCTGTCCCTGCTGAGTCCAAGCCTGGTGTCCCTGCCGAGACTCAGCCCGCTGTTCCTGGCGAGACCAAGCCTGCTGTCCCTGCTGAGTCCAAGCCTGGTGTCCCTGCCGAGACTCAGCCCGCTGTTCCTGGCGAGACCAAGCCTGCTGTCCCTGCTGAGTCCAAGCCCGGTGTCCCTGCTGAGACTCAGCCCGCTGTCCCTGGCGAGACCAAGCCTGCCGTCCCTGCTGAGTCTAAGCCTGGTGTCCCTGCCGCGACCCAGCCCGCCGTCCCCGGTCACTCCCAGCCTGCTGAGGGTCACCCTGCTGAGTCCAAACCCGGTGTTCCCGCTGCCTCCAAGCCTGCTGAGGGCCACCCCGCTGAGACCAAGCCCGCTGTCCCCGGTCACTCCCAGCCCGCTATCCCCAACGAGTCCCAGCCCTCTGCCAACCCCTCCACCCCCGAGGTGCCCTCCACCCCCGAGGAGCACGGTGTCTCTCCCTCTTCCAACGACTTCACCGGTGCTGCCTCCAGCGTCAAGCCCGCTGCTGGCCTCCTTGCCGGTGTTGTTGCTATCATGGCTCTTCTGTAAATCAGATGAGACCCATCGACAACCCATCCATCTCTTCATTGAGATCTGGATTCCTCTCGGTTCCTGACCTCTCTGGTCTTCAGTGGTGCGGATCAGAGAGGCCTCATGGTACCTTTAATGTTTGTGTGATTGCCTGGCCTTTGCTCTGCTTGGAATTTCTCCTCCTGCCCTTCACTAACAAGGTTGGAGGATTGAAGAAGAACGGTCGCTTGGTCATTTCGAGATTTCTTTTTGTTTTGCCTGAGTTGATTCAAACATACTAATAGTAATATAGTGTCTTTATTGCTTGGATTTTTTGACTCATTGTATCTTTTAAGATCTTACTCGTCTTAGATAGCATTCGCATTGAATCAAAAGTCAATTTATCTTGTTTTTAAAAAAATTCCTCAAGGACTTCGTAGTTGGACACATCTAACTCCTTTTCCTTGCTCGTTAGTACACTCGATATTCCCAAATCTGTAGTTCTGGTTTTTATCTCTCACAGCAACTAACATTAGCCCTAAGTCTAGAAAGCTTCGAAAGCAACGACTACGCCCGATACACAAGAGTCTTATTATTCGTAAATTTGATTCTCTTATTCACTAGTCCTGACCGGTTTGCATACTTGTGCTATACTCACTTGATTCATTTGCATGGTCTATATTTGAACTTTTGATATTGACTATGTATGTAATAACAAAAACAGACACTTATTTAGGTAGAAGAGAGAACATAGTAAACCCCAAGGTTCAAAACCCTTCTATACTACATCAAGTTTTTTCTCAGCTTGCACACAATCCACCCTCCACCAGTTGAACCTCTCGAGTTCAACCCGTGACACGTTTTGTTCCTCTTGCCGGGTTACAAATCTACCGCAAACCCTGCAGCTCCTGCTCGAGCTCCGCCTTGACAATCTCCTTCACACCTTCCCACCCAGCACTCGCGCCGACGGGGGGTGACTCGGCTCTCACGCTGCTCCAGACCAATGAACTCTTGGGGCAAGATCTCAGTGAAGTCGTAACCATCCTCTGAACGCAGAGCAAGGTCCACAGCACCAGCAAACTTAGCCGGATGGGCAGTGGACAGAGAGATATGGACAGCATCAGGGTTACGTGCCAAAGAGCGGCGCGTGGCAGCAACTCCAACAGCAGTGTGAGGGTCAAGGATATAGCCACCGGTCTTGGAGCTCTTGGCGGAGCCGGGACCAAGACCCTTGGGGAAGGAGGTCTGGTAAATATCACGGATCATAGCAATAGTCTCCTCGTTGCTAACACGCTCACTCTCGAAATCAACCTTGGCGGCCTCGAGAACGGCGCTGGGGACTTGGAAGCCGCCCTCTGTCTTGAGCTGGTTCAGCCACCCGCTGACACTTTCGCAGGCGTGCTTGCGGCGCTCGGCTTCGCTACCGTTGGCTGTTTGGTAGGAAAGGAACCAGAGGAGACGCTCGAAGTTGCTGCTAACGAGAATGTCCATGGCTGGACTGTGAGTTTCCTTTACACCGTGGTCGGAGGGGGCATCGAGTGCCTTCTTGGTGTAGTGGCCACCGCTGCGGAAGAAGCGGTCGAGAATGTCGTTGGCGTTGGTGGCAATCACCAGTTTCTCGATGGGAAGACCCATCTGCTGGGCGAACCAACCAGCAAGGATATCGCCGAAGTTACCGGACGGTACGACCACTCGTACCTTGGAATCCTTGGAGAAGGAAGCGGTCTTAGTGAGAGAGAAGTAGGAGTAGAAGAAGTAGGTAATCTGGGCCAAGATTCTGGCCATGTTGATACTGTTGACCGCGGCGATGTTGTGGGTGGAGTTGAGGTCTTCATCAGCGAAGAGCGCCTTGACGATATCCTGGCAGTGATCGAAAGAGCCCGCAACAGTGAGGTTGTGAACATTAGGGTCCAAGATAGTCGTCATTTGCTTTTCTTGGATCGGTGAGACTCGGCCGCCATCGGGGAACAGAATAAACACCGAGACATCTTTCTTGCCGCGAAGTCCATAGATAGCCGCTGAGCCAGTGTCGCCGCTAGTGGCACCGACGACGGTCAGGTGGTGTCTGTCCTTCCCGGTCTTTCCAGCGTTCTTTCGAACAAGGAAATACTCGAACAGGTTTCCGAGGAAGCTGAGCGCAACATCCTTGAACGCAAAAGTCGGGCCGTGGAATAGCTCTAGCAAATAGAGGTTCTTTTCGAGAAGGACGGAAGGAGTGCGCTCGGGATGACGGAAAGTCGAGTATGACTTATAGATAATATTCTTAAGATCTTCTCGGGGAATCTCATCCGTAGAGATATAGAGCGACATGATTTCAAGCGCCAAATCCTCGAAGCTCAGATCCCGCCATTCGGTCTCCCACGACTGAGGGAGTCTAGGCATCTCCTCAGGGATGAAGAGACCTCCATCCGAGGCCAGGCCTTGAAGAACAACATCTTCAAAGGATCTCTAGAGAGACAGATTGGTTAGTAACGTGTTTGCACTGAATAGTTATTTTTCGACTCACTCCGGACTCAGCCCCACGAGTACTTAGGTATTGTTGTGAGAGTGTAGGAGACATGGTTAGAAAGTCAATTGACTCAAAGAAATTCCTTGAACCCGCAGTAGAGAAGAAGAGAGGCGGAATGATTCATCCCACCGCGGGGGAAATATGAGTGTCCCAAAATGGACTAGTGCCTCCGAGAACGGCCTTCACGTGCATGATTTCATTGGCTGACATCTATACAGTGCCCAGGTGTTTTATCTTCAATCTTCAATCGTTCTTCATGGGCTCATCTCTATATTCAAATCTCGTTCTAATCATCTAATTACACGGCTTTGCTCATAATTACTCGTTGACTAGCACGTATCTGTAACGGGCCTTGCCATCCTCCATATCCACAATCGCCTTGTTCGCATCCTTCATCGGGATTTCCTCCACCCAAGGGCGAATTCCCTTTTCGGCAACAAGTTGGAACATCTCCCGGATCTCACTGGGGCTACCAACGAGGGAGCTCTGCAGCTTGATGCGGCGCATCAAGCTTCGAACAGGAGCAAACAGTCCACCATCCTCAGGAAGACCGACCTGTACAAAAGATCCACCAGTCTTCAAAAGGCCCAGGTAATCGTTAAAAGGCATCTTAGTAGACGACACAGTGGAAACAATCAAATCCAAAGACCGAGCATGAACCGTAGCCCAGTCAGTCTCATCATCAGTGGCAATATAAAGATCTGCTCCCATCTTCAGCGAATCCTCCTTCTTAGCCATCTTCCGTGAGATAGCAACAACCCGATCAGCCCCCATGGCCTTAGCAAACAGCAAGCCAAAGTGACCCAGGCCTCCAACGCCAATAATTCCAACGCGCTTGCCAGGACCACAGCCATTGTGCTTGAGCGGGCTGTACAGAGTGGCACCGCCGCACAGCATAGGGGCAGCATCGGCCGACGAGATAGCATCGGGGATCTTGATGGCAAAGTGGCCAGGCACTCGGTTGTACCGCGCATAACCGCCGTACGACTTACTGCCGTCGTAGTGGATGCTGTTGTACGTGCCGACGACCTTCTTGCTGCAGTAGTTCTCCATACCGGATGCGCATTCTTCGCAGTCGCCTAGGCGGCCGAGGCAGGACTCGCTCTGGGCGCCAACTCCAACACGGTCGCCGATTTGGATGTCGGATACCTTGCTGCCCACGCGCACGGCTGTACCGACGATTTCGTGGCCTACACAGCAGGGGTAGGTGGTGGGTCTCTGTGGCGAATGTTAATTTTTCCCCTTTCTTTCTATGGGGATGTTGAAGGTTGTATATCGGCGAGTTTTCCCATACCGAGATGAGATCTCGCTAATACAAACGAGGGACATACCCAGCCACTCCGGAGAGTGTGTAAATCAGAACCACAGATGCCGCAGTGAGAGATTTTGATATCAACGTCGGTCTCCTCCCACTCCTTCGGCTGAAATTCTTGCCATACCATGTTACCCTCGCCGGCGCTAGGGTCGAGACCCATCCAGCCTTCGAATTTGTAGTCTGGTTGCGCCATGTTGTGATTTGGGAGAAATGTTCACTGTACACATCTTTCCCGAGGGTCTGCCCCATTTATATCTCTTGGAAGCGGGCCACGTCCGAAGTCCCACTCGGCTTTGCACACTGGAAACTTCGGTCGATGGATACATAATTGGTAAGCAGGCTTCTTCGATGGATCCGTTTGAAGATTCGGACTTGTAAGAGCCTAGAAAATGTGCGGTTTAACTTGTAGGCCTATAAACTCAGAGACAGTTTGTTCGCTGATATCTTAGCATCTACATCCATTCCTAATTTTGACAGGCTCTGCTTTGGTGATACAGCTTGATTGAGCCACGATATACTTATTTAGATGGCATATTTAGTTGTCTGATCATTGCCTCGGTATATACGGAGTACATATATATATATGCTTTGCTTTTATTTCTGTGGAGCTGTGGCTTGCATGAGCCAATTTATAGCGCAAGTCTATTTGCATCTCTTCAATGAATGTTGAAAGGCCGTGTATAAAAACGTGTAGTGTGGCTGTAGATGTCTCTCAGGTTTTACACTACAAAGCTTGGCTGCATCGCCAAGATATGCCTAATCCAAGTCCAAAAATATCACAATAAGGGAAAATGATATTCGAGGCGGAAATGTACAGGCCTTTTGAAGTCCGTTTAGGTAGAAATGCAAGCAAAATTAAACAAGTAAAAGAAAAAAACACCAATCTATCTCGGTCAGTTCAGATCCTCGCTTGCGAAAAACACCTGGATATAACATTGGCCGGTAAGGTCGGCTAGACGCACTTGGATATACCATCAATGCCACTGCTCTAGAAGAGCGACAAAATGTCGTCGTTGGATTTCTTGGACTGGTTGTTTTGAGAGGGGCCCGCATTGCCGGAGAGATCCAGACCAGAGAATCCGTTCATGAGATCGGCACTGCCACCAGCGCTCGACGAGGGTTGAGCGGCTCCGGAGTCTCCGAACACTCCTAAGAGATCATCTAGGTTGTTGCTTGCTTGGGTTGTCGGGGCACCAGCTGCAGGGGATGCTACCCGTACGGGAGTACCAGCCAGACCCTCCAGGCCGGACATGCCGCCGGAGGGCTCGGTTTGTGCGGAGGCAGGAGCACCGCCGTCGAAATCGATGTCCAGCAGGTTCTCGACGTTGTTTTGCGCCTGTGCAGGGGCTGTGGTGCCGCCAGCGGCAGCGGCAGCAGCCGCGGCCAGTGGGTTCTCGCGCGCGTTTTGGATTTGCTCCCTGTGGATTCGTCAGCAACATGGTCAAGGAACAATGGACATTGAATACGTACTCGATAGCAGCGCGCATGACGGCGTCGGCACCGAATCGGCCGTGACCGACAAACTGCTCGGGGGGCTTGTGGTAGACGGAAGAAAGAGTAGACAGTTCGGAAAGGAGTTGGTCGAGAAGTGCTGGTGGCAGTGAGTGGATGGTGGTGACAATGGGGGGCTTGTCTGAGAGCACAATGTTCTTTGTTGCGTTTGGATCGCTGGTGTTGGACAGAAGACGCCAGTAGATATATGCTCGGTCCCGGACATCTGGGTTATCGTTCTCGGATGTCGCAGCCTGGAGGACCCGCTGCACCAAGCCCTGTGCCTTCTCGGGCCGCTTAAGGAAGAGTTTGACCACAGCTGTGAGGATTTGCAATTGGGTCTAGATATAGAGGTTAGTCAAGATCGTAGCATATACCAGGAGGGAAGAACAAACCGAAGAGAATTCTTCGTTGAAACCATCCACAAAGCCACCCAAGATATCACCGGCGTTGCTAATCTTCTCGGCATACTCTCCAACGATCCAGATGAGTGCCGCTCTAGCATTGGGCTCATCCAACTCATCAATGCACTGGCATAAAGTAGGGATTATACCTTCATAGCCGGGGTATTTCCGGAAAATGTCCTTGATGACAACGATCGCTTCCTGAACGACGTAGTTCACCTTGGTGTTGATAAGATCCAACAACGTGTTAACGCACCGCTCGCTGGCGCTCTCAATCTTGATGGCAACTTGACCGATTGCCTTGACAGCTCGGCGGACAAAGTCCATGTCGACTTCAAGGGCATACTCCTTCAGTTCAGCGAGAAGCTGGTCCACATTGCGGTCGTTCGCTATGCGCACCATGATCTCAAGTTTCTGGAATTTGACATATGGTGGGTCGTTGTATTTGCAGAAGAAGACACGAAGTTCTTTGTTGAGAATGTCAGGCTCCTTCTGCAGCAGAAGGTCGATATTTCTTAATGCAACATATTGCACTTCGGGGGCTGACGAAACCAATGTAACTATATGACATTAGCAAAAACAAGTGTAATGAGAGCAGCGATGGCGCATACCTAATGGCGGAGCCATCTTCTTTAGGTAAGTCTTGGACAACTCAGGGCTGACATTTTTCATGTGTAGGAACACAGCCTTGACTGCCGCAAGAACCACACCGGCATTGACATGCTGGAACTGAGGAGCGACTCTTTCGCAAATGTGCTCCGACTCCTTCACGTCGGAAGTCTTGTACTCTGCCAAAGTTGAGAGAATGGTGACACGCCCCCATTCCGTGCACTCGTTCAAAGCCATCAGCATCTTCCGTAGCGAGTTGGTAGTAATCTGTAGAGCCTGCGTCTCCGGTGCTGTATGATGAATCTCCTGGAGTGCAGTCACCGAATTGGCGACAACCATGGGGTTTGGGTCTCCAATCATCTCCTGGAGCGTCTCCAAGAATCCGTTCTCGATGGCCATTGTCGGGTTCAGATCGAAAAGCTTGGCCACACAGATTGCAGCGGTCTTGCGTACATACGGTGACTCGTCTCGGAGAGTCTTGCGCAGCGGTTCTTCCATGTAGTCCACCATCTTCTCCACCCGAATACAACCCATTGTGCGGATTGCCAGCGCCCGAATCAGTGGGTTGGGGTCTTCCGAGTCTTGTACGAAGGTATTCACGGCGAGAATACATAGATCAGGGTGCGACTTGGCGTAGTTCCTGAAGGTGAGATTCGACTGATTAGCATACGTAGTCACCTTTAGTTGTACTGTGGTACCCACATGAGATAGAGGTAGACCAATTTCTTCTGCTCAAGGTCGGCTGTAGCAATGTTTTTCAGAACATCTGGGAACAGGGCCGAAACATCCTTTCCTAAGGTCATGGCCATAATTGTCTTTTGAATGGATTCCTTCCTGTTATATTGTCAGCTATACCACGTCTTCATCATACATTACCAGCCCGGACTGAAGGCTTCATTGCTGTACATACCGTTCATAGGCATACTGGGAGCTGTAACAATAGTTAATACCATTCGTCATTCGCTAAGGCGAGGTAACCAACGCATGGTGGAGGGGGCCGCATACACAAGTCCAGCTCGCAATTCAAACGTCTCTCCTTTCCGAGGCACCGTAAAGGCGCCGCGAATTTTGTTCATCGCCATGGCGAGGATGTATAAGCTTCAGCAACGACTAGGTCGTGCCTCCGCCTAGAGATATCGGGGATGGGAGTGAGAATGGAGTAGCGTTGGGCGACTGCGGGGGATAGGGAGCTTCGCGGTCGCGCGAGATCGGGGGATGGAATTTGTCGAGATTGTTCGTCACTTTGTTCGCAAATCCAGAAAGTAAATCAACGATCTGGGTTGGGGAGATCTGGAGGAAGAATGGGGGCGAGGAGAGAGAGAAAGGGTGTTTCGGACGATCAAAAGTTGTCCACAAATGGTGGCTTCTGGACTCTCCTCTCCCGCTTTACGGTCATCAACTCTCTCCTTGATTTTACCCTTCAATTCAGACCATCGCTGAATTTATGGTATTTATTCTACATCTGCCAAAACTGTCAAACTGCCAAGACTAACACATCTGCAGGCTAACCTCCCTAACTTGCGACGCCTCTTTGTGGAGGCCAGGACGGAGGCGGAGGAGAACGAGTACTCGCGAAAGGCTGTATGTCATTGGACCACTTCAGTGGAATTGATAGTGCTAACAAGTCTAGTTCTACAACCTTGTCCTCTTCATCTCTTCTGTTGCTATTTTCAGCTTGACTGCCCAGCGTATGAGTGGACCGAAAGCTGGGCGATGATGCTGACCCGGATTGCCATATATTTGGACATGAAGTCTGGAGTATGAAATACAAAGACGCAAAATGCAATTTCCCGGCAGCCCAGCCGCTGGTTCGACGAACTGCTTTATTACGAGCCCTATGTGATTGTATCTATCAATCAGTCTCTTCGCCCTCGCTCTCTAAGAACGCAAGCGACTGTCGCCCCCGATTCTGTCTACGCCGAGGCTTTGAATCATCGTCATTCTCCTCATCACTCTTAGCTCCCCATTGCTTTGCGCCTTGCTGGATCTGCTCTAGATCCGCTTTTAGCTCCCGTTCTTCACGGATCTGGTTTGCCTTCTCTTGAGATGGCCGGCCAGTCATGCCAGCATCCTCCAGCATCCCTTTCAGATGCTTGATTTTGGCCTTCGGGGTATCATACGGCGCCAGCTCTTTACCCCATAGCTTACGGATCCCACACTTGATGAGCCATCCTTGCAGTCGTTTGATTTCAGCTTGGTCCGGGCTGATATCCCCATCTTTGGCTTTGGGGGCTTTCTTCGTTTTGGCTGCATTTCCCACGGCACTTTTCTGTCGCTTGCGAGGCGCCTTAGGCTGAGGCTCTTCGTCAAGCACCACCGACATCTCGCTTTCAGAATTATCTTTCGTATCTCTGACTGGTCCAGCGGCATTCGAAATGTCATCGGGAACATCGGAAGCATCTGATGCTTCGTTCGTGGGAGGCTTTCGTGCGGATCCCTTCTTCACTGGCGACTTCTTCAATGCCGACTGTTTCACTGGCGCTTTCGATCGTTTCTTCGACTTTGTGACATCATCGTCACTCTCATTACCGGATAATTCAGAAGCGTCTGGCATGTCTTTCTTGGGTTTCTGTATTGAGGGCTTCTTCATTGGCGACTGCTTCACTGGCGCTTTGGATCGACCCTTAGGCTTTGTGACCTCGTCACTCTCGTCTGACGGAGCTGATAGCTCAGCTTCTTCATCGGACATCGGCGTCATAGTCTTCTGGCGCTTCCTAGAATTTGGCGCGGTCGCGGACTTTGCTCGCTTTGCAGGGGCAGCAGGCTTGGGCTTTGGAAGAGGAGAGGCTTGGGATTGTGGATTTTGTATCGCCTGATCTTGTAGTTCCTGTAAAAGTATCACGATCAGTGTTTTTTCCTGAAGCTGCTTTGAAGCTACCGAAGGAGCACTGTAAAGGCAGAGAGAGACCCACCACCTCTTCTTTGATTATATTCTCACTCCGCGCCTTCCAATCGCCTGTAGTCTTGAAGTATCCCGCCGTGAGACCTAGTGTAGCTTCCACCGCAAGTCGTACGCGCTTCACGGTCAATTCCTCCATATTCCCTGACTTGAAGATTGCAGCCACTTGGTCGCGAAGGCCCTTCTCAAGGACCTGGTCGGAGGGGGCGCTGGGCACCTCACCCTCAGCTTCAGAGTCAGAGTCGGACATTGTATACTTCGGCGGCATATTGATATTGCCTTAGGGCGATTGAAAAGTGTTAATGGTAAAAGGGTGAGTTGGCATCAATGATTTAGCTGCTCGGATCATATATAGATATGGAAATAAGGACCAGAAGAGCAAAGTATTGGAGGAAAGATGTTGATGTATTGCAGTCAAACTGCGAACCTGAGCGCGTCTGAGTTGAGCGCGCCGGAACGGATGACAAAGCGGGAACGAGATTGATCGGCGTCACATTCACTATGTCATTTGCACCTCTTACTCTGAAACCTCAACTTCTGGATATTGGACAGGATCAAAGCTCATTGATCCTATATCTCTCTCTCTCATATCTTTGACAGTGTCCTCTTGCTCACTGTTGCGACAAATACCCGTCACTACTATTACCTCTTTCTCGTCTCCGGTGTTTCTCCGCAATCTATTAGAAATCAACCCCGAATCAATCTCACCACTCCGAATCCTCATCTCCCGAGAAAATCAAATATTTACAAGTGAAATAATGTCTTCGGTTCCACCGGAGCAAGTCGCTAGTGAATTTAAAGGCACGGGGTCCATGTTCACCCAGCAAAACCCCGCGGCTTCTGCAAGCTCCTTCAAGCCAGCCGGGAACGATGACTCCAAAGCGCCATTGCCCAAGGGTGTAGTCCTGGACAAAGACGGGAAGCCGTACGTATATACTGCTAGAAGCGATCGACTCGGCCGGTCTACTCGGTGGACTAGGATTATAGAACAAGCTAACACACCCACCTCACAGCTGCCGCACCTGTACATCCGTCGCCTCATGGCGAGCATTGACCAAGCAAGCAGACCTCAAAAGCGCAAACTCAAACTCTACCTCTTCCAATACCTCGACTGCGGGCAAAATGACAGCCTCAATGTCCGCCCTCGCCGCCGCTGGAACGCCTTCGTCCAGCGAAAGACCCTCAGACTGCCCGCCAGACGTCGAAGAGCTAGGTCGCTCAACATGGACATTATTGCACTCGATGGCAGCTACATACCCCGAAAAGGCGGACGCAGAACACCAGGCTAACATGAGTGGATTCTTGAAGTTCTTCTCCAAGCTGTACCCGTGCTGGGTGTGCGCGGATGATTTCCGGACATGGATGGCGCATCCCAGTGGACGAAATCAGCCGAAACTGGGTAGTCGGAAGGAATTCGGATGGTGGATGTGCGAGGCGCATAATGAGGTTAATCGGAAGCTTGGGAAGAAGGAGTTTGATTGTCGACTTTGGGAGGAGAGGTGGCGGACTGGGTGGAAGGATGGTCGGTGTGATTGAGCTGTATTCTTTGGTGTCTTTAATTGGAGTGTCCTTCTCTCTACTCTTCAGTTTGGACATATCCCTTGTACATTAGATATGCATTGTTTGGCGAAGCAAAATAAATTGTACTTTTACTCCTACCCAGTAGACCTGGTAATATAAACTAAGCGACTAGAGGGATGACTGACCCTTGGTTGAGAACTACAAAGGAGGGAGCTTTTGGACAAACATGTTCGCATACAAACTAGATCGCTAAGCAATTATAATCTTGGATACAAAAAGACATCTAGACAAGGGGATTGTGTGCAGGAAGTTTTGTCTTTCTCCCAGCCGCAAAAAAAAATATGAAAAGCGCCGCCAAACACAACTTCTCCTCGTGCAGATGAAAATGTACCCGTTTTGTAACTTCATATCAGGAAGAGAGAAAAAAAGGCAAAAAACCGTTATGCTTCGTCATGCGGCAATTAAAATTGACTGGGGACGAACAAGCGCAAGCCACTGGCCGGGGCCCCGATCTCCGTAACATCCGCTATCCGATCGACACTTCCCTTATACTGGGGGTGATATTTGGCACCGGTGAAGGGGTCTGCGACACTGGGAGAGCCGCTGTAGATAGGAGTGAATGAGGCAGCGCAAATATCGAACTCGGCGAAGGGGTCGAAGTCAATATCGATCTGGTCTTGAGGATTGCGTTCGCATTGAGCTTTGATCTTCTTGGCCTGTTTCTCATGATTAGTATTTGTGTATCATAAATTAGAACATTCAATCTTAAGAGTCTTACCTGTTCCAAAAGCTTAGCGGAGCCTCCATTAGCCAGCATCCGATTGGCAAAGCTCAAGGCTGAGCCGTAGTTCTTGTTCGCAAAGGCCAACTTCATAGCAGCCATCAGTGCCAGTTGTCGGTGAGCAACCTCGAGCTTGGGGATTGTGAAGTAGGCTGAGAGCTCAAGGCTGCGCTTGAGGTTCTCAGGGGAGTCGGTGGAGAGAGTACGGCGCTCAAGCTCGATCGACATGGCGAGAATGTATTCCCGAGCAGTGGCAATGATCTTCTTTGCCTCCTCCACATCGGCTTCCGATGAGACGGTGTTAACTAGAACTGTGTGAAGAATGCGCTTGAAGATCGCTACACCGTCCTCCAGTCTGTTGGACCGCATAGCGGAATAACCCTCTTGCAGATCGACACTGGCAACTGTCTCTAGGTCTCGGGGAATGATGGGAAGCATTTTCCGAGAGTCTGTCTCATCAACAGTTCGGCGCACATAATTGACCAAAGGCGGCAGACCAGCAGTCGCCGGGAGATAGGTCTTGGTCGCCTTGTAAACTTCGAGGAAGCGAGGCTTGAGAGGAGCGAACTGAACGGCACCAACTTGACGGTTCAGCAGCTGCATCGCAGTATCGAAAGAGCCAGCGGCGACATGATCGGCTGCCAGCGGGGAGTTGCGAGCCCACAAATCGGCCTCAGAACCTCCCGCGCCAGCTTCGGCGCTTTCAACATTGACGAAGTCGACCTCTTCTTCAACATTGACATCATCACCCATATCCCATCCCGAAACTTCCTCGTCGTCATCTTCAATGGTTTCCCGGGCAAGGACAGCTTCTTGCTCTTCTTCCTCGATCTCGAATCCATCAGCACCAGCCTCTTCGTCGGCGGCGCCAACCTCTCCAAGAAGAGCCTTCTCAAAGGAGGAGTGGCCAGCAGCCTTGACAGGCCAGTTGGACTTGAAGGTAGGAACAATAGGATGGGGAACCTTCAGAGGTTGCTCGAGTGTGGGTAGGCCGATCTGATCTTCGGTGAGACCAACAGCCTCCAAAATAGACTCGGCCTCTTCAATCAGACCATGTGATTTGGCAGTGAGATAGGCAAGCGGGTCTGGCGAGAATTAGTATAAAGAAATCAATTGCCACCAGGGGGAATACATACACAAGTCCACTTCTTTGAACATCTGGATTCGGTCCTCAACGTCCCCGCGGTAGAGGGCGTTTTGGAAGCGAGAGGTGAAATCACCGCGGTGTTCAGCAATCTTGGCCATACGAGCGAGCTTCTCCTGGTCGCCGGTACAGAGGTAAAGGAAAGAGAGCTTGTCGAAGTTACGCTGCTTTTGGTACGTCATTTCGACAGTCTGGTGATTACCGTGAGCCAATGCCTCAGTTCCAAGCCTGCTCCAGAAATTAGGGCGGTCGAGTTCCCGTGCCATTTCATTGGCAACCTCGAGGTTACCACATTCAAGGGCAAGATCGAAACGGGTCTGAGGGTCTTGCACGAATTGCAGAGCAATCTCCGGGTAGCCCTTCTTCTGCAGATAAGAGATGATGCTCTGGCCAACCAAACTCGAGGTCTTGATAATTTGAAGCATTTCATCGTAATTCCGCTTCACGAGGGCGAGCTTGAAACGGTATTCAGTTGGGTCGATCTCCAAGATGCGTGGCTGAGCATTGCGATCAAGGGCATAGACGCTGCGCCCCTTGACACGCACGAGGTATACGGTCTGATCAAGAGTGCGGATAATTCCATTGTCTCCGTTGAGAAGGGAGTACTTCACATGGTTGAGGGTGGAGTAGAGCAGGACACCAGCGTCATCCCAGGTAGCACTCTTGATGCGAATAGTCTCGTGCAAGGTACTGACCTGCTCGAGGGTCTTGGTCACGATGGTGACATTGTGTTTGCTAAGCAAAGCGCAGTACAAGCCATCGTTGGACCACACCACATACTTCACTCCGCTGACAGCAAGCTCTGCAAGCTGCTTCTTTTGTTGGATGTCGAACAGAGTAACATGTGTAGGGGTGATGAAGAGCAAACATCCGGTACCACCAAAGTAGATATCGGTCGCGCCGGCTGGGGGCTTGATTGTCTTCGTTGTGGAGTTGCTAAGGTCCTTGATATCGACCTGCTGGCTCGAGGGGTTGAATACAGCGAAGCGGTTACGGGCGACGAAAACTGCCGAAGTGGCTTGTCCACGCTTAACGTCTGTAGGCTCAACGGCTCCGGTGGCATCTCTTGGGAGATGAATCAATTCATAAGTTCCATTATCGGCAGGCGTGGTGACCAGAATAGCACGCTCGGCTGGGTTGTAAGAGAGGGTACGAGGAGGGACCCATGGGGAACCTAGCTTGCGCAGCGAAAGCATCGGCGGGGACTCGACGTTCTTGCCGAAGTCATATGACTTGACGTGCTTATCCTTTGTGATGTAAAACAGCTGGTTCTGGTAAATAGCAGACGCGGGGCGCTCTCGCTCGAGCTTGAAGACCATAACACCAGTATCATGGCCTGCGGCAAACAGGTTCATCTCAGGGTGAGCAGCGATAACCCAGAATCGATCATGATCGCGCTTAAAGGACTGAACGGAGGTACGCTTGTTAAGATCCCATGCGCGAATCGTCTTATCTTCGCCGACGGAGAGAATGAGGTCCTGGTGTGGGTGGAACAGAGCGGCAGAAGCATTTTGGAAATGGCCACGACAAGTATCGACTTCCCAAGCCTTAGTATCACTCATCCGCCAGAGCTTAACTAACCGATCGTCACCGGCCGACACCAGCAAGGGTAATGTAGGGTGGAATGACACCCAGTTAACACCACGGTCATGACCTTCCAGCACGAACTTAACGACTGCATCGGTGTTTCCAAACATATCAGCTTGGTTTGGATTGGCTCTCGCCATTTGGTCTTCGAACGAAACTGAGGTGGGGGCTGAGTGCTTCTTCCGCAGGCCGGAAATGTCCCAAATGCGAACCGACTGATCCAACGAGGCGGAGGCAATGAGGTCCTCGGTGGGGTGGAACTGAGCGCACATAACATAGTGGTTGTGACCGGTCATCGTACAGACTGAAAGAAGTCAAAAGCATTAGTTGATGTCAATCAAGGTAGCTCCAATGCATCTTACTGAGTGACCGATTTTGCCAGTTCCAGATTCTGATGGTCTGGTCATCGGACGCAGATAAAATCCAAGGCAGCTCGGGGTGGAAGAAAACTGTTCGCACATAATCCAGGTGACCATTCAATGTGAACAAACACCTCCGGGTCTGGTAGTTCCAGACTTTGATCTTGTAGTCGTCACCTCCGGACACAAACAGGGGCTGGGTTGGGTGAAAGTCAACGCCGCGAACCGGGCCATCGTGTTCTTCGAATCGGTCGATAAGAGTTCCCATGCGGTAGTCCCACAATTGGATGGTAGAGGAGTGAAGGGAGACGAGAATCCATGGCCTGTTTTGAGGTCAGATTGGGTGCCCTGAGGTGTTAGGTGTCCCTCCGCGGGATTGACTGACCGTTTGGGATGGAATGCGATTCCTTTGGCTCTGGAGGATTTCGACTCAAACTACTCGAGAGATAATAATCAGCATCTTCAATTGAGCTCCGTTGTTTGATGGCGCATTGAGATGCCCGAGGGGGGGCCTTACCTTGGTGAGCATGTTTGGGGAGGACTGCATCTTGAAGATTTGGCCGGAGCCGCACTGTAAAGTAGCAAGCTCCGCACACTAGAGAGCAATATAAGGCAGAGGCGACCACCGCATCCACCGAAAAGAAAGAAAAGAGCGAAAGGTAAACACTTGGTGCTGGTGTTGGTGTAGCAGTAAACTAAACGTGGACTCTATTGTGGAAGCGAATGACATCGGCCAATGGCTGCCAGGCGGTGAGCGGTCAGGGGATAGCTAGTGTCTACCTTTATTTTGTACACATACAACACGTTACTGTTTTCAGATCGAAGGTGAAAGTGTTGATATTCTGATCTGATCTGAATTAATTGTTGATTTGTTCTTGACTATACATCCAAATTTCAACCTCGATTCAGCTTCGAGTGGAGTTATTTGTTTACTCCATATACCCCCCGCGTTAGAAGCATCTGGAAGTCCATGATGTTATGACCCATACCTTTCTTGCCAGTTCCATGCTCCTTTTACCAGTCTTTTCCCTTGTACTTAATCTTTTAATAGACATTTCTTAGATCACATACTCCACCCGTTCCTTCCTCGACTGGTTATGTATTTTGCGATTTGACCGTCAACCTTGAACTGAACTACATATATTTCGTACCCTGGACTGGAATGCGAACACTTTTTGCGCTCAACTTTGGAAGGCTGATAGAAAAGCATGGAAGACCTCCTAATGGATGATAGCCCTACCAAGCCACAACAGCCACACCAGCCCTTTCAATACTCCACCGGGTTTACTTCTTTTGATGGTGCAGCAGACCCCCAGCCGGAGGAAAGTGAACAGAGCACGGACGACTCGGGGCCCTTGACACCTACCCAGGACACAGATCCATTCGACGATAGTGATGATGATGTCCAAGTCATCAAGCCCTATGACATTGAGGAGCCCGACGATGAGTTAGAATCTAGCTTGCAAAGGGTAGATCGACTGTGTCTCCCAGATCGGTTCGAACGGTGGCAGCGTGACTTGACGGACTATCTGGATGATCTGGACGACCAACCAGTTGGATTTAATAGCAATACAACACGCTCGATGCGAAAGAGAGGACAGAAGAGAAAACCAACCCACAATACTACCGCTCTACAGCAGGGCAATCCACCCCTCAAACAAAGATATGCATCGGCCGAGACCCAGCCTCAAGTCCATGACCACCAGCCCAAAAGACGAAGGGTTAGCGAACCACCACAGTTGTATCCTTCAAGCACAGACTCATTTGGCGGTTTCCGTGAAGCCAACACGAATGATAGCTCAAGTTCCGAGACACAGTCGATGGACCTGAGTGGCAATGAGACCATGAATGACTCGCCCATGGCCGATGAGATGGATCTCGATTGAAATATGTTTGATAAGGTATTTTCGGCCGTCATCCTCAACGAAGTCATTCAGGGTGGGTGGACGGATTTGGCTATAAAATGACGTCATGCACATCTCATCGCAGGCTGAAAACGCTTCGCTCGATCGGATCTGCCTTGGTCCTCACTTATATTCCAGCAAGGATCATCGGCAAAATCAACGATTCATTATGGCCACAAGAACATCCTCACGCCATGCCGCCCAGAAGGCCAAGGAAGCCATTGCAAATTCCGCAGAGCCGACTGGCAAGACCACCAAGGGAACAAAGCGGAAAGGTCCAACCGAAGAGGCTCCACACCCCAAAAAGGAAAAAACGGAGGATATAAAGCCAGAAGAAGAGAAAGCGGAAAAGGCATCGGGTGCATTGGTAGACGCTCCAGTGCCCGAGACAGAGGAACCTACCAAGAAAGAGAAAGCACCTGAAGAAGAGGTGGCACCCGTCGACAAGGAGGAAGCACCCGTCGACAAGGAGGAAGCACCCGTCGACAAGGAGGAAGCACCCGTCGACAAGGAGGAAGCACCCGCCAACAAGGATGAGCCACCTGTCAAGGCAGAAGAACCATCCGAAGGACAACAATCAAAGGAACAACCCGGCGAAACCGCGCCGGAGAAATCTCAAGGAATCGAGGGAGGTCTTCACAAGTCTGAGGAGAGGGAAAACGTGGTATCCTCTAATATACTCGAGAAGGGCTTCATCTACTTCTTCTTCCGCCCACGGGTCAATGTAGAGGATCCTCAAAGTATCGGAGATGTCGCCCGAAGCTTCTTTGTTCTCCGTCCCACCGTCCTTGGGGCAGAATTCGACCAAGGCCAAGGCGCTGTCGACAAAGACGCCTCGTGTCGCTTGATGATGCTCCCGAAAAAGAAGTTCCCGACCTCACCCAAAGAACGAGATATGGGATTCGTGGAGAAGGCTGGACAATCTATGCAATCTCTCCATGAGAAGTTCATCGCTGGTTCCACATACCAGACTGCCACCCGAGGTGAGCGTCACATCGAGGAAGCCAGACCTTACGCGGAAGGTGTCTATGCGATCACCTCCACACCGCGGGCATCCCATCTTGCCTATATCCTGACCATCCCTGCCGAGCTTGGTGATATCCAGGAGGATTTCGGCCTGCGAGAACGTGGAAGTTGGATTGTTCAGTCGAAGAATCCCAAGTTTGCTGGTCCACCAATTGGTCAATTACCGAAAGACCCGGAGTTCCCTCCATCGTTAGTAGTTTTCTGTACAAATACTTCAAAACTATCGCACTAACGTCGTTTTCTTTAGGGTTCTCGCGAAATTCGAAGATCTTCGATGGGTACCTATGCAGCCCGAGTTTCTGGACTATCCTAATTCCCAATTTCTCATGATTGGTGAGGCACAGAATCACCTTGGCAAGGCTGCATCTTCTGAGGGAGGTAAACAAGCTCACGAGGAAGAGCCTGGCCAGGAATTGGAGAAATTGGAAGATGAGAACGAACACCGGGTTGATGCACTCCAAGGTATGTTGCTGTATTGATACTATGTTAAACGCGCTGAGACTGACCTCAAACTTAGGAGATGAAACAATCTATGAAGACTTGGGCTTCCACGCGAAGAATTACCCCAAGTTGGCCACAACTTGGAATGCTTAAGTCCTGGGCTTTGGATTACAGAGCCTTAGATTATCTCTCAAAATTAATGCTACCAATCACACTTACACATGGACCAGAGTTATATATTTTGGACTGCATTTTATTTTCATCTCTCCACCTACAACATTGATATTCCAAAAAGCCATCGTAGTATTACTTGAAGTATACTAGTAAAGCTTCAATGCTATCTCAAGTCGAATGGTAAGATTTCCTCATTTGTATTGTTGGAATATATGCCAAAACCAACAATTCCGTAGGACATCTGAACTTTGAGAAATTCGGGCTTCAGACAGTATTGCCGTCGCCCAACTCGAAAGGACGCTACATACAGTCTTTACACGCATGTCAAAAATTTGACTTCGTAGCCCGATTTGCCTTCAAAGCTGTTTTTTTACTTATAAAAAAAAAAAAAAAAATAACAAATCAATATGCGCTCCTCTATCAGTCTCTTTTATTTTTGCCCATAGCCAGGTACAAGTATACAGGGCTACAAATACATAGCTGAAGTAACGTAACTAAGCCTGAGTTTTCCCGAATCTCAAAGATTGCAAAAATTCATTGACTATGGGATCGTCAGAGGGGGAAAAAAAAGCGTAAAAGTTATGATTATTTGAAGTAAAAATGGCGTTATCAATCGCATGGGCGTATGATGAGAACTTGTATCAAGGATGCGTCCTGTAGTAACATGTCCATGCAAGTGGGAGGCAAGGCATTGAGTGACCGAGCAGAAAAGCTAGTTTGGGACTACTTTGATAGCATGCAAGATATCCTCAAGAGACCATCCCGGCCCGCCGGGAACAATCTCTGCCCAGACCTCTTCTGGGACGGCATCGTTGGGATCGAGTAGACTCCAGTTTGGACTGGGCTCCGGCTTAATCCATTTGAAATCTTCGACCTGGCTCCAACGATCTTCGTGGTCGGGACGGTCATGATCCAGGGCCTGTATAGAGACTGTAAGTACGAAACCAAATGAAAAACAAAAAAGACAACGAGGAGAGCACTAACATAGGCCTTCGGGATCCGACCAAATCGAATATTGGAACAGTCCTCAATAATGGGGTTGCTAGAACAGCTGAGATAGACATCAACGTTGCTGCAGTTGTGCATGCGGAACTGGCGACATGATACCACAATCACGCTATGCTCAACGCCAGTAATGTGTGCAGGGCCATCGACTTGACCACAGATCAATAAGCTTTCTTTGATCCCCTTGGCAGTAAGACTGGCATACGGCTTTCCATTGGAAGTGGGAATGGACATATCAACGATGCAGCGATCCAAGGAGGTAATAGACACCGGGACTGTGGATGTCGAGCCGGAGGCCGGAAGCATAATGTGAAGTCCATGATGATTATCGACCGACACAGAAGAGATACCTGTGGCCGCAAACGTACCGGCAGGCTTCTCCTCGGCAGGCTTTGCGCCAAAGTCCCCAACCGAGACACCTGGGAACGAAGTGGGAGCAAGCTCCGGTCGCTCTTGCTGCTTATCCGGCTCGTTCAATGGAGTGGAAGGGTAGTTGGGCGTGTTGACGGAGGAGCCAACTGATGAGGCACCTGGAGAGTGATACCTAGGGATGCTAAGCCGCCCTTCTGCTGCTAGTACGGCAGCATCAGACAAAGATATAGCAGATGTGTTTTTCTTGGTCTTGAAGCTGAATTTTGACCGGGGTTCAAATGCGGCACGTGTCTCGCTCAATCGATCTTGCAAAGCCTTGATTGCCTGTAAAGATGTCAGGTTTGCTCTGTTAAGATAAGGTGTGAGTAGCGCATACCTCTGCATATACCCGCTGGTCATATGTGGGGATGTAGCTCGCTGCATCCTTGACCTCATTGGATAACCGCACGATGCCGGCAAGACAGTGGTCTGTTGCATCGACACGTTCACCACCTATAAGCGAGGTATCTGCAAGACGATCCATCTCCTGCTGCAGATCTAGAATGACAACGTGGTTAGCATAGTCGTTTTGCTTGTAGTGACCTAAAATGAGGTGGCATTTGCCGAAAATCAAAGGGGACATACCGGTGATCTCATACTGGAAGTAGCGAAAGAAGCGTTCATTTAAGGGAATATCGGCTTTCGAGACTGTCTGATTATCCGCCGACAGTCGGCGTTTTTGTATATCTGCCTCAGCCATGATGTCAAAGGTTTAGAACAGAAAGGGGAGATGAAAGAGAATGAGAGGCGTGGAATGTAGCAATGACGTCGATTGGATCAGGTTGATCATGCCACCCCGCACAGTATGGCAAATCACTCAGGTCCTTCTTTGCGACAGATGGCACTGTGAGCTACAATATATGCAGCTATGAGCGAAAAATCGCTGTAATTCCCCACATTCAAATATTCGTAGTTTCCTAGGGCTCAAAATCCAAAATAAGTGCGGATCTTCGGAACTTGGGCTATATGGAAGTCGATCCCACAGTTGCCACCTATAAAATCCGCTTTTTTTTTTTTTCTGAAGTGAAAGCCCTCAGACCTCAGATTGACGCGATAATCAACTGCAGCTTCACTGTGACGTCGATCATCCCGCATTTCACGGAGGTCGGAAATCAGATGATCCGCGAGGGTTTTCAGGCGATAAGGCATCAACTTGACTTTATAGTTCGTCTTTTCTGTACATGATCTTACCCTTCAACCTAGAGATTTGAAAGAGGAAAGACACATATATTGCCCCAAGAATGCTGCAAGCGACGGTTGTTTCGACTATTTTCCATCCCGAGATTGTCATAGGGATGGCACGATCTAGGCCTACAAGCTTCTTTCTGGTCTGCCGGATGATTAGGACCTTGAGGGTTGACTCATTGAGCATGTAAACTTCATTTTTCCTGGGGGTAATACAGCGGAAGCACTGGAATGAGCTGTTGCAACCTAAGCTTATTCAGTTGCGCAAGCACAAGCTGGCCAAATGAGACTGTCTACAATGTCATTCCGGTCGACAACCGCCTATAACGAGATACACACAGATCACGGCCTCTGATTCTCAGAAAGCACTGGAAAAACACATCAAGTCATGGTGAGTATAGAGCTGGTGTAAGTGTTTATTGGTAAAATGTACAGATACCCGTGGGCAGCCTGTTTTGACAGACGATTTTTATCTCTGGTGGATATTTGGGGGCTCCCGTTAACGGTAACCTGCAAATAGCATATAGTTAGCCATTTCCATCCAGAACTTCAACATACGTCGGCATGCCTTGTGTTCTCTAAGATTAAGACACAAGAACACTTAGAGTACTCATTCTTAATTGTACCTTTCCTCCAGACTCGGTGTATGGCGGATGTCGGTGACTATCAAATGAGGGTGCAACGTTGTACTGTTGTATCTCCACTTGTATCAATATCACAAACACTGAGCACCTAGCTCGGGTAGTTCTGATCACCAAGCAGATGACATTATAGATTTCCTCGTGAATATCGAGTTGTTTCCAACTCGTCCAGAAAGTGATATATTTGATCTTATGATCCCCAGGGTAGTGTCTATTAAGCGTGCTAATTTAGCAAATATTTGACAAGATGACACTTCAATCTCTGGTTCTTCAGATCATGGCCCTTGTGCTGTGCTCTATCCGATTGGTGTTTGCTGTTGATTCCAGTTACCAACAGGTTGAACTGCTAGACAAGGTACCGGATGGCTGGTCGAGGGGGATAGAGCGTTGGCCTCTAAGCTTTTAAACTTCCGATTGGCAATTACCCAGCATAACGCCAGAGAATTCGAGCAAAAGGTCATTGAGCTATCAACCCCAGGACACGCAAGTTATGGGCAACATATGAAAAGAGACGAAGTCAAGAAATTCTTGAGCCCACCATCCGCGATTTCAGACCGAGTTATTGCATGGTTGCGATCAGAAAATGTTTCCGCCAATTCTATCGACTTAGATGGTCATTGGATCTCGTTCACAGTCCCAGTTTCCCAGGCCGAGCAGATGCTGAAGACAGAGTTTTTCTACTTTCATCAAGAATCTCGGCAAAGCATCGCCATTCGGACACTTGGCTACTCGGTGCCTAGCGTCTTGCATCCCTACATTCAATTGATTCAGCCGACAACTCGATTCGGCAATCTGATCTCTCAAAGAAGCTCCACCCTGAAACGGAAGCCAGCAACTTCCGAGCAGCTCGCCGCTGGATGCAATACGGCCATCACACCGGACTGCCTTCGGAATCTGTATAGATTTGATGACACGACCACCAGACCCGAATGGCGCAATCGACTCGGTATATCTGGCTTCTTGGAACAATATGCTCGCCACGCTGATTTCGAGGAGTTTTTGCGTCGTTACGCCCAAAGCCACACAGACACGAACTTCAGTGTTGTGTCTATTAATGGCGGCCGAAATGACCAACACTCAATATCTGATAGTATCGAAGCGAATCTAGATGTACAGTACTCCATTCCGTTGGCGGATGAAGTGCTGGCAACATTTTATAGTACTGGGGGACGCGGTCCTGTTGTTCCCGAACTAAATCATCCAGACTCTACTGAATCGACAAACGAGCCATATCTTGAACAGCTCCATTACTTCTTGAATCTCCCAGACGAAGAGCTCCCTGCGGTACTTTCCAACTCGTATGGAGAAGACGAACAGAGTCTTCCACCGTCGTATGTAAACGCTACTTGCAGCCTATTTGCCCAGCTCGCTGCCCGGGGTGTTTCAATACTTTTCAGTAGCGGGGATGAGGGCCCGGGGCGTGCTTGTGTGAGAAATGACGGGACGAATCAGACCAGATTCATTCCCGAATATCCGGCTTCTTGCCCATTTGTTACTGCTGTGGGTGGCACATACGGCATCAATCCCGAAAGAGCGGTTTCCTTCTCCGGGGGTGGGTTTTCAGAGGTATTCCCTTGTCCCCAATACCAGGACCAGGCAGTGAAGGGCTACTTGGAGCATCTTGGAAGTCGATGGAATGGACTTTATAATGCTACGGGAAGAGGATACCCTGATGTATCAGCCCAAGCCGCGAATTTCATTGTTCGGGACCATGGCGAGTGGGTCTCAGTTCGCGGAACAAGGTTCGTCTTCTGCAGATTTACGGAGGGAACAACAAACTGACGATATACATATAGCGCTTCAGCACCAGTGGTTGCCGGTATTGTGTCTCGGCTCAACTCTGCTCGTCTTGCCCAGGGTAAGCCTCGGATGGGCTTCCTAAACCCATGGCTCTATAGCCACGGGCGGACCGGGTTCACGGATATTGTCCTGGGTCGCTCTTCGGGCTGTAACTGGACTGCAGGAGATGCCAATCTTCGGGTACGGAATGCTAGTTGGGATGCCGTCGAAGGGTGGGATCCGGTGACAGGGCTCGGCACGCCCTTTTTCCGTACACTCGTGAGATTGGCATTGTCAAATGATGTGTAGGCAAATGAATTCGAGTGAAATATATCTATTAAGAGCTGAGTGTCATGCTGCAGTTCACCAATGTCCAACGAACAAAAATTGAACAGCCTAGCTTGTGGTAGTTGTACGACGAGGGTCAACATCCAGACCGGCGATCATCAAAATGCCCACACGTGACTGTAAGCTGACCGCCTACCGCAGCTCCGTCATGAGCATCGGAATGTCGCCAACAATCATCACTTGAAAACCGAACTCTCTATCGCCTCCGCTGTTTTAATTCCTGCGTACGTCCTCTTACAGCTAGGCTACCTCATTCTTTTTCAGCATTGCCCTGAATCGACACAACATCCACCATGTCCGATCTACAGTCTCTCGTGTCAGAGCTCCACGGTGCTATCGAGCGCAAACAGTTCGAAGCCGCCAACGATCTCCTCAGCCGTTCCAAGCGAGCTCTCCTTCTGCAAAATGCCTTGATTCCGACTTCCTCCACACCTCCCCAGCTTGTCGCCCTTGCCCGCCAAGTCCTCGAACTCGGAGCAATTGCCTCCATCCGCCAGACCGATGCGCAGCTATTCACACGGTACTACCAGCAACTGCAGCCATTCTACGATCTTGAGAGACATGCCGGTCTCCCCGGGCAGAGTTCTTCGGAAGTCGATTTCAGCACTAGCCAACGCAGCAAGATAACAGGGCTGTACCTGCTTCTTCTTTTGAGCATGGGCGACAGTGCCAACTTCCACACGGTGCTAGAGGGATTGGTGGAGGAGGCGAGCTTGAAGGGTGGCCGTGTTGAGGATGATGCGTGCATCAAATACCCCGTTGAGCTGGAGCGCAACTTGATGGAGGGAAGCTACGACAAGGTGTGGAGGGAGACAAAGTCCGAGCGTGTTCCATCGGAAGACTTTGGTCTGTTCTCGAATGTAAGTGCACGCATGATCAGTTCGAAATCGAATATTTATGTCAAGGGTACTAATCAGAAGCTTTGTAGGTTCTCATCGGCACTATCCGCAATGAAATCGCAGGTTGCTCAGAGAAGGCATACCCCTCCCTCCCCATTTCTAACGCCAAGAACCTCCTCTTCCTCGATTCTGAGGGTGCAGTGATCGAATTCGCCAAGGAGCGCGGCTGGATCCTCCGAGACGGCCGGATATACTTCCCTGTTGAACCCGAGGCGACTGCTAGGTCCGAGAAGGATATTTTGGTGGCTAGCGGCACTGTTATTGAGAATGCTTTAGGTTATGCTCGCGAGCTGGAGACTATTGTCTAATTACACGCTCCATGGATCAATGGGAACGATATACTTTCTTCGGATGTGAATGGCTCTTTTCTTGTCTTCAGGCGCGGTTGTACTTGTATACCTGTCGCTTATGCATTGTGCTTTCTCTAGCGTGTTCATGACCCCAACCATGTTAGAATAATCTCGGCTTACAAATTTCTAGTAGAATTATAGTCAAAGTAGACGACCCGAGTCCTGCATGTGGTAGAGTCTCGGCGTCTGGATGGATATCCAAGTGCACATGACTTGTTTATCCAACTATATATCAACAGTCCAAACACAGAGCCTGCGATCATAGAAACTGCTCGACACACACAAAACCTCAGAAGACCGGGTCGTTTCCTGTCGACCCTCCCATACGCCACTGGCATAATTCATACTCTCATGCTCGGTAAACTTCGCCAGTACTTCAATCCCCCAATTCGAAGCCCCATCTTCCTGCTTGCACGTAACCCGCACAAGCCTCGTCCCGGCATGCATACAGCTTGCCAGCACCGAAAATCGGTGCTCAGATACATCCGACGGGTCATCCGAGCCAGGAATCTTCGTCGTATTCAGTAACTGCAGTCGCCAGACTCCACCACCAAGACCTTCCTCGGCGAGAACCTCTCCCCTCCGGGTAGCCTGGTACACACGCAGACTCTCGTCATAGCTACCTGTCAGAAGCACCGGGGCATCATCGACCAAGGGAACATCAAGAGGCAATATAGCAGTGACACCGGCAGTGTGGTGTCGAGCCCGATCATCATGCTCGAGCAGCATAGGCGAGATATGCTCGTCCGGATCATCCAAGTCGGTAGTATTATCGAATCGACGGGTGTGTAGCGAGCCGAAGTCATTACCCGTGAACATGAACGGGATCGCAGACGGGTTCTGGGTCTCGGCATTTGGGTTTGCTCTGCTTGTTGACAATGCAACGAACCAGACTTCGATCATCTGTTTCGCTTCATATGTGCCCCATTCTGTCACACATTCTTCTTGGCGGACATCGCCTTCTGTCCCGAAGACGGCTGTTCGGCTATCTGAGAATGTGACGGCGAAGCCATCTGCTGCTGGCTGGGGGAACCAGTTTTGCGGTGCCCAGGCGAGGAACAGTGCTGGGATTGATGGGTCTTCATGTACTTGCTTTGTCCATATTTGGGTGATGCTTGGGGATGCGGATGTATCTCCGGCAGTGGAGACTTGGAATAGAGCCACTGATCCTACGCTAGTTGCAATTGCGAATAGGTTCTTGTTTCTTGGGTGGAAGTGCAGGTCAAAAACAGCGTATGGAACGGCAATTCTTTGGATTTGGGTTCTAAGGTCTGTTAGTGGCTTTGTTATGAGGGTGCTATACTCGCTTTCGACTGCGAGGTAATATGCTTGATTATGGTTGGCTTACAATGTTTTGCTAACAGGATCTAATTTCCACAGTTGGAGACTCCCGGTTTTGGCCTGCTGGATTTCTCCATCTTCGGTCTTGTTCTCTGATAGAAGGTAGGTGCCCACGATGAAATGGTCGGGGGCCTCGGGGCAGAACTCCAGGCAACTGGGTGGCTGGTCTAAAAAGACCGTAGTCGCTGATTGGGGGTGTTGAATGCTCGCCATTTTGATCTAGACCGAGAATGATTCTAGACCTTGCAAGCTCCGGAGTTTAGTCGTCGAGTCCGGAGGGGGCGCCGGAACGTGGCGTTTGGAGATGCCCCAAAATATAGGGCCGCAGATAGGGTCCAATAGGTGGCGTGACGCACTATTTCCACGTTGGTGCATAGGACGAACTGAGGCCCTTGGGCTTGCTGTTTGTTACATCGATGGGATTTGAAATCAAAAATCAGATAGTGGGGCGGTGAGAATCCACCTTGAAGTCAAAGATATCACGTCTACAATATGGAGTATAGTCTGGATACTTGGAAATATGCAGAGCTGGCGTTTTGTATGTGTAGCTATGAAATGGTCATAGCCATTCCGGAGCATCCAACCAATAAGGCTCGCTGTCCGTAGAAATTACCTAGGGCCAATACTACTTCCCAATCGCTATATATAATCTCTGCTGATGTCGGATCGGTAATATTTTGCCAAGTTATGAAGTTAATAGTAACGATAGGAGTTTTATATGAATATCAGCAGATATATATCCTCGTTGGTTGGAGCTGCAGCAACAAGAATGGTCTCACATGCCTTATCCTTCGAGCTATGGTTTCACTGCATTGCATGGCAGGCCCCGGTTTGATTACCATGTGAGACATTCAGCCTTTTAAGAAAGTCGGATTAAACGGACTGGGCACATAATTTATGGTGATACCACGGAGTACTTCGGACTATCTGCCTATTACAATGCCTGGGGTCCGACGGTTCCCGACGGGATATACGAGACTACACGCATAGGCAGATTTGGCTAATATCTCTGGACTCATGGGGTCAGATCAATCTGGTATCAAGATACAAATGTCCCGTAAGTTTGAAGGTGCATTTGAAATACTCGTGCAGGGTGTACGTGCGCAGTACATAAGGACTTCAGATCTGCAGTAAAGGGCGTGAACTCAAAAGATGACACACAACTTGTTCTTTCCGTATTGCGTTTCTTGTAGCATTGATTGCCGGGTACATTGGAGTACATTGGAGGTCCAATGGAGTTGCTGTGGAGGTGCATTGAGGCGTCGATCACGATGTTCGGCTCAGATGCGAGGTCGATCCGAATTGACTCATTGCCAATATAAACCTATCAAACGCTAGAAGGGCCAAGAAAAAGAATGGACTCGTAAAAGAAATCCGACCATTATATTCATAAATTCGCAGTTAGCTTGATTTAATAGTATTCTAGTAGTATTCCACTTTATGCTCCCGCTAGAAAAGTATTTAAATTTCTTTTCTTTCCCCCACATCTCGTTCTTCTTCTTGTCAAGCTGTCAAGCTCTAAAATAAATTAAAATGGATGATCCAAAGCCATGGGGCTATAGATGGCGTTCATCTCGACTGTTGGTAGTTTCATCCATCACTGTTGCCTTATTCGCAGGTATGGCTGTTTCACTTTTCTCATATCTTGACTCATGTTAACAATGCCTTAGAGACATTTCTCTATGGCTTTCTCACTCCCATTTTGAGTTATATGCTGGAAGAACGACTGCATCTTGATCCATCACGAACCCAAACATACACGACAGCATTGCTCACCACCCATGGGTTCATTGGTCTTATCTCTGCTCCGATTGTCGCTCATCTTGCCGAAAAGACTCCGAGCCAAAAGAAACCACTATTGATTTCTCTGGCAGGATGTTTCATAGGAACTCTGATCATTGCTCTCGCCCCGTCTGGTATGAGCATCTCTCATCGTGATAACTATTGGAAGCTGATTACCGTGAACAGTTTGGGCCCTCTTTCTTGGTCGCATCCTGCAATCTATGGCAGGTGCTGGCACTTGGGTGGTTGGATTTGCTTTATTAGCAAATAACGTGGACAAGAAACACCTTGGACAGTCGATGGGAATGGCCATGTCATTTGTGACCGCAGGAATGGTCGGCGGACCAACAGTGAGTGGCGCATTGCTCCAATTATTTGGCTACTGGGCCGCCTGGTCCCTTCCTTTGGTCGTACTTGTCTTGGATATTGTTGCCCGCCTGGTCATGATCGAGCCTGGCCTGGGGTCTCCAAAAATAATTGAGTCTTTGAGCAAGCCTGCTGGCACGTCAGTTCTTATTAATGATGGGGGACCAGAGGAATCGACTGCCCTGCTTTCTGATACACTGCCAACTGGCAAGGCGGATGACTGTGGAGCGGAGCACAAGCATGACCTCAAAGACGAATACTACAGAGTCATGCTCTCCGATCCCCGTGTTTTGACGGCATTGGCCAATGTCGTTTTTGTCTCCTCTCTCATGTCTGGAATTAACAACACCCTCCCTGTCCACCTGAGAGAAGCATTCGGTTGGAAGAGCTTACTCATCAGTATGATGTTCTTCTGTCTTCAAGTCCCGAACATTGTTCTCAGCGGCCCATCTGGATGGCTTCGTGATCGAATTGGAATACGGGGACCGACCGTTTTCGGTTGGCTTGTGATGATCCCTCTAATCTTACTACTGGGAATTCCCGGAGACTCCCACTTCCCTTGGGCCGCCGGAGATGCAGCTGGCAAGTCGATCTTTACCAGTAGTTTGATTGCTTTGGGTAGTATCTTACCTCTTGTGCGCGGTGTAGGAGCCGTGCAGTTGGCCTGTGAGTGATTCATTGTACTTTGTGCTATTCGTTCTCCCACTGATAACTGTCACTCTCAACACAGATGTGGTTAAGGACATGGAGGCCAAAGATGCGCATCTATTCGAGGCCAATAGAAGCAACCTGCGAGTCTTTTCCATGACTGAAGTGGGATATAGTCTGGGTATGATGTTTGGGCCTATGTTAACAGGCTCGCTATTTGAAGCAGTTGGCTTCTTTTACATGACTGTGGCATTAGGTGAGTCACACTGTCTGACAAAGTAGCGGTTAAAATACTTACCCTGCGTAGCTATCACTTGTCTCATCCAGGCCGCGGTCTCCTGGCGCTGGTTGGATACTTTGCCCGAGCCTGGAGCCACCGAGGCTTCAGTTTAAACGTTTGCATTGATGGATATGCGTGGCATTGAAACGAGTTCTAGAAGGCGTTTATTGTTGTGCGAGTACTTAAGCAAGATTGATAGGTTGATTTAAGATATGCCTCGGGATACATGTGGAGAATAGGAAATGCATCAATATTAGTTCACCTGCAAATATAGTCCATATGAGTATTTCTAGTCAAATCATCACGGCAGTACAGCAATCGAGGATGTTGTGGTCGGTGAAGATAACAGCGGGGGAATCTACCCCGCGAGGTATAAAGCGCAGATAGCGGCAGTTCCTCGTCTCCCTCGGACTACACGAGGCAGGATGACCAAGGCACCCGAGAGCTCGCAGCTCGCCAATTGTAGTCAAATCCCGATTATTGACCTTTCAACTCTGGATAGTTCAAATTTCGATGAGCGACGGAAACTTGCCCAATCAATCTATGATGCTTGCACTCAGGTTGGATTCTTTTACATCAAGGTAAGTGGCTCTTCTCGTACTCTTGAGATTGATCGAGCACTAAGGATACTCGATCAGAACTATGGGATCCCAGAGGACAAAATCGATGGCATACACAGCTCCGCAAAGCGGTTCTTCGATCTCCCCGAGGAGCAAAAAATGAAGATTTATATTGGAAACTCCCCCGTAGGTCTGCAAGACTAAAAATAAAAGTTGCATACTGATACTATACCAGAAATTCCGCGGCTACAGCCCCTTGGGTTCCGAGAAATCCACAGGGACAGAGGATGATCCCATTGCCGAAGAAGACGCAGTCAGTGCTCTTTCCGAAGCATTCGACATTGGATATGAAACAGCAATGGATCCTCAGAAATCGAAAGATGACCCTTTTCCCCATGATACTTATGGGTTGTATGGAGATAACCAATGGCCCGACTCAGATATGCTTCCAGGCTTCACCGAGACGTACATTGAATATTGTACAATGATGCTAGGGCTCTGCCGAAAACTGATGAGAATATTTGCTCTCGCTTTAGAATTGCCCGAAGACTACTTTGATTCAATGATTCAGAACCCAGGTGTTACGTCGAGGATGATGCATTATCCACCTCAGCCGGTGAAGGAAGAGGTTCGCCAAGGGCTTGGGGCTCATACGGTAGGCAATTGACCAGAATGTAAAAGACATACCGAGATATTAACCTCCTTCATCTGCCAGGACTTCGAATGCTTCACTATCCTCTCTCAGGATAGTGTCCCGGGCTTACAGGTGTTGAGTCACAGCGGCGAGTGGATCCTGGCGCCACCGTTGCCAGGGACATTGGTTGTCAACATCGCAGATTGTTTGTCAATGTGGTAAGATTAGTTTGGTCATTTATGAGAGCATGGGCTGATGTCTTTAGGACGAATACAAAGTTCAAGTCTACTATTCATCGTGTGACAAACTTGACCGGCCAAGAACGTTACTCCGTCCCCTTCTTCTTCGGAGTTGCGTATGATACAACTATTTCAGTCCTACCGAATCATGTTTCGGATGATAGACCTGCATGTAAAGAGCCCTTCAAAGCAGGCGCGGTGAGCAATAGAATCGATCGAGTACCTATGTGAGAACTAATGAGGAAATAGTGGGTTCGCGAGAAGTTATCAAAGGCTTATGTTGGCTATCATGGCTGGAATGCAAGTGATCAATAATATTGAGATGGTATTTCTAGCGTGTGCTATAGGAGAAAATTCATATCTCGGAATATTAGAAGATCATAAATAAATGTTGATCTGACGAATGAGAAACCAGACGGATAAATAATCCTTAATCTTCAACGACTCTCGTGAATGTAACCGAGCGCCACCAAATCAGGGAAGTTGAGTAGTTTGTAAGCGTGCGAACTTCAACCCCCACACACCTCTATAAAGAGCATCAACCCCAGGATAAACAGGATAGAAATCAGAAAGATAAAGCATTTCCATTATGTTGCCATTCAGTATCCCGCCGTCCACAGCAACGGCCTCCCTTACACCATTCAAATCCGCCATCCCCAACGCGAAACTCATCGAGCTCGAAACGTTGCTCAAGGCAGCCAAATTTGCACCGCCTACCTATGAGAATTCTCAGCTAGACCGTCGCTATGGTGTCTCTACCGACTGGCTAGTGACGATGCGAGATTTATGGCTGAGGTCTTATCACTGGTAATGACATCACCGGCCATATGTGCGCATTGCATGAGATTGGACACAGGACTGAATTGTCACAGGAAATCCTCGGAGGATCGAATTAACAGTTTCCCTCAGTATACCACCGAAATCGAGGGTCTTGCAATTCATTTTGTAGGGTTGTTTTCCCAAAGGAAGGATGCTGTTCCTCTGCTGTTGGTGCATGGATGGCCTGGTATGTTAATATATTGACCTTCATCTCATGGCAAGCACGAAGTCTGACAGATTGTATTCTAGGGAGCTTCCTCGAGTTTCTGCCTATACTGCAGAAGTTCCGAGAGGAGTATACCCCGGAAACCTTGCCTTATCACTTGATTGTACCTTCTTTGCCAGGTTTCACATTTTCCTCTGGACCCCCATTGGATAGGGACTTTGAAATAGCTGATATTGCTCGTGTGTTGGATCAACTGATGAAAGGCCTCGGCTTTGGGAGCGGATATGTTGCCCAGGGAGGTGATATTGGAAGTCGGATTGCCAGGCATTTGGGTGTGGAACATGAGAGCTGCAAAGGTATGAAATATTCATGGAATCACCACTAGAAGGAATGAGCTTTTTCTAACATGTTGCGTTATAGCTGTACACGGTAAGTCCCTTCTTCATACAGCTTGTTCCATGACCAGAATGCCAATATGAATTAGTAAATGTGGTTTTCATGAGAAAGCCGGACGGTATGACAGATGACCACCTAAATGCTTCTGAGATACAGGGCATCAAGAGGATGACAGAGTTTGTGGCTACCGGTGCAGCTTATGCGATGGAGCAAGGCACCCGACCTAGCACCATCGGGCACGTTCTGGCATCGAGCCCTATCGCTCTACTAGCATGGTAAGCGGTGCAAAGCAGAGTGTAGTTGACAAGAACCCCAAACTAACACATACAGGATTGGAGAGAAATTCCTCGAATGGGTCGACGATCCGCTTGCCGCAGATGACATTTTGGAATCTATCACCTTGTACTGGCTGACGGAGACGTACCCTCGAGCGATCTATACTTATCGAGCGGTGAGTTTCCCATGATTCTTGACCGCAAGAATACATCTGATGAGAAATGCATAGAACTATCCTGCGCCACCGCTTCCGTCCTCCAATGACCCCCGTATGTATATCCACAAGCCATTCGGATTTTCTTCTTTCCCCATGGAGCTTGCTCCACTGCCGCGCTCATGGATTGAAACCACTGGAAATTTGGTCTTCTGGGAGAAGCACTCGAAGGTATGCGATGTGGCAATTAAACGAAAATCAAGATCTGAGACTGACGCTGTTTTGCTATAGGGTGGTCATTTTGCAGCACTGGAGCAGCCTGATGAATTGAAGGCGGACCTGGTCAAGTTCATAGACCAGGTGTGGCCAGGCATTATTGGTGCCGAATAAGCTTCTATCAATAACTAGAAGAGAAGGGCGTGTGGTGATGTAGGTGGCAGGGGAACTGAAGCTGGAATATATTTCAGCACTGTAGATAGGTGACCGTTATAAAGAAGTCTGATGCTATAGCAACAGATACACAGAATGTAGTTAGACAGAACACCGCACACATTTTCCATTAGGTTTAAACAAAAATCCTTTGAAACCCCCACAGGCTGGTAGACTGACAAAGTAATAGAGGTGTAGTTGATAAATTCAACTTCGGGCTGGGTATCAGATCGTGTCCACACTTCCCCCATCTCCAACTACACCTCAACAAGAACAGTTCCACCAGAACATCATATCCTCATCCAGTGCAACTTAAACCATGACAAAAACTACAGCAGCCGATGAAATATTCTCCGACGAATCAAGTTTCTACGGTAAATCCCATTCCATACTCCACTCCACCTAAGAACCCCATCTAACCGACATCAGGCGACGACGATGAAAAGGCCCAACTAGAAGCCCAAGTCTCATCCTACGATCCAGAGCCATTCTGGGTAGAAACCCACCAGAAGCAACTATCAACCATCCAGCAGCAACTGCGCGCACCCCCGCCACGCGCAAAGAGGGCATCATCAGACGTGTCTATGGAAGATGCATCCCCAGAACCATCCAGCACACCGCGCAACCAGCGCGGGAAGACCGAGCCCATAGCTCGATTCTTATCGCGTCTTCCACCCTCAACAACAGAATCCACAAGCGTAGGCCCCTGGATCTGGATGTTCAATCCGCATGTGTCGCCGTCGCGGCGAAGTGGGGATGTTCCCACTCTGCTCCGCAAAGGTAGGGAGCTTCTCCAGGAGTTCGAGAATGAGAGTGCGATGCTGCGTGAAGCACATGATAAGTCTGGTGCGAAGACTACGGCTGCTTTGACTCGTAAGCTGAATCCGATGCGGAAGGAGCTTGAGAAGGGGATTCTTGATCTGGCGAGGGAGACGGGTGTTACGGATGGGAAGTGGATGCTTTTTCCGACTGTTGATCGGGTTGATGAGTTCTGGGAGATTGTTGTTAGGGCTATGGAGAAGGGAGAGCTTGGGGATGCGGCGAAAGTTGCTACTGATGATGGGTCTGGGTCTGGACAGAGTCGGTTAATATGTGTTTACACGCCTGATTTTGGGGATGTTGAGGATGTTAAGCGGGTTGTGAGTCGGTTGGTTGATATCGGGCTTGTTGGGAAGGGGCCTCGCGGTGTTTATTACAAGTCTGATGCGTTTACTCATCTGGAGATCAACTCTAAGAATGAGTATGGGCTGAAGGCGAGTATGTATTCGAGTCGGGAGATGCTTGAGGGGAAGTAGGGGGTAGTTGTGGCTGGGGTTTGTTTATGATTGACGATGATATGATTGATGATTAATTTGCTGAAGTGGGTATCTCTGAACGCAGTTATCTACATGTATGATACTTTATGTGTTTCCGGACATTGGTAGAAGTAGGTTCGGTCATGGGCGGGTGGGCTGTGTGCCGAGGTCTTTCCAGAAGTTGGGGAAGCGGTGTTTTCATGGGGGTGGTTCCTTGGAATCGGGGCTAGAGAGGCAGGTGATCATGCCTTGCATAGATCGGGAACGACGTTCTTGATGAATGAGCCGGCTCATTCATGAGGCTGTCGGTCCAGTCAGAAGTGATGGCTCACTTCAACAGAGGTCTATTGCCGGTGAGCCCAACCACATGAATTATGGCCGAAGAAAGGGGGGTATGAGCAGGCGTTCAGTCATCGTCGCTTGCCCGGTCCATGACTTTCTCGCAGGCCGTCCGAATCTCAGCAACCCCCTTGACAGCACCCCAAGCGTCAAGTAAATGCTGGATCTCTTTCCAGTCCTTCTCCGCAGCCTCTAGTTTATCCTCCGCCAAAAGCTCCTCTAATCTCTGTGGGGCAGCAAGCACCCACCGAACAGTATCTTTTTCACTCTTTTGACTCAAAGCCTCATCTTCCAGCTTCGCCTCTTTCATTCGCCGCCGCTGCTCCTCGCCCTCTTTGATGAGCCCGCCAGCAGTCTCAGCAACAAAGGCAATAGCCGGACCCAGCGTTTTGGTCATAGTCAACGGCGCCCCACGATCATCCATACTGCGTCGCATTTTCCCGATTGTCTCTACAGCGCGAATCAACTTCGAGTAGTTATCGTAGACCAGCGCCTTCCGCTCTCCGTCAAGAGTGCGAATATCCCCAACCAATGTGTTCTCTGCCTTGAGGACTGTAGCTAGCGAGGAGGTTGACAAGAGATGGTCGACATAGCGCTGCGGGTCAAAGTCTGCACTATCCAACTCCGTTCCTGACGCTAGAGCGGTCATGTCGGAAGTGTCTCCTGCATCTGTGTTTCTTGGCACACTCCGGGAGCGAGATGCATCCCGGGAAGCAGATGTGCCTGCACCGGGTGGCTTGAGGTTGTAGTAGTCTCGCAAGGCGCTCCGATTGCGTCGGAGATGGACCGAGGGGGAGACAGCTCGTGCAGTGGATGGGGTAGATGCGGCGCTGAGCCCCCGCCGACGTTGGTGTTCAAAGCATCGAGCGATGGGCGGGAGGAGGCTGGACCCGGCGAATGGGCTCGGGATGAGGCAATGGAAAGACGTGGGGATGATAGAGTTGACATTGTGTTGAGTTTGTGGGGGAGGCGTGCCGGAGTTGTCGGAGGTGAGACAGTCGGGCCAGGTCAATGGGTTTAAGCGGTGGTCTGTGCTTTTGTTTTCGCGTTGAGTGTTTCCCCAACTTTGCTTTCCTTTGATTTAGCGTACGCGCCAGTATGATCCTAAAGGAATCAAAGACACCATGACTAGTCCTGATCAAATTGCAGCTCAGATACTGAGCACAAAGTCTCTCTCAGTCGCCCAACCCTGGCTCAATGCCTTCCTTTCATCCTGCAGCACGTCACAACGCAATATTCCCGCCTCGGCTCTCGCGCAGACGGCTATATTCCGTCTCCTCGCCTCTGATATCAAGGAATCACTCTCCAAACACAGGTCATGCGTTTTACCAGTCGACATCCATAACCCGGCGGTGCAGGAGCGACGGCTACAAGGCTCAATCCCCGTACAAGTGCTAGACATCGAAGACATCGGCACGAGTCTATGGAGCCAGATTGAAGCGATTGAACGGGTTGAACGCGGTGAAGCGATCCGCGGCCGTGAGATTGTGCGCACAATAGCGGTAGGGGAAGACTCTGAGGCATCGGAGAACAATCGCGCGAACAACAACCCCACCGGCGGTGCTGCAGGTGTGTCCGGGAACAGTGGGTATGGGCCGCATCGCCTGATTCTTCAGGATGCAGCCGGTACCTTGGCTGTGGGTGTTGAAATGCAGCGGGTTGAGGGGATAGCGTTGGAGAAACTTGCTATTGGGGGGAAGCTCTTGCTCCGTAATCCGTCTGTTGCGCGAGGTATGGTGTTACTTTCTCCGGGGTCTGTTACTCTGCTTGGTGGCAAGATTGAGACTCTGGATAAACCGTGGAGGGAGGGTAGGAAGGCTAGGTTGTTGGAGAAGACTGCAGGCATCGAGAGAGAATAAGAAGAGACAAGTCATCGTGGGCAGGACTCGCTGAACAACTTGGCTTTGCACTTATCATTGGGGTATGTTAATTTCCTTTAGTCTATCACGAAGACATTTAATCTACTGTGTTAAATTTGATATTGTCATGTTCATTCGCTAATAACTGATTGTGCAGATGGAGTAAATACACTGTGCATCAAGTTCGTCCAGCGCTCACGCTTGTATGGCGCTTTCGCAGGGCGGCAGAGTAGTTACCTCGTCGTCCCATTACTCCGGCCCACGGCTTGTGCGGCGCTTCCACATGTTCTGGGTAGGGACATTGTGGCTCAATTCCTCCCATCCATTGCGTTTCCACGGGGCAATCATGATCGCTCGGAAGGCGTCACCGAGCTTGCCGGTTTGCGCGTAGGCTTGACTGAGATCGTCGGCTCCGAGATTGCCGTAGGGAGGTACGCTCCGCAGAGCACGTTCGATAGTCATCGCGGCTGGGTACGCCTTTCGTGAGGCTACCGATAACTCCATCCAACCGGCAGGTTGTCCAGGTGTAAGCATCACGGCAGCAGTGGCATCACCAATGCGCCTGATGTTTTCAGGGACGGCTGCGTTATCGTTGAGTCCCATTGCTGAGATGGCGCTCATAAGTTTGATGATTTTAGCTCGGTCGTGGAGGTCGATGTCATCTCGCGAGATCATATTGTTAAGGTCGGATTCAACTGCTTCAATAGCATCCCGGTCCGCATCAAGGAGAGCGATGGCACCCAAAAGGGTGACTGCTCCGATGTGGCCAGGGTGGTTCATCACACAATCAAGCAGTTGCTCGCGAGCAACAGCCCGGTTCTCCTCGCCGCCCTTGGCCCACAGGACCTGTGCAAGAAGACAGACAACATCTGGAGCATGATCTGCTTCTTCGAGGGCGTCGCGGAACATATCGATAGCTTGATCCATAGACTTCAGGTTGTAATGTGCTAGACCAGCAGTCAGATGTGCAGACAGACGAAGTTTCTTGCAGGCTTCGGGGTCGAATTTCACCGCGTCTTCCTCCTCAGAAAGGGTGAGCGCGAGTTCGGCCTTCTCTGCGGCCTCTGCATAAGAATGGCGTGCAAGAAGGACACGAGCCATATCTGCGTTTGCTTGAGCATACCTCGAAAGGGAAGCTGGTGACTCAGTCTTTTCAAACTCGTCTTCCATGCCGGAGCAGACAACCTGTAGACTAGACTCGGCATCTGCTGTCTCTCCCATTCTTTCTGCTAATAGGGCGGAAAGGTGCACAAATGGCAAGTTTTTCGGATCCTGAATGCAGAGTTGGTGCAGCGCGAAGAATGGCTGAATGAGTTCGGACACCTCAGAGGTGGTGGTTGCATTAAGATGATCAAAGTGCGTCAGGCTGAACTGGCGCTTAGTAAGAATATCGGATGAGTTTGAGATATCAAAGGCATGCTCGAAGTAACCCCTCGCCTCCTGCATATCGCGACCAATAATGGAAAGGAAGCCCTGGCCCACCCAAGCCAGTGAATAGTCTGGGTCGGTGGCTTGCGCTCGCAAGAAGGTCTGGTAGGATTGCTGTCCTTCTCCATGGAGGAGGTAGAGTGCTCCAAGGTTGGTCCAAACTTGCGCATTACGTTCATTCAAATGCAAGCTTCGCACAAACGCATGCTGGGAGACCTTGGGGCTCATGCTTGCAGTGACGACACCCAATGCGTTCCAGAAATCGGAATTGCCTGCCTCCAATTCGATTGCTCTCTTGAAGCACCGCAAGGCTGCTTTCAAGAACTTGCGAGACTTCTTACCTTTGTTGGTAGAGTCCAACTGCACGTTACGATATGCCAAATATTCAGCCCAACCGAGGTTGTACCAGGCAACTGCTAGAGAATGAGTATCATGGACGGAAACATGGAGTGCACGTTTAGAGGCGATGATAGCGAAGTGAACATAGAAGTCAGATGACAACGAGTCTTCGCCTTGGTAAGCCGCGAGCCAATCATTTCCGATACCGTCGATCTCGGTCATGATATCAAGGGCCATAGGGTCGAGATCGACTGTCAATAAAGTCTTGCAGCTAGAAGCAGGCATCTTTCCAGCCTTGGCTTTCATGTATGAGAAGTTGGAGAATGCATCACCCACAGCCTTCCACAAGTTAAAGATATCGCTTTTGACCTGCACCAGCGAGCTGGCCACTGAGATAGCTTGGTATGCGAGCTCTGCCGCATCATTGAAAAGACCCAGGCTGACGCTCTTCGTCGAACTTTCAGTTAGGGTCTGAAGGAGTGCGAGAGTCACACCAATGTCATCAGGACGGGATTTCAGGACATCTTCGTAGGCGGCAATGGCGTCATCGTATTGGCCAAGCTCCCGCCTGACATTTGCCAGCATATAACTTGCAAACCATACATGCTCCTTGTCTTCGGCTGACAGCTCTGGTACCAAGGATTCTGCGTGCTCAAATGTCTTGGTGGCAGCGTTGTATCGACCAGAGTGGTGATAGCTTTCAGCAAGACCGACCCATGAGTGGTAATCTGTTGGATTGAGTCGAAGCGCTGCTTGGAAGGACACGGAACTTTTGCTGTATTCCTGCTTGTTAACCTGGACCGATCCCAATGCCGCATATGGCCAGCTGAACCCTCGGCGTTTTGATCCAGGAGCAGGCCGAGCCTTGCCGGAGTCAACTACCCGTTGTGCAATTACTTCGACAAGGTCCCATTCCTTCGAGTCGGCAAATCCCCTAGCAAGACGCTCGGCAGCTTCGATCTCAGAGGTTGACAGTTCGAATGCCTTGTGGAAACATCTTCGAGCTCTCGCCTTATCTTTCTTGTAATCTGCGTAGTAGAAACCAAGAATGGTGTATGCTGGAGCGAAGTTCATATTCGCATTAATGGAAGCAATGAGGCTGGCATAAGCACCACTGCGATCTTTGCGCGCGGCTGGGGACGGATCAAGCTCCCACTGGCAGTAGCCTATGCGATAAAGAAGCTCAGATCTGAACTCCCTGTTGTCCGGTTGGGCTTCTTTCAAATCCTCAAGTGTAGCCTGAAGGCGAGCTAGGCCACCTTCAAGATCGCCATTTAGTGCCTCACACCAAGCAAGCTCTCCACGGATCTTAAGGTTAGACGAATCGCGTTCAAGTGACCGTTGCAGGAAATTGACAGCTTCCGCGTAGTCTTGGTCCTCTTTTAAAATCAGACCAATCCCAAGCAGGCAATTGGAGGAGGTTGGGTTCCGTTCGAGAATCCCCTGAAAGATTCTTTTCGCATCGGTGTGGTGTCGCGGAGATTGATAATGGATCATGGCATTGGCAAGTGCGTTGTTCAAGGCATCAACGGTGTTAGGGATCTTCATCCCACTGTACTTCACCAAGTTATCAACGTACAATAGCCCCTTGCGAGCAACGTTGACCACACTCTCATACTCTTCGATAGAGAGATAAAGATCTGCCATGATGCGGTGGGCAAGAATTGAATCTCGAGCGGAGTCCAAGCCCTCGACCATAAGGGCAATAGGGTCTTTGGGAGCATTTGCATCGTCATGGTCATCATTATCAGGTCGAGTGGCTGTAGTTTCCTTGCCATGCTTGGCATCTTCGTCTTTTGTTTCGTCGGAAGGGTCATGGGGAAATGGCGATAGTTCGCTTGATAAGAACCCTTTGAGAACCTGCGAGAGTCCAGATTCCGGGAAGAACTCGATGTACTCACGCAGATGCCCCACGTCATACTGGGAGTAATCCTCAACATCCAGCCACCCCAGGAAAACCTTCCATGCGGGTTCAAATGGATGTTTGATGATCACCATGTCATGTGCTGCCTTGAAAACGGCTCCTCTCTTTGCCTCCTTTTCGCTATCAGGCAGAACTCCGAGTTCTTCATACGCACGCTGAAACAACTTCTCCTCGTATTGACGACGTACCGTATCGTCGTTGGTCCAATCAATCATTCCTTGGTAGTATTGATCCAATCGGCTCTTGTTGGCAGCTTCCCGTCGAACTTCCTGAGTGACTTGTTCGATGCGCGCACCAAGGCGTGTTCTGCGCTCTCCAATTTCACGATTGATGAACTCTCTTTCTTGACGCTCGGTGATTTCAATCAATCGCTGGTATGTTTGGGATGGACGAGGCAACCGGCCCTCAAGAAAGTCGTACAGGGGTGATCCCGGCAACTGGAGTTCCAATGCATGCTTGTGTTGGCTTGTGGTCCCATTGTTCTTCATTGACTTTGTGTATTTGTTGACCAGATCTTGGCAGCGTTCCTTCTCGTCGCTAGAAGCCATTAGCGCAATGTCCTTCGTACACATGAATTACGAGGAAAATTGAAGCATACTTGTCGGCAAATATCTTTCCAAGAGCAATGACTGCCTTGTGATAACCATCATGGTTGCAGCCACCCTGCTTCTCGTACAGGGAGATCAAGCCCTGCCAAGCAGTTTTATCGTCGGGATTGATAGTGGTCGCGGCAACATAAGCGTTCTCCGCGTCATTATTCTTATTCAATTGATCGTTGGCAAGACCAAGGAAGACATTCCTAGCGAAAAAAAAACAACCCGAATTAGTCATGTGCAATACAGAATCAAGAATTGGCATACGCATGGTAATTCTTTGGCTCGTTCTGGACAAGCTCCTTGGCTTTTTCAGCTGCGGCTTGGTAATCTTTCGATTCCAAGGCTGCTCGCACAGCTTTCAATGCCGCTTTGCTCGACATGATTCCCGTTGTGCAAAGGCAGCGGGGAGAAACTGTCGTGGTGGAGCAAAGCGGTCGGCTAGCTCTCGATACGTCACTGCTTATCGTTATCGCAGGTGGACTCTGATCTGATGGCAATGGGCTCGCTGTTGCGCTTGACAGTTTGAAAAGGCAGATAAAGAGTGAAAAAATCACCCCGAATCTCTCACGGTAGACGTGTTAAGCACAACTCGAGCGAGCCAGAACGATTTCTTGAAGTGGTAAGAATCACGTGTTCTAGTGATTTGCACGAAGGTATCGTGCAGCTCGGGACTTGTGACCTTCGTAAAGGTTGCCAAGGCTCATTCGCAAGCTATTTCACTACTGCTAGTCGAGTTGAACGAATCGGAAAGTCGTTGCCTGGTACCGAACATCTAGTTCCTACGAGCTAAGAGCTTCATATACTTCGGTTTCTGACTTGCCCACCCTTAAAACATCCGGCGCGAACCTACGACTCCTTTCAACTTGACCTTGGGGCAATAATGGCCCCTCTGCGTCTAAGAGTCGAGGGACAGTCCTTCCGAGACCCTCACAACCGGGAGATCACACTAAGAGGGATAAACGTTGCGGCTGATGCGAAGTACCCAAAGACACCGGACATCCCCACATACATCGCCGAGAAGTTCTTTGACGCGGACAACGTCTCATTCGTTGGACGGCCCTTTCCACTAGAAGATGCTCACGTCCATTTCAAGCGCCTTCGCAAATGGGGTTATAACACAATCAGGTACATCTTTACCTGGGAAGCCATTGAACATGCAGGACCGGGGGTGTATGACGATGAATGGATTGCATTCACTATAGAAGTCCTCCGGATAGCCAAAAAGTACGATTTTTGGGTTTTTATGGACCCGCATCAAGATGTGGTGAGTATAGATGAACACCCAGACAAATAATATACAACCTCATGCTAACCCACCGCCTCTTAGTGGTCTCGATTCTCAGGAGGATCCGGGGCACCGATGTGGACGCTCTATGCAGCAGGGCTAAACCCAAAAACCTTCAAAAACACGGAAGCTGCCTTGGTTCAAAACACATACGACATCCCCGCGGAGTTTCCTAAGATGATCTGGAGCACAAATTATACTAGACTGGTTTGTCAAACCATGTTTACCTTGTTTTGGGCTGGGAGGGACTTTGCTCCAAAGGCGGTCATTGATGGGGTGAACATTCAAGACTATCTCCAGAAACACTTTATTGATGCATGTGCATACTTGGCACGGCGGATTCATGAAGCAGGTGATCTTGATGGTGAAGTTATCATTGGCTGGGAAAGCATGAATGAGCCTCACCGTGGTATTATTGGCGTGCAAGACATTTCAGTAATTCCGCCGGAGCAGCAACTTCAACTTGGCACTTCACCGACAGCATTTCAAGCAATGCTGACCGGCTCAGGCAAGGCTTGTGAACAGACAACATGGGCATTTGGTAACTTTGGACCTTACAAGACTGGCACAAACCTGGTGGATCCAGCAGGCGAGATAGCTTGGTTGCCAGCTGATCACGATGATAGCAAATATGGCTGGCAACGTGACCCTGCTTGGAAACTTGGAGAGTGTATATGGGCCCAGCATGGAGTTTGGGACCCGTCCACAGACACCCTTCTACAGAAGGATTATTTCTCAAAGAATCCTCTGACCAACGAGCCACTTGACTATGAGAAATTTACAAACTCGTATTTCTTGGATCATTACCGAGCATACAAAAATGCCATTCGAGGAATATGGCCCGACGCCATAATGTTTTGCCAGCCACCTGTTATGGAGGTCCCGCCAGATGTCAAAGGCACTACTGACGATGATCCAAACATGGTCCATGCAGTTCATTACTATGATGGCTTAACTCTTCTAACAAAGCATTGGTGAGAATTGGCCAAGATTCTTCAAGTAGAAATGGCAGTACTAACGCCTCTAGGAATCGGTTCTACAACGTGGATGTTATTGGTGTTCTCCGGGGCAAGTACCTTACCCCTGCCTTTGCCCTTAAGATTGGCGAGTCGGCTATTCGCAATTGTTTGCGTGATCAGCTCAAATTCCTCCGCGATGAAAGCCGAAATTACATGGGTAGCCATCCAGTGGTTTTCACGGAGATCGGAATTCCCTACGACATGGACGACAAGTATGCGTACAAGACCGGTGACTATAGTAGCCAAACCAGCGCCATGGACGCAAATCATTTTGCACTGGAGGGCAGCACTTCCAACGGCTTTACTCTGTGGGTATATGTCACACAAGTAGGTATTTGGGCTTCTCGCATCATGAATGGTACTAACACACCGTAGAACGACCACGAATGGGGTGATCAATGGAATGGAGAGGACCTCTCTATTTATTCCCGCGACGATCTAGAACTGCCAGCAAGATCCACCACTCGACTTCTTGATCCTCATTCCCCGGCTTACTCCGAAAGCCAGAGTAATGTAGAAGAGCCAAATGTTGGACCTTCTAATCTCAAGGGTGTTTTGTCAACTCCTTCGATATCTAGTGACAACTCCCAGCCATCCTCAAAACAGCAGCAAGGCTATCGTGCTGCAGAGGCATACATCCGCCCAAGTCCAACATACGTCAGCGGAAAGTTAAATAGCCACGTTTTTGATCTCCAGAACTGTGTGTTTACTCTATCATTGACGGCCAAAGGAGCAACCACTGCAAACGCCCCGACCGAAATATATCTTCCCGAATTCCATTTCCCAGAGAGTGATATTATTATTGCAGTCAGCGGTGGCAAGTGGGACATTGATGTTCAAGACATCCAGGGTGTCAAGGTACAGCACCTCCGTTGGTGGCATGCCGAAGGTGAACAGGATATCAAGATCGAGGGACTCAAGCGCAAGCCTGGAGAGTTTGCTAATCCTGGCGGAGAAGATATCAGCTATTTGGAACAATGTCAGAAGGGCCAGTGTGCCATTATGTGAAGTTGCTATTGTGTTTTGGGTGCCAAATTTTCTATTACCAATTTGAGATCAATTGCTTCATTATATATCTGCTGTGATTCCTATCTTCGCTACCTCCTTAGATCCCCAAAGGATAAAAAGAAAAAAAAAAAAAATTAAATTCAATCCTAGACAATACAACATAAATAGATAAACGATATTCATTGTCATTTTCGGGGCATGTATATGACAGGTCTACCTAGGTATGTATAGGTTGAAGTATACAACAGCTGGTATGCGAGATAAGATAACCAATGATGAGGGGCATTGGGGCTAGGCAGCTATGATGACACCAAAAACAACGTTGATGAGCATACAAAGAAATATTATACCAATTGTTAAAATGTTACATAAATGATCCTTGTTAACCCTAAAATACTTTCATCGAGTCCTCTACCTAGCGCACCCCAGAAGTGAAAGAAGAGCGGAGCATCAACGGGTGAGCGGTGTGCCCTTGTTGATCTCCAGGGAAAATTCTCAGCCCGACAAGTCACCAATTGTCTTCTGCTAGTCTTCCCTTTCGTGATTTGAACCTGCGCCAACCCCCCCTGCATTGCAAAAGTACCGATTCACAGCTTCAAGTTTGGTCCTCAACCTCGGACCATCCTTCCCCCGGATAGAGCGAGTGGCGCGTGCGGATGGCCGTTGCGGAGGCCGACTGCTAAACAAACACAGGCTAAGTTCAACGGCCATCGAGTCTGACCTGCCCTCTCCTGACTATGAGACGCGGTATTTCACTGTGACACGGTACCGAGACTTTACTTTTTGCTTCGCCAAATACTCTTGCAACGCGTCAACACGATGGCTGCGGAGGAGTTGTCAGAGGGCGGCATGGCCGATATCATCCGTGCCCTGCAACTCATTCACAACCCTACATCGTCGAACGAGATACGGAAGGAGGCTTCGCAGTTTGTGGAAAGCCTGAAAGATTCGGATGCCGCGGGGCGAAATGGCTTCCTTCTGGCTTCTCGTATGGAACATGAGCCGGTTGTCCGATACTTCGGTCTTACCCTCTTGGACCACGTTCTTCGCCAGTACAATTTTACGAACCCCGAAGAAGCCAAGACCTTGCGCATGATGATTTTACAACTTGCTGAGAACGTCCGCCCCGAAGACCCTGCGTATTTCCGGAATAAGATCTCCCAGCTGTGGAGCGAGGCCGCCAAGAAGACCTGGGGATTGGACTGGATGGATATGGATGCAAACTTGGTTCAGTTCTGGGGTGCCTCTCTCGTTCACAAAGACCTGGTACTCGCTGTTCTGGAGACCCTTTCCGAGGATGTCTTTTTCCGGGAAGATACTGCATCGTCATTGCGGGGAGGTGAACTCAATCGGTCGCTCATCGAGATCTTTACCCCTTCAGGCATTGTGGAGCAAATTACCGGCGATAAAAACGCTGCTACAATTCCACGCTGTGGACAGGAGGGCTGGCTGATTCGAATTTGCGAATTTCTCGACAATTGCGTCCAGAATGTCTCTAGCTCAGAACAGGCTCGGGATGCGGCCATAAAAGCTTTGGCAACTTTGAGATCTGCCTTGTCATGGTCCGTCTACAAAGGTGTGATTGCTTCCCAGGTTGTTCCCAGCATCTTCCGAGCTTTGCCTTGTCAAGATGACCAGGTGCTTCTCGCAGCAATCGAAGCACTCCATGCGCTCTACGGAAGAAACACGATAGGTAGCGAAGAGTCGCATGAGTTAGTTTGCCTGATTTTTGAGTCAGAATACCTTGTTGTTCTCCAAAGACTATACGAATGGTCAATCGTGGGCCCGGACGACGTTGATGATCCCAAATATCTTATCTCCAAGAAGCTTTCCGAGATGGTTTCATATATTGCTGGCTGCTTGGAAGACGACAAATTCTTGGTCTCCACGATGGACCGTTTGAATCTGCCACCTTTCCTGCAATTCATGGTCAACATCATGCAACACCAGAGCTTGACGGTCTCCATACCTTGCCTGCATCTTTGGTCCAGGTTGTTACAAAACTCAAAAATAAGTAACTTGGACTTTGTGCTCGAGCAAACTCCTCACTTCTTGAACATTTGCACCCAGAGGCTTCTTCGTTGGGAGTCTCTCCCGACTGAATCAGATGATCCAACCGTGCAGTTTTTGGTCGAGGACATTGATACAATCCCAGAACGGCATGCCTTTGTTGGCAATTACCGCCGTTACTGTTCCTCGATCATTGAAAGTATCACTTTAAAGCGACCCCAAGAAGCAGTGCGCGAAATTCTCGCCCGGGTGGATACCAACCTCGACAACTTGTATAGTGGTGTCCAGCCATTTAGCAGTGAGTACCAAAAAGTTACCGAACTATAGACCTAGAGACTGATCATTTGGCAGTGCAAACTTTCACCAAATCCTCAATTCCTCTCATGAGAGCAGATGCTCAATTCGCAGTGGTAGAGGCTGTCATCAAGGGCTACAACAAGTGGGTTTCGGCTCATGGAAAAGCACCTCAGCGTGATGTAAGAGAATGGAGCAGCAAACGGAAAATTGGTTGCTAATATCTGCTAGGAATCCAAGCGAATGGAATTAGAACATGCGGTGGAAAATTGGGCTTCAAGCCTAATGCAAAGGTCTTTTGAGGTATGTAGTTTTGCACAAATCCAAGGAATCACATCCACTTACCTCTTTGCCATAGGATCCGGTCTTGAAACAAAGAGTCATTAAATTAGCCGTCGACATCTCTTCAAGAGCTCTGGACAATCATCCAGGATTTGCGCTCAAAGTTCTGGAGCACATTCTCATGTCCCGTCTACCAGACCAGCCCGAATACCCCTTGTATTCTGAGGCTGTCAAAGAACTTCATGGATTGACAAGCTCTGAACTTCGCCGGTTGGCTATGCGCTATGCCGACTACTTCTATGTATGCCAATCATCTCTTGGTCCTAAACCACCTTCTAATCATGCCCAACACAGACTTTCTACGATCTTCTCGAGCCAAAGATCAAAGAAATCACTCTGGCTAACCGCGTCGACGACAAGTTGCAAATGGAACTGACTTCTATCTTGCTCATCATTATGTAAATTTTCTTCCCGCCATTATTCTAAACTTGGCCCCTACTGACTCATTACAGGCAACGCGCAATTAATGCTGATCCTTATCTGCGCCAAAATCGTCTCGCATCCTTCCTCCAGCCCATCCGAGAGTCATGGCAAGACGACGAATTCCGCCACAACAGCTCCACTTTCCCAGGGTTCTGCAATATGCTTGGACTGGAAAATGTTGGTCCGTACATGCAATCCAAAGAAGCACAAAAATTGGCAGACTGGTCAGAAGTGGCCTTGGACAGCGAAGGAAAGCTAGTCCAGGAGGAGATGACCAGAAAGTTCCAGGTAAAATCCCTAACCCTCATTCCTGTCCCAGTGCCAATCTGACCCAACATTTTCTAGCTGTTGCCATTGCGTGGTACCAAGACTATGTTGGCTGTTTCCACGGATCGAGTCAAAAAGTCTTCGCCAGCTTATGTGACTGCCTGCGAGATGTGGCACGATCTGATCCCTGTGATTCTTCCCACTTTGCTACAGCTTGTCAGGTAATCATCTATGCTAATGTGGACCCAAGCCATCAAGCTAATTCTCAATTTCAAGACACGCCCATGCCTTCCACAATCCCGCCAATTGGAATATGGTCGAAGGCATGCAACCAGTGGTCGAACGTATCCTCACAGATCGATTTTGGCAGGCTGGTATTTCCATTGGTAGTCGCGACGAGTTTTACGCCAGAATCACATCATCCAAGTCTACACTTGAAGGGTTTGCATCATCGGTTCGAGGAAAAGTTAGAGCTGTCCGCGAAGCATGCTACTCCATGCTGTTTAGCATGAGCAGGATGCGAGAGCACTTCTATGGATTTGCCGAACTTCCAGGACCCCTATCTGAAGCATTGTTTGTTGACTCACCGCATCTCTCCTCCCACCAGTTCTCAGTTCTTCTCAACATCTCGCGTTGTCTGATTGACGACTGCCCCGTGCAATTCCGCAGCCAATTCTTGCCTCCCATGCTATCGACTCTATTCACCAACATCGATCGAAAAGTCACCACAGAGTGGGAAATCATTGAACAACGCAGGAACGGAATCTCGGATGGCGATCTCACCACGGAAATGAAGTCTGAAAGTGTCCTTCGCCAATTGACTTACTCTGCTGTGATCATGGTAGCCAGCCTGTTCGATCCACAGAGAGGCGGTAAACAATCCCTGACCCGACGACTATGCAAAGCCCTGGACCACCCCATACTGACGGACCGTGACCTTTCAGACCCAGATGGGACTGAATCGGACCCTAGTGCACCCCAGCCGACCCCGAACCTCTCTGATTCTATTCGCCATTTCGTTCTCTCCTCCCCCGCGATCTTTGAGCCAGTCATGCTCTTCTGCACGCACGTTCTTCGCATGCGCGATACGCGTAGCGGTAGCATTATTACCCGTGTCATTCGGTCAATTCTTCAAGACTTCGCGCCCACGAACGATATTCAGGACACTCAAACTATCGCGACCATCCGCGAATTCATATGCACCGATGTTCTCACAGCATGCATCTCATCCGTACATGAATCATACTTTGTCGATATGCAAAAGGACCTCGCTCAGCTAATTGCATCAATCTGGTGTCTCTATGGCTTCTGTAGCGAGACGCCTCGAGCTGTTTTCCTGAGCTTGCCTGGAATTAGCGCGGAGAAAGTAGCCCAGACCGAGTCTGCACTTCATCAAACTACCTCACCAAGACAGCAGCGCGCATTAGTCTTGGAGCTTCTTGAGCCTTTGCGCGGTATCAGTGTTGCCGAGCAAGGGAAAATGTTGGGTTCTCGTGAGGAACGTCGTAAGGCCCGTTCAGCATTGCAGGAGAGGTACATGACCAATGAGATGGAGACTCAACAGCAGAACCACCGTGTCGATATTAATGATGGCCCCGATCTTGGTGGTGTCGCTGATCTATTTGGATAAGCTCAGCATCATGTGTTTTTGGCGGTATGGATAGGTGAATTGTGCTGCGGCCATCGCGTTTGTTGATTCTTCATTTCACATACCCTGGATATCCATCCCCATCCTTTACATCATTGGCGACCCAACTGCCATTTTTTTGCAGTGTCACATTTCGCCCAGCTTGATTTTTTTTCGGTCTGGATCTGCGTTGCACCTTATCAACTACCCTCATCGTTAGCGAGCGGCGGCGCTTTGCAAGAGATCATATCATAGAAAAGCCACATGCCATTATGCACGAATATATCACTTTTTCTACTATTAGCCTATTTCTGCTTTTGCCACGAGATGAAGATTTTGAACGAGCAAAGAAATAAGACATATTGCAAAAGACTGAACTACACCCTTCACTAGGTAAGTAATATCTACAATGTTTTCCTCGAGATAGCTTCGAGACGGATCACCTCAACTACCACCACAACGCTTTTAGCTCCCCCACAACGATCAGAAAGGCCCAGTTCAGTCCGTATACCATGGAGGCAAGGGGTCACCCAACCAAGCATCCCAAAACACCAGCATCATACAGAGTCAAAAAGAGGGAAATGAGGTACAATATCGCTCAAGATAAGTGTGACATTGTCAGACTGTCTATTGAGTGAGATTGGCGGGGGTATAGGCGAAAGTAGGGCGGACAAAGCTATTCGGACACGCAAAATTAGCATCAATACCGAAAATGATATAGCATCTCAACCGCGCTTGCACGGAACATACCGGTCGGAGTTGTAGATCTTGGCATCGGTACCGAGAAGCTCCTTCTCACGCGCCTTGTCGGCGTAGTGCCGGCGGACCTGGTCGCGGTCCTCCTCGGCCTGGAGGAGAGGAGCGAGGTGCAGACGGGACCACATCTTCTCACGGGCGAGCTCACTATCGTTCAAACACACATCAGTCATTGATTCCACTTCATTCTTCCATTACTGGGCTTGTATTGGGTTCCAATTGCGATTCTCTCGGGTCAATCGGAGATAGGAAAGGAGCCTCTTGCTGGATGAAACGTACCGCTGCTCACGGACACCATGGAAGTACTTGTAGAAACCGTAGGCCATGATGACGTGCATGCCAATCATGTAGTAGGCGGGCTTGAAGCCGCGGGCAGGGACGTTCCGCTATAGAGAGCAAGAAACGAAACCGTTAGCCTGGATGTCTGTGTGCTAGGTGCGCAGGGCCATTGGGAACCCGGAAACTGGGTTGCATGGCTTACCTTGTACTGGACTTGAGCGTAGCCCCCCCGTTGGGGGCATATCCTGAGGCATTGTGACGGTAATGAGCGGGTTAAGGGCTTGGAGGGATAGCGAGGAGCCGCTGTGACGATTGGAGAAGTTGGGTCTGGAGGGTCACGTGAAATATGCACAGTAATGAGGGCTACGGCGCACGTCATTGGCTGATGAGTTTCGGGCGGGCGCTTTTTGAACTTTTGATCTACAGTCGACAGCCCACCTTTATCTTTTGCTTGCCAATTCCACTAAACTACGATGGAGGAGCAAGAGCGGCCTCGGAAATTAGCCAAACTGGATCACGAAGATATTACCCACGAGGTGCCCGCCCCTGCCATGACTGGAGCTGGTGATGTTGCTGGCAACGAACCGCAGCCCGCGAACACTCAGATTGGCAACGAACCTCTCGATCTCTCGGAATTTACGGTTCACAAAGATACAAAAACCAATGATGAATCTACAACGCAAGATGGCGCTGAGGGGGCCGCACCTGTTATGTCGAAAAACCAAATGAAGAAACTGCGCCGCGCGGCAGCTCACCAACAAAAGCGCGCGCTTCAAAAAGCCCAGAAGAAGGAAAAACTCGTACAAAAGCGGGAACGTCGCCACGCTATGATTGTGGAGGCAAGGGAAAAAGGCGGCGAGGAAGCTGTCAAAGAGCTACGGGTGTTATGGCGAGGCAATAAAGCCAAGCACACCCGGTCAACACTTTTACCTTTGACGATCGTGATGGATTGCGGTTACGACGAGCTGATGTCTGACAGAGAGCGCATCTCATTGGCTGGCCAGCTCACGCGATCCTACTCAGACAACAGCCGCGCACCCTTCAACGCGCACATGATGTTCTCGTCGTTCGACAGATTACTGAAAGAGCGATTTGACACTGTGTTAGCGAGCCACAAGAACTGGAAGCGTATTCGCTTTTTGCAGGAGGACTTCGTGCATGCTGGTGAGCTGGCCAAAGAACAGATGACATCCGCACGAGGAGGTCAGCTCGCAGGGCCCTTCGCTGATCAAACTGATGCGAAACCTGAGGACGGGGAAATTATCTATCTCAGCAGTGATAGTGAGAATACTTTGACCGAGCTGAAGCCCTATAGCACCTATATCGTCGGAGCGCTGGTGGATAAGAATCGACACAAGGCAGTTTGTTACAAGCAGGCGGTTGCAAAGGGCATCAAAACTGCCAAATTGCCGATCGGGCAGTACATTCAAATGGCACATCGTCCGGTCCTAGCCACCAACCATGTCATTGAGATTATGCTCCAATGGTTGGAGCTTCGTGACTGGGGCAAGGCGTTCATGAAAGTTATTCCTACTCGGAAAGGCGGCGCTTTGAAGGCAAACCAGAATGAGGGCGAGGGTGAGGTGGAGGCCGAGAATGATGATGTAGATGGGAATGAAGAAGAGCTCGAAGCAGATCAGCAGAAGCAGCTGGAAGAGATTGCAGCTTTCGAGGAAGGAAGCGAGGAGGAAAACGAAGAAAAGGAATAGCCTGTGCTATTCAATCAATACCTTGTACATATTACAACCACAAAAGGAAGGAAATCAGCAATCGAGATCTGAACATAGGCCTGCAGCTTTTGCCTTGTATTAATTGTCGCCTGCCTGCCGGGAGAATTTCCATCTGGTTGAGCACTGCTGTCCCTGTTATTATTGCTTGACTGGCCTTTCTTCCAGGCCCTCGTCTCCCATGTCTGTCCTTACTTTTTGTGACTTGCAGATGGAAAAAGACAGAGATGAATGTAGAAAAGCATAGTGCCTCTTTGGGCATAGTGGCAAACCTACCCGCTTATCTAATCCAATTAGCCACAGGCCTCAGCCACAATCTATGACGGAGGCGACTTTCATTGTGATTGTTGCACTTGAAGACTTGCTTTTGCTTCTTTCTCGCTATCCTCTTTATTTAGGCAGAAGAGCCTTTGCTACTGGGCCTCTCTCTTTCGCTCTTTCCTATATCACTTTTGCTTCACTTCTTCTTGCCTCCCTTCCCTCTTTAACCACCTCTCAAATTTTTGTTTGGCAGCTGCCCCTCGCAACCATGTTTATGCTCCGCAACGGTAAGCAAAGCGCTTTTCATGCCCCGCCAAACCCCTCCATACAAGGGCAATTTTTGCTGCCTTATCGGTTTAAACTAGTAAACTAATCACTCATGTTCTTTAAATTCAATAGTGAGCAAATTTTTGTTCGGTGACGCTTCGAAGGAATCCATCATCGAAATTCCCCAAGGCGAGCTGTACCTGGTCCGCCCACAATCGCCCAAAGGTTACTCTGAGCTCATCTTCAAGGATGCTGCTGCGACGATCCGACGAACTGGCCAGGACTTTCAGTACCAACTTGTAATCCAAAGAGCCTACGAAGAGGGCGAGGAAGAACTTGCGGACGACGATGGTGAGCAAGGCGCGGGCGACAGCCTGGATAAGGACGAGAAGGTTTTTCTTCTGGACCAAACCCTCCACTTTCGCTCTGAACTTCGCGACGGAGGTGCAAAGATATTGGCCTGGGATGATCTGAGTGGCGACGCTGGTGATCTTTTTGAATTCATTTGCGATCCTTCGGTCCCGTCGGATAAGGTTGCCACTTTCGAGCTTGCCGCCCTCCAGTGCCAGTACGAGCGCAAACACCGCCGTAGTGCGCAGAAGGCTACTGAGGCGGAACTAGAGGAATTCTCATACAACGAAGAGAAGCCCATACCACCTGCGAGTCCGGTCTCTTCGCCGACCACGAAGTCACGCGGAAATTCTGTATCGGCAGAAGATTCAGCTGCAGCCATGGCACGTGATGTGGAATACGCTCAGTCCAAAGGACAGATCAAGACTGCAACTCTCGAGGAGCAACCGACTACTGCCCCGCCCTCTGCAGCCCATCCTGAGGCCAAGGAGATTCTTTGCAAGGAAAATGCCGAGCTGCATTTGTTCGACTTCTCTACTGGAACCTTCGTGCTCCAGGATTCGGAAATCGTTGCGACCGTCTCGGAGGTTGGTACTTGGCAGTACTGGCTCCAGATTGCTGGCAAGGATAAGGAATGGTTAGGACAGGCTGTCGTTGCCGATATCAACCCTGTCTTCAACTTCGAATATCTTTCGTTCATTTTCAACCACTACGGTGAAGATGGTTCGGCGTACTCATGGCTCCTGCGATTCAAGGACCAACCCTCGGAAGAACGGTTCCAGGAAGGTCTGATGCAAGCGCTATGGGAACAGCTCAATGAGCTAAAGTGGACCAAGGTCAAGGAAAATGACCGAGACTATGTTCTGGATGCCTTCCAGGATCTTACCATGGAAGACGCTGATGCGAAGGAAGAAGAAGAACTTGAGGCGGAAGAAGAAGAGGCTGAAGAGGAATATGACGGTGACCAGGACGATGCTCAGCGCAGTGAACACTACGACAGCGATGAAGAGGAAGAAGATGTTGTCACGCGCGATGCAGATGGAAACGTCAACTCTCAATTGGCAGTCGGCTACAAGCATGATCGCTCATTCGTTGTGCGCGGATCTAAGATTGGTGTTTTCAAGCACACTGCTCACAACAACCTTGAATTCTCCACGACCATTTCAAAGGTTGAGACACCCAAGGGCAACCTTTTCAGCCCCAAGAAGGTCATGCTCCATGCTGAGGATCAGAATATGATTCTTCAAAACGGAGATGATCCCAACTCGTTGTACAAGATGGATTTGGAATACGGCAAAATTGTCGACGAGTGGAAGGTCCATGACGATATTGCCGTGGAGACATTTGCACCCGAAAATGTAAGCTACCTCTGCTTTGGAACCTTTCTCTGGTAAACTAACAAATTCGCAGAAATTCGCACAAATGACCGCAGCACAGCCATTCGTTGGTGTTTCTAAGAACGCCCTTTACCGCATCGATCCTCGTCTTTCTGGCAACAAGCTTGTTGATTCTGATCTGAAGCAGTACGTCAGCAAGAATGACTTCTCGGCCGTGGCTACTACTGAGAAGGGATACCTTGCCGTCGCGTCTAACAAAGGTGACATTCGTATGTTCGACCGTCTGGGCATCAATGCGAAGACTCATATCCCGGCTCTCGGCGAGCCTATTATCGGTCTCGACGTGTCTGCAGATGGACGCTGGGTGCTGGCAACTTGCCGTACCTACCTCCTCCTCATCGATTCGCTGCAAAAGGAAGGCAAAAACGAGGGCAAGCTCGGATTCGAGCGCGCTTTCGCAAAGGACTCGAAGCCTCAACCCCGCCGCCTCGGCTTGCAACCTGCACATGTTGCTCAGTTCCAGCACGAGACGAAACAGCCTCTTTCGTTCACCACGGCACGCTTCAACACTGGTGTCGACTCAACAGAGACTAGTATTGTCACCGCTACCGGTCCTTTCATTATTACATGGAGTATGAAGAAGGTTCTTGCCAACCGCAAGGATCCATACACTATTAAGCGGTATGGTGAGAATGTCATGGCTGATAACTTCCGGTTCGGCTCTGACAAGAATGTCATTGTTGCTCTACCAAATGAAGTCAACATGGTCGCCAAGCGTACCTTCCAGAAACCCACACGTGAGAGCATTGCTGGTCCTGCCACACCAAACCGGGCGCGTAGCGGATGGAGCAGTCGTCTCAACAGAGATGATGTTGTCAACTCGCCTTATTAGTTTTCACATCCCTTCCCCCTTCCCCCACGTCGGCCCCTGGATTTTCCTCTATTTTTGTACCATTACCCATACCCCCTAATGTTTTGTGTCTTTACGTCTTTTCCAATGTTGTGGCTTCCTTTGCGGGGTCTTTGCTCTCCTGACGCCGCTGGATATCTCTATATTGAGGTCTTCTTCACATTCACTACTTCGTTATCTGTGATTGCGTTTCTTGGGCCATGTTAATTTCGGGCTAAAGGGTGGCACTCGTTAACGAGATCTTATTTTTCAACGTAGCTAGCTAGTTCAGACAGTCCATAAACAAAATATCCAACAACTCTTCAAATGCCCCAGAGTAATCTCCTTTCAATCATTCCAAGGCTCTTTAAATCCCACTCCTCTCTTTTTCCCTTCTCTATCTCGCGACACTCGCCACAAACCCGACGACTCAGTCCAGAAGGTTCTTCTCGCGTACAGCTCCGCTCCCCATTATTCGATTTTCATCAATATCTTATTAGCTTCAATTTGAAGATTTGGAGGCTCCTCATACCCGTATTGATCCACGGAGTCCTCGTAATGATTTGGAGCCTTCTTGACGACTTCTGGCAATATATTCGAATATAGTCGTGGCAAGAAATAAAGAAAGGGAATAACTATTCAAACGAAATTAGATATGGAGGACAGATGATGATGGTTTTATTTCTATGTATATCAACAGAACTCATTTCGGTATAACTTACAATGAAGCACAATCCTAGCGAACCTGAACAGAACTCAAGTTCACAAAGTGCTGGCACATGCCCTAATGAATATGTCAAGGCCCTTGATGTACATATTTACAGCGCAAGCTGCCCGATCAGCTCTTAGCGGATTTACCTATGTCTTGCTGCATTATTAATACATCGCGTCTTCTCTCCATCAGCACTAATGCACTACAATAGTACAATCGATAACAACACCTGTGAATTGTACACGGGTAAAACGGATGCTTCGGCATTATCGGGCCCTATGACGCGGGTAGTCCAAGGAATTCGGGATAATCCCGAGGTATCATTGATGGTCTAGACATCTTCTGCCAATCACGATTGAAACTCGCAGAAATCAACATGCTTGGATATTTTTTAGCGCTAACCCTAAGTCTCATCTCAAACTTCGACGAAATTGAGAGTGGCTTGATGTACTTGAATTGGCTTGGTGCATTTATAACGCCTGCATTGCCTATTCCTACGTCCAACTTGAATCAAGTCATAACGAATATAGTGTTAATTTGATCTTTTAAACCCCTCTTACCGGAGTCCAACGCCTTCGTTTCTCCTTGATTACAATCCTGCTTGCATTACTAATTCATGTCTGACACAGGGGGCGGACCTCGGGAAGCCGAGATACAATATATAAATATGGGCCTCCTACCTGGCTTGAAGAGGTAGACAGTTCAATATCTCATACTTGGTGCTGTACTTCAGTGGTATCGAGTTATCTTTACAAGACCATTCATCCAAATACATGCTGAGCATAGTTCTATATCATACATTTCAAGGGAATTCAGCCTATTTGTCTCTATCTCTTTCGAAAACATCTATTCAATATACCTAAACAGTAAGGTCTTACATACCTTGCTTCCCCTTTTTCCATATCCATATTCACTCGTTCGCAGATGTCTTCGGAACAAACTGAGTATATTGCCGTCCACCTTTCACAGCGTCCTGAGACAACCATTGTCCCCGGGGAAACATTTGTCCTACGAAAGCATGCAACCCCCACTGCAGCAGATCTTGAAGATGGCAATGTTATCTTGGAAAATATTTATCTAAGTCTTGATCCTGCGATGCGTGGCTGGTTGGAAGATAAACGTTCCTACATCCCTCCAGTCGCAATTGGCGAAATTATGCGTGGCCATGCTTTGGGCCGTGTCACTGCCTCGCGATCAGAGAAGTTCCCAGTTGGCTCCTATGCTGCCGGGTTGGTAGGCTGGACTGAGCAGGCGATTGTCAACGAACGCGATCTGGAGGCCGTTCCCGCGCCTGATCCTGCCCAGGGAGACCGATTGACCGATCATATGAGCGTACTTGGCCTCACAGGAACCACTGCATACTGGGGCATGATCGAAGTTGGCCATGTCAAGGCTGGTGACTTTGTAGTTGTCTCTGGAGCAGCAGGAGCAACGGGATCGATTGCCGGTCAGATTGCAAAGATCCATGGTGCTACAGTGTATGGAATTGCAGGCTCGGACGAGAAATGTCGCTGGTTGGTTGATGAGCTCAAATTTGATGGGGCGTTAAACTATAAGAGCCACGATTTCGCCGAAAAATTCAAGAGCTTGATGCAAGGAAAGATCGATCTCTTTTACGACAATGTAGGAGGAGAAGTTCTTGACTTGGCTCTTGTCTGTGCCAACAAAAACGCTCGATTCGTCATGTGTGGCGGTGTCAGTCAATTCAATGTACGTGAGGTTCAAGGGCCAAAGAACTACCAGATGATCTGGCGGATGCGGATTCGTATGGAAGGTTTTATTATCTTTGATCATATGGAGAAAATTCCAGAGATCAGACAAAAGCTCAGCCAGTGGCTTGCGGAAGGTCGGTTGCAACGGAGAGAAACCATTGTGCGTGGGGGATTATCGCAAGCAGAAACCGCCTTGATGCAACTGTACCAGGGAGTGAACACAGGTGAGTCTCGCTTTCTGTGGTGATGTGCCGACTATCCACGTCTAAATGGATTTATGCTAAACACCTTGTAGGGAAACTGCTTGTCGAGGTCAAGTCTTCTTGAACGCTACAATACGATGTTTTCTGTCTATCTATATTCTTTTCAATGGAGACCTGCAGCTTCCAAAATAAACCCATATAGGCCGATTAAGAAGTCTCAATATCCCAGTGCCTCCATGTATATTGTAAGGAGTTTGTTCAAATCATTGTATACATAGTCTTTTATATAGCCCAGACAGTTTGCATCAATGATAATATCCAATATCATCTATCTATCAGCAATTTGAAGTCGAGATAGATTATAGCCTCATGCTAAATGCTCTACTTTATATGGCAGAAATTTTCGTTTTGGAGAATCAACATTTGGGCCAGGAATTATCTGCAAACTTGAGGCATTCAAACATCCAACTGGTTTAGATTCAAATATAGACCCTCCGTTTCCCATTCCAGCAATATTTTTGAACTAGATCAGGTCTCCGGATGTTTGGAACCTCTGATGTGCTTCCGCTTGGCGATGCAATCTCGTAGCAAATTCATAGCCTCGGCATCACGACCTGAGCATTTCCAGGGGCAAGCGAGATTAGACATACTAGTTAGCGTGTCGGGATGGTCCTGATTGAGCTTCATATTGCGAGGGCAGGAAATTACATTGGCGCACAGTCTATACCGGGCATCGTGATGGTGCTGTGTGAGATGACTATCTACTCAGGAAACAGATCGACCTGAGCCAGAACACCAAGATCAAGGGCAACAAGCAGACCGATCATCCTCGCCAAAAGCACGCTTTGGTGTCATACTCAACTTACAATCCTGCAAGCACTTTCTCTTTGAGTTGTCCTAACAAACAGTGTAAGCAACACAAGGTCACGATTTGATCATTGCTAAGCCATAGACTAGGTACCCCAGGGCGACCTAGTCGAGAAAGTTACGAAATATTCACGCGAGCCCAATGGGGACCTAGGGACAGCATTTCCATACACAATCTATACGTAAACTTGACTTATGACCATATCTTAATTGCGGGAACTATTCCAATTGAGCGTACCCGTGCTATGGCCGACCTGTAAGCCATGATTGGTGCTACCTGAAAAGTCGATGTGGTATGTGTCGCCGACCTGCGCCACGGACAGTCTGGAAAGGATTTGGGAAACAGCCATATAGGCAATTTGGTTTGCTTCCAGTACGCGTGATCGCTTTTCGACCTCTTGAATGGCCAGAGCTCTCTGAGCGCCGCCGTCCTCATCCTCTTCCTCATCCTCGTCCACAAAGCTGTCAAGTTCTTTCTTGCGCTGCAAGGTTTCGTCTTGCGTGTTCTTTGTGAGTTGGATTTGCTCCTTAATATCAATTTCTATAATTCGCAGTCGCTTCTCCGTCTCTTGCCGTGCGGCTTTTGACGCGTTTTCAGATCGGACCAGGATAACCCTGCAATTCAATCATTAGAATATGATCACTCGTATGGAACTCGAGCACCCACAACTGGGCGCTGTCGATGGCAAGCTGAACTATAGCCTGACAAGTAGCGACTTGCGTCTTGAACGTCTGAAGTTTTTCTTTGTTCCATAAACCGACTGACAGTCTATCCCTGAGGGACAGCTTCGGGGCACTGGAATGCTTTGTCCATTTCTCAAGCTTCTTCGTAAACTCAGCGCATGCTTGCCCACAGTTATTCACGGCTTCAGCGACACCAGTCTCTTCCAAAACCTTTCTCGTTTCGGCATGAGTTTTGCTATCGGAAATCTGAAGATCCGTGAGAGCGGAAAGCGGACGTTGTATGGCTTCCAAGTTAGATCTCACATCTTGCAACACATTGCTTGCTTCTTCAAGGCCATCAAGGAGCTTCCGAAGATTACTGATGCTAGACAAAGCGAACGCTGTGATTCCCACAGCACCGGCGGTGAGGCTGAAGGGATCCATCTATATTAGATCGAGGCACAAAGGTGAGATTCGTTTGTCCTGGCAAATCTATTAGGAACCAAGATGGCTATGAGATGTCGGCCCGCGGGGTAGTTAGGGCAGCCAATACGTGGCAGACTGCTATTTGCGGGGCTATGAGGCTAAGAGCCCATTCACATCTTGTAGCGAGAGAATACGTTTCCAACTGCATTGACAAGGGGATCTGTAAAGAGGCTCACGTCGGTTTTTATGGATACCCCGTATGAGGTACTCTTCCCGCGATCAAGCTTGGAAAGTGTTTAGCGAGGAATAAGGGGCAAGGGGTCCCATACTAACTGTAATTGGTATAGCGTGCCTTGAAGCTATATCTCATGCGTTCAAGCTGGACATCTCGTAAAGACTGCTTGTCTTGCTTGTCAAGCTCGAAGCTCTTTAAAAGTTACGAACATCTTCATGTTGGTTCACCGATGCTTTCTCCAGGGTTGTCGCCAGGATAATTTCCACCAAGTCTTGTACTATTGGGGTCCATAATCCCAAAGCCTGGGAGCCCAAGTGTCGCCATATATTTCTTGACTTGACAGACTTGCTTACACCTCCGTATTTCGCACTTGAATGCCGAAATGCAAGGTCCCGTTATTATGCGCAATACATTACAGCGTCAATAATACCAATAGCACATTTCCAAGTGGCCTGAATGTACGAGCTGCCGTTGAATCTCTGCGAACCATTATGATCCAATCCTCCCCTGGATATCTCGTGTTTTGCATTCAGATTGTCTTTTTCGTAGCACAGAATCCACAATCCAGAAATCTTCACTCGATTTTCCGGTCAAGCCTCACCACTAGCATCGGCCATTTTCCTTTTTGACCTTGATATCAAGCCAAATGAATGTACGTTCAAGTCTTTTTAGTTAAGTCCTTTAGTGTTGTTGTCAAATGATCCATCTGTATAGATTACGCGATCCCGACTTCGGTTGGGCGATCCCCGAGATTGGAATCCCGAGGTCGGAAACCTCCTCGGCACGATCCCGAGGTCTACAAGGGTTATGTTTGTACAACGTGCATAACCTGTTGTAGTCAAAGCGATACTTCTGCCGGGTTTCCGACTTGTTTTGGCCTTTAACGCAACAGTATTCCCTTCATGCAGTGAGCCCTCGAACTGTTCTTGCTCTTTCAAATCCTATCCGTTCATCGTAGCCTTACTCGTCACCATGAGCGTCACTACCACCGTGGTCAAAGGGCCTTTAAATCTTGCCAACCCACCCTCACAAATCACGACCAACCCGATTCTTTCATGGTACATGAAATATGCGGTGGACTTCAGCATCGCCAAAACCACCACACCCCCGACCAGATACTATGCCTCTACCGCCACCCTGGTGAACACTGATCGATCCATCATTTCTGGGGCTAAAGATATTTGGGACTACTACATCACACTCTACGGACAATTTGAGCGTTGTGTCCATGATCTCATCTCAATCTTTGTTCTGAGTGATGAAACGTCTGGCAAACATACCATGATTGTGGAGACTACGAACAACTTGCATCTCAAAGATGGAAAAGGAATAGTACCTCTGCCTCAAGCCTTTGTGTATGAGATCGCCAAATCTGAAGATGGGAGCGGCACAGATGACCTACAAATTTGGGAAGTGAAATGCTACTTTGATAAGGGATTGTTGGAGAGGGCGGCGAGTATCTGAATCTGTCAAAAATCGTATATACCATACTTTGCAAGGTTTGTTCGAGCTCTAAGATAAGCTTCCACGGAATGAAAGTGAGATAGCTGGAGACTCTCATGAGCAATATGTTTGTAGTAGCTCTTGTGTATGTGTAGGTCAATATGAGACCCCGGTCGCCATGTTGAATTGTTGTGGAGACCAACTTCAGGAATAATAGAGCACAAGGTTGAATTTTCTCCTAGAGCATTCGCAGTCTCACTCAGGGCATACATGGAGTGGGTCGAGACATCGGTGTATTAATTGAACCCCTACCGCTTATTCTCATTTGTCTTTGAGTTGCTGCAACTTCAGCCAGATGCAAAATCTTGGCCAAAAATTGGAAGTCCACACTTGCAGGATAATGGCCGGGGGGATAATGTCAAGGGTTCAACTATGCAGCAACCTTGTCTGTCTGCTGTATTAAAGGAAGATAGTATGAGAAAGCGTATGTCACCAAGATTTGATTGAGAGATATCATGCTGTTTCATAGGTTTACATAACAAAGAGGTGCAAAGCAAACAGAGATACCAAGCACATCAGTCCTCATGGTCCTTCAGAGCTCACATCTCCTACAATATATTATGTATACCTCTAAAGTTGGGACACCCATGTCATTTTAGGATACAAAGTGCTGCTTTCCTATAACGACTGGGTACATCTTACTGGGGCAATAGCCATTTTCTCTTTTGGTCGACATCTATCTTGTGCGGCGTGTGGTTCATCCGTTCACAGATGCATTGTCCGGGTCCCATGTTAACTGTTTGAGTATCTCAACTACGGAAGAGCACATGAATAATGTATGTAGCAAGGTATCATCTGTGACGGCTGTACAGAATAAGAATGGCAGTCAAGATTCCAAGGTTGTCGTAGTTGATTAGTAAAAGCAACAGGCGATCAACAGCTTCAACCAAAGTGTGGCAAATGTTACGGTAGAAAAGGCAGAAATGTAGAGGCTGACGTGATTATACGTGCAGAGAATAGTCCTTTGGTAATTTGTTGACATTGAGTAGCCTGAGGTCGTTGTTTGCTTCAATATAAAAGGCACTCTTCTTCCCATTCTCTTCTTTCTTCTCATCTTCCCAACTTCTCATACTTTTCATCCATCCCGCTATCTTCAACAGACATATCATTCTATCTTGATTCTTTTCTGCTACATATCTACTACATCTTGATCTTACCATGCCTGATCTAGTCGAGCCTGACGGGGCTCCGCCTCAGCTACACCAAGCCTCCCTTCTTGATACGATCGATAACCTGCGTAACCTCGGTGTCGGTGATCTCGTTAGCTTGCCTCAGATGATTGTCTGTGGTTCCAAGTCCAATGGCAAACGGTCTATCATCGAGGCAATTTCTCGTGTCGGGTTTCCAGTGAAAAATGATCTTTACACTGGGTTTGTTACCGAGATCATACTACGCCGCCGTCCAATACCCTGCTTCAAAGTGAGCATCGAGCCCGGTCCGTCTAGAAAAAGCGACAAAGATCTTCAACGAGTCAAGGCTTTTGGGCCCACTGTTCATCCCAATACTGAGCAGTCTGCATCGCTCATTGGGAAAGCTATGGAGTTTCTTGGACCTTCCATCGAGGATGGATTTACTGACGATATCATCAAAGTCGAATTCTCTGGCCCCGAGCAGCCTGATTTGACTCTTATTGATATTCCTGGGCGCTACTTCACTGAAGGTACGGATGGCGGGGATCGAGCAAAGGATCCTGGCCGTCTTCACATGGAAAAATACTTGCTCAATGGCCGCAGCATCATCCTCGCTGTGGTATCTGCGAAAATTGATATTTGTGTTCAAAGAATCCTCGATTTCGCAGACAAATATGACAAAGAACGAAAGCGGTTCATGGGGATTGTTACTCACCTCGATACACTCGAGGCATCATCAGACGAGGAAAAGCTATGGCTAAAGGGTATCAAGCAAGCAACGTCCGAGCTACCGCTGGGGCTGCATTTGGTGTGCACTCGATCCTACGAGACACGCGACGTTCCTGAAAACGAAAGAGATGAGAGGGAGAAGGAATTCTTCGAGCGAGGAGATTGGAAAACGGTGGCAAGGCAGTCTACAGGGACTGGCAATCTGCGACGCCGACTCAGCACTCTTCTTATCAACCACGTTCAAAGCAGCCTCCCTGACATGATCTCAGAATTCGACAAAATCATACTGAAAAGCCAATCGAGACTGGCCAAGCTCAGTGCTCCCCGACAGACCATTCATCAACAGAAAGCATTGCTCTTCAATCTGAGTAGCGCTTTCCAACGCATAACCGAACAAGCACTGAGTGGCATGTACATTGACAACTTTTTTAATACATCGGTTCAGGGGAATAATGGTAAATCCAAGTCTCACGACCCTCGACGTCTTCGTGCTGTCATTCGTGACTTGAACGAGGATTTTGCAGATATTATGGAACTTGCCGGGTGCCGTCAATTTATTCATGGAGTCAACAATCGGATAACCTCGTTGTTGCACCCTTGCAACCCCTATGCAAATATCAGACAACCCGTTCACAAGAGCCGCTCAGAGTTCGAACTCGAGGTCTGTGAGCAAATGCGCCGCGACCGAGGGATTGAATTTCCAGGAAGTGCCAATCAGTTACTGGTGGGTAGTCTGTTTCGGGACCAGTCGCAGCCTTGGGAGGAGATTGCTCGAGTCCATTTGTTGAAATCATGGGAGTGCACCCTGGACTTTGTGACGCTTCTACTAGACCATCTTGCGGATGAACGCACGTCTGTGGCAATCATGCGGACTATCATTGCCCCCCAACTTGATAGAATGGAAGATAAGCTACTGATAAAGCTACTTGAGCTGACTGCTTACAATAAGCGGAGCCACCCATTGCCGATGAGTCGAAGCTTCCTTCAAGGTCAAGCATTGCCTCCTGATCGAAGCTTGGTTGCCAAGATGCAGAAAAACAGGAATGATCGAGTGTTCTCCCAATTCCAACAGATGCTTCCTTCAGCCCCAACCGATACTTTCAATATTGAAGGGCTCAGTCTGGCCACTCAGCGCTTGGATTCATCAAGCAATCAGTCCACGGCCTCGGACATTGTTGACCAGTTGCAAGCATACTACAATGTAAGTTAGGACAACCACAATGATCATATGATTTCACTATCTGCGTGGTACTGACAAGAAATAGAACGCGCTTTTGATCTTCATGGACAATGTTTCAACTCTCGGTATCGAAAATTGCCTTCTCGGCCCTCTAGGAGGTGTCTTGACAACCCAGACGATCATCAACATGGAGGATAAGGAAATTGAGGAACTATTCGCTGGTGTGCACGATGGTGTACAGAAATCGCGAGAATACTTGGCTCACGAACTGGAGAGTTTACTGAGTGGGTTGCGAGCACTGAAGAAATTCCTCGTTGCGAAGAAAACGACGCCATTTATTGGGATATTCAAGGATCCTAAAGTAGTCCCGGCTCCTGGATGTTCGTCCACTCAATCGTTTCTCATGCCCCAAGGGGTTCTATGCAGTGGTTCATCCTCCAATCCATTTGGAGTACTATGTATGGACTCTAGAACTCAGGATCCAAGCGGAACGCCCAGGTATCAAATTTCGTGGCCATACAGCTCGGCATCCAACGCGCAGGGTTCAATGAAAATTTGCCCCAGTGGTCCATTTGGCTTCAACCCCGGTACGGTCTACCCGGGAATGGGGAGTGCTCCATATCTATCTTTCACGAATGCGAACCCCGAGCCAAGCTCTCGCGATTCTGGTGCAACTGCATCCTTCAAGCCTGCACTTCCGCTCCGATCGACGGCCCAGCCTAGCATTTTCTCGTCTTCCCTTCTTTCCACTACGCCAGACACACGTTGCTATGATCGGTGAGTATACGGTGGTTGCCTTGTCTTGCTTTTCCCCTTCATCACCTTTAGTTCTTGTTGCCCTTTTTCCTGCTGCCCAGGTCTTTTTACGATGTTTCCCCCGTTTATGAGAGACTGGCTAACGTAATTTGAACGCTGATAGTAATTGGTACTGGGAAGAGAAGGATGACCGCGATGGTAGTGGGCTCCCAACCAATCGATATCATTCCATATGCTACCACGTTGACTTCAAATCTTTCTCTCCAGAGGCAGGAAGCTCACTGTTATCTATGCGAATGGTCACTAACTCTGACATAGGAGCTGCGATGGGCTGACTATCAGCTCAGCACGAAGTTAGCCGACGCCTTCAAGCTGGACGCTAGGCAGAGAGAGACAAAGACGGCCACAGGAACGAAGCGATCATCAGTCTTCCCTTGAAGATTTAAGAATATCAACGCAACGAAAAACGAGAGAAACCTGAAAGAGAAAAGAAGAAGAAAAAAAGGCCGAGACACATAATGAGGGGAGAAAACTGTGGAATATCTACCGGTTGATCAACATGCTGCTCCAACGCAAGCATTGCTTCGAAAAAAAAGAAAAAGGAAAAAACAGCTTGTATGTAGTGGTAGCAACAGAACTGTTCAATTAAATTCTATCAAACTTCATGATGTCCCTGTACACATTGATACCAGACATAGATCATTAGACAAGACACGAAACAAGCACTGAATTAAGGCAAATAAGAAAAAAGAATCAAAGATGCAGAGAGGCCAGCATCACATTGCCGTCTGGGTATTTGAAAAGCCGTTGCGATAAACTGAATAAACCCAACCATTTTCCTGAGGTATCCAGACATCCAATCTCGATGTATGTTCAAGTCCGATCCTGTCGGTCTTGCTTATATCGAACCAAAATGCCTCCTCAATAAACATATCCGCACTGACACAGGCAGCCCATTATACATCCAGTGCAAGGTGCCAGGCTGTACACATGTTCAAGAGCCCACATACCACACTTCAACTCCAAGAACATCGAACTTGACACCTTCATCGGAAAGGGGCTCATTGCCAAACGTCTGGCAGGGCGCACTAACGCCCTTTTCGAGACTGCTGTCCAGCCACAAGCCATAGTGGCCATCACTATTCCCATTATTAGCCAAGAATAATTATCCTTCCACAGAATAAACCACTTACCCGCCTCCTAGACTGAGAAATCCAGTTTCACAGAAGATCATATAATCATTAACCCCGCTGTAGGGGAAAGCCTTGAAGCGAATGCGTTCGGGGGTACTCGCCCCGCTCCGCGAGGGGGTATGGATGGAAGAAGGCGAGGGCGGCGCCAACACACCACCGCTCGCAGCCGCGAGATTGGTTTTAATATTCATATTGAGATTATGAGCGGGTGATTCCGCCCGAACGGGTTTGGACTTGTCATTGCGGAAGGTACTCCAGCGGGCAGCGGTAGTTGTGTCCGCGGAGGGGGGAGGAGGGAGACCCGCACGCTCAAGGACTTCCTCGGATTGAGGTCCTTCGCCTGGTAGGGGAGAAGCTTGCCGGGGGCGGGAGCACACTAGCTCGCCACAGGAAACACTCTCCTGTGCCGAAGAACTGCGAGTCCGGGTGTGGGGCGTCTGTCATATAGGCGCCGAAGACGGAGCTGTAGGGGGAGGAGTCTCTGACGACGAGGACGTAGCCCGCCCGCGGGCTGCGGTGGGAGAACTCGGCGCAGTTCTCGTAGAGAGTTGAGAGGGAGGCGCCGTCGCGGTCGAGGCTGTATGCTAGACGCCATGTTTCGGCGAGCTGGAGGCGGGGCGGGACTAGCAGTCTGATTTCTTCTGCTAGTGCGCGGGTGAGGAGTTGTTGCTGGAGGAGGTGTGCTGCTGTGGGGATCTCGAGGTTGAGAGGTGTGAGTGGTGGTGGTTGGAAAGGTGAGGCTGTTCGGCGTGGCGTGAACACTTCAGATGAGGAGGAAGAGCGTGACCAGGGCATGACGGATGGCATATCTTTGGCTATATCTGGGTCTGTTATGCGACGGTAGAGTCCTGAGACGACGTGGCTGACTGGGTAAGAGAAGTAGGAGGCAGCGGATTGGTAGGGCGGTTTTTGAGTAGGTGTTTGAGATGCTGATCCTGGGGTGGAGGAGGTGGGGGTGTCGGGGGCAATATTTTCCTGTGAGAACGACATGCGAGCAATTCAAGATCAATTGACGAAGGTATACTTTGTAAAGTCCAGAACGAATGCGGAGTGGAAGTTGAGACGGCTATCGCTTATCAGGTGGGGAAATAAGCCAAGTCGGCCTTGTAAGGCGTGGAATGATATGAGTTCTTGGCTGTCAGTATTGGAATCCAGATCAATCAAAGACCAATTGCCTGAAATAACTAAATACAGCACAACGCTAATTGACGGTCAATCGGCTGCCGTAAATGGCTACCTTGGACGCCGGTTTAAGCTCCTTTCTTACCAAAATCTTAGTCATTATAACATCACGTGCGCATAATGTACTTTTGATAACTGAGCACTCAGGGCTGCTCAGTGATCTGCTCACCCTTGACTCAGTATGTTCAGGGCAATTGATCAGTGACGAAGTGATGCTCAGTATCCTTCAGTCTGTTTGTACCCGCTCCAGACAAAGATGATAAATCGTCTGTCTTACGGAGCTATCAAGACTAGTTCCCAATATTTAAATGGTCGCCCCTCTCCCTATCAACCTATAGCCTTTCTACAGTCCAACTCACCAGCAACAGTCTTTTCTACATTTATCTCTCCAACCTTTCTTCTGGGCAACTATCATTCTCGCTATACCAACCAGCTTCTTTCCTATTCAATTTCCCGAAGCGTGCCACTATTCTCTAGTATCTACTAGGCTTATTGCTATCTGAAGCTATGACTGTTTCAGACTCTTACACTTCCTGTATTAAGGTAAAGATAGTATCTAGCCTGGAGTATTATGCCCGGCGCCGCCGATAATTAGAGAAGAGTATAATTTAAAAGTGACATGCTGTATCCACGAAGAATAATATTGAATATATTAAGAGTAGATGGATAAGTAGGTGCCTTTTTTCATCGTATCTAAAAATATCACGCTGATCAAAGCCTAGGTATTGTGATTTTCTAGGAAAAAAGGAGTACTTAAATCTCTCTACGTAGTAAGGAAAGACGACGTGATATTTCTTGAGTGGATCCTGTATAACTCTAAAAAGGTCTAGTAAACCCTATTATGAACATCGATGATTTGTATATTGTGCTTTATTACCACTGGACGAAAGATACTACGCTATATCCAGACAGCCGGTAAAACATCCAGTTCGCTTTTGTCTTACTTATATCGGCTTATACTGTAAGCCGACCGGGGGTATTGGTATATATTAAAAAGAACGAGCAGACTAATGTCCAGCACTTCTTTAGAAGTGTTAATGAGGTTGACGCCACTGAAACCGATAAAATGGATGAATGGGATCTTAGAGACAAGGATCTAAAAACAATTTGCTACGGCCAGATAAGCCTGATATTTCTACTGAATCCTGGTGGTATTCGTGATCATCTCGTGATAGAAGTTGATATAAAACATACCAAGGGCCATGATAAAAGACCAAAAAAGTGAATGCAGATCCATTAGGTACCCTGCCTTTCCTATGCGAGGCTAATCACAAGGCAAAGAAAAATATTCTTAATATCTGAAGTAAAACAGCCATTCTTTGACATTGTCATACTTGTGGTCGCTATAGCCTTCCTCGATGGAGCCTTCGCGAGCAAAATTCGCTCGATCAAGGACATTTTTGCCTCCGGGGTAGAACCACCGCACTACTCCTTGCAGTTGAGGTTTGTGAAAGAACAGCTCAATGTGCCTATCTGTCGTCAGCCGATATCGACCCATTGTGGTATCAGCACCCATGAGATCAAACCTCTGAAATACCCCATGTATCTATATTATCTTGAAAGGTTCAGTTTCGCAGTAGGCATGCCCTGTGCTATGAAACCTTACGATCTCCGGCTTGGCACCGGTGAGGCTGTTAAAAGTACGTTCCCATATAACATAATTCCCAAGCTGACGCAGGCACTCTGTGCAGAAACTGCACCTCTTCCTTTACTCTAACAGGTGAGGGGCCATGTATATGCTAGCACCTTTCAGACATATATGAATCAACGTGTCCAGTCCCATGTGAAAGCTGCATTTCTTGGGATACCTTCGGAGGACGCATTGATGAACATTTTGAGACACTAAAGCCGCTACATGGACCCTCGAGCTCCTTCTCATTACGATGATTTGCCTGCCACTATGCGAGTTTCATTTCCAACTCACCCTGAGATAGTTGGCCTGCAAAGATCGTCATACTGAGTCTGGACACAATTGAACAGTAGCCCATGATCTCCCACAGCGACTCAGGCAGCGATAGGTACTCTGTTCAAGCTAGGGTGTTGAAGTCAGTGGTGTCAAACGGTCTTATCTTGAAGGTCTAACGATAATGGGTGTTGGATTGAGGAGGGCAATTAACTCAGTAGCGTTGATAGCGAGGGCGCTTAGTGTGTAGTACGAAAGGATAGCTGATAATGAGGGAAGTGTCTAAACAAAGCACGTTTCAGCACAAGCGTTTATACGAGAATGTTTATTTATCTTTAATAGTTATAATGACATCCTAGTAAATCTTAGTAGCTTAACTTGATATTCTAGCATTCCACTCACTATCTAGTAATCTTAAGGAAAGGAGGATTCGAAAATATATCACCTTCACGAGAGTGGTAGATAACAATCATATATCCATAACTACCTCTAGAGTATCCCTTACTAAGCAGTCCGGCCCTCCAGGGCTCTAGGGCTCCAAGACTCGAAAGTGCAGGACTAGTCCTCGTTTGGAACCACAGTCCTCGCCTCTGCTCCAGTTCCTCTTTTCCTTTGAAATGCTTTCTACCTCGTGCAAATTCTGGCAGACACCATTGTCCGCCATTCCTGGTCACTGAACTCCAATTTTTTCCCCCGTGAATTCTGGAACTTGAGACTGAAAAGCAATTCTTCTACGATTCCAACTCATTGCGGATCACAAACCGAGCCTTTTGGTTATTATTGTTCTCAATCTCGAAACGTCGCGCGCGCAGCCAACATGTCCATCATTGCAACCCTACCCGTGGAATTGATCTCAAAGATATGTGACCATTTGGATTTCCAGCAATTGGTCGCTCTGAGGTTATCATGCCGCGCATTGTACCAAAACTCACTGGAGAATTTTGCGAAGACCTTTTATCGAAAAATCTGTTTTATTGCGACAAGCGAAAGTCTCCACGAACTAGAAGCACTATCTAATTCAAATGATCTCCGCGAGCACGTTCAAGAACTATGGATGATCCCTGTTGTGTTCGATGGCGCTGAAGGGTCCCTCGGTATGATATCTATATCGTCAAAAAGCTGCCGCCAGGTCAAAGGCGACGAGCTAGAAATTCGGCGTGCTATCCAAAAGGATATGCTTACGGATAATCGCAACCTACTGGAATCAGAAACGTTTAGTCTTCGACTTCGGGAATGTTTAGATCGATTCAAAAATATCCAAACAATCGGACTCGCAAATTACAGAACGGAATTTTTGCTCGATCCCCGACAGCAGACAGTTCCATTCCTCGGAAGGCGACAGATGATGAGCCGGATCGATTTTCGATTCGATGTTTACAGCCTACAAAAGTCTATACATACCCATCAGGGTAGCCAGATACGGGAACTCAACTCCTTGGCATTATCAAAGCTTTTACTTGCGTTATGTGGCTCAAGCTGCAGACCCCGAAAGCTGTCCACCTGCGATTCTAAATTCTGTTGTGATATCGGCCCCAGGATTGCCCTCTCCGAAGAGCAACTTGATTCTCTCCTATCTACTTTGGAAAACCTTGAGGATCTTCATTTATGTATCGATCTTAATGAGGCAGCTTGGCTGAAAATTTTCAGGAAGCTTGCATCTCAACTGGAAGTACTAACCTTGTCGCAAGACTATACGCCTTTTGATCTTCTTCAAGATGACATACACGCCTATCCGGCAAAAGGCTATGTTGAAAACATGTTCCATGACATTAGCTTCACTCGGCTCCGAAAGCTTCATATAAAGGAGCTTGGGATCAACTTCAGCTCTTTGAGATCACTATTGCTCAGTGTCAAGAACAGCCTGGTCACTCTTACAGTCAAACGGGTTATGATGGACAGCGAGGAGTTGGGAGCCACAGAAGGCCCTCGATCGCAAGATACTGAGTTCCCTGACCGCCAGGAAAATAAAAGATCTGTCCGACATACAGTCCCATCATCATTTCAACCAACCTCGCCATCATATCCATCATATCAACCAATCTCGCCATCAAATCCATCATTTCAACCAACCTCGCCATCATATCCATCATTTCCACCATTCCAACCCTCCTCGCCAGCATATCCAACCTCGCCATCATACGGACCTACAGTCCCATCATTTCAACCAACACCGCAATTATTTTCAACACCGACTATATCCCCGCAAGACTATGGACCAGCTCCCCTATCAGTCCTACCAGCATCAGAAACAACATCGGCCGAAAATGCACCCCCATCGCCCCAACACTCCTCGAGTTCCGATTCCTCTGAGGCGTCGACAGAAGGATATTGGAGCAGAAAGTGGATGTCTAAATATCACCCGTATGAGCCATCTGAAAGAGCTGGAGGTTCTGTCTGTCCCACCCGGGAAACCGTAATGGCATGGCAACGCCACGAAAAAAAGATCACTTCAGTGCCCAGCTTTTTGGACATTGTACGGAACGAGTTACATCTAGAAACACTCTCCCTAGAAGATATTATCTGTGACGGCATTTATTATTATTTCGAAAGAATCGACACTGCAGACATACAAAGGGGTAAAGTGGATTTCGACATACGCAAAGCCAATATTTCGTTGAATGATTGGATTTCCCGGTTAAGGCTAACTGCTCACTATCCGGCTGATTGCATTATGAAGCGTAAGAAAGACAAAGGTAAGTGGTACCTCCCTATTTACTCCCTGTGGGTACTGATGGAAGCTAGAAATGGAGGATTGGTTCGACAAGATGATAGGCAAGGACAGCGGCTCACTGCTTAGATTGGACTGTGACTGCAAGAGGGAAAAGAAGCCGACCTGGGGATGTCCTTTTGGATGTCACCGATATTAGGAAAATGTCAGCTTGCGTTATCTCAAAAGGTTTTGGCACTGCATTCGATACAATTGATTTGAGGTGACAGAAGTTGCATTTCTTCCTCTATATAGATTTTCTCCATTATATACCAAGGCGAAAGGTTCCAAATTTACTCTCAAGATACGTGAATGGGACATCAGTCGCATGTAACGTTTCCAGCCTTGGAACAATTTCCCAGGTGGAACACTTCGCTTGATTGTTAGAATAAATAGACACGGAGATAAATAAGCCCTGGGATCAAAACTGGGCCGCGGGGATACCAAATGAGCAGAGATTCTCACACGCGGAGAGGCCCGAGGAAGACTTGCACAGAGTGAGTTAGGAAGAGTCCGATTTTTAGGGCGTTTTGCTGCTTGATCAGGGTCTTCACACCTCCCGCTACGGAAGTTGCACATCTCCAAATGTACACCTAGCCGTCAGTGGTTAGTTTAATCTAGCGCTTGTTGTCTTGGAGAGCTATAAGGATTTCTGCAACTTACCATTGATCCAATATGTGAAAGTATCTAGAGATAATCAGCAAGATTCACAAGTCAATATTTCAGAAAACGAAACTATACCAGCATTTATGACAGCAAGTGACTTGATAGCATCAGTTTGAGCGTTGTCGCTTTCAGCAAGCGCAACGATACGTTCCCAGCCATACTTTTTATCCGCTAAAATAGTTCAGAGAACCATTCATTAGCAGACCGATATGTTGAAAGTCGCATCATAAAGTACTTGCGCGATAAGCACCAAATTGAGTATGCCCGCGGGTGAACTCATGCGCGAGGAGTCGCTCTGGTGTGTTGTGGATCATATCAGAAAGGAATTGGTCGGAGGTGACGAGACAGTCTGCACAGAAATTCGCCGGGAGAAGTAAAAGGGTCCATACAGGTGTACTGGAGCACGACGCTCAAGAAACAGCGGCGATCTTTGGCGGTTGCCACGTAGGAAATGCCATCCTAATCGATACTTGGACCATTCCCTCGTTTTCTCTTGCACCAATTTCTCTTGCACCACAAACTTACAACTAGAATATGAGGACCTGTGAAACTTCGGGATTTTGGGCTTTCCTTGGCTCGCAATTGGTATGTCTCCAACTATGGCTCAGATGAAAGACGACTATCCAGCCCCAATAGTAGTGATAGACAAGGATCTGCAGCAGGTTGATAAAGATACACCCCAAAACAACCTAAACGAAGTTGTAAGGCTACTTCAATGAATTGATTGCACGATGAGTTTGAGTTGCATAGTTGTGATTAGCCGTACACAGATTGCATGATAAGAAGATTGGCGATCGATAATAGAAGATATCCCTTGCGAAGAGACAACAACGCCCTGCCAAAGCTTGCTCTTTTTATCTTTGCGAGGTTCTTCACTGGCATTTGGCCTCTGTGGGGAAATGGTGACAGGTGTTCCAGGTTGCGGGAGGGGCATCGCTTGTTCTAACATCTCCTGCGCGTCTTCTCGATCTCGAAGTATAAACTTCGCATCGATGACTCCGTAGAAGTATTCATCGAGCCCCTTGCCTTTGATGTTATGAACATCAGACGCTCGGAAAAGCTCGAATTCGTAGATATTGTTGAACTGCGTGATAGCCGTCTCTTTTTGAGCATCTGCTTCTCGGAGTAACCCAATCATCCGGATTGTCTCGTATTCTCTCTCATTAAGGAACACGCCAAACGGTGCATTTGTGTGAGTGAGTAGCTCAGGATTTTCCTGAAACCCACTGTCCGTCATATTTGGCCATCCGAACTTTCGACGTCGATGATGATGCTTTCTAGTGGGGTCCGTAACTGGGGGGATCGCCTTCATCATGGTAAAGATTTTTGCCTGTTTAACATAACGACATGCGTAAAAAGGGTACGGGGGCAATGTCGGCCGAGGCATAGCAGCCATACCACACCAGTTCTGTAGAATCTCATCACGTTGAATCCGCGTCACGACACGGACAGAGATGCTCTTTGCGCGCATATTCCGAAATCGCTGAAATGCGTGGATTTGTTCAGGTGAGAACAACCGTTCCAGATGGGCGTCCGGTATTTCGAAACCCGAGACCATTTGCGGAAAAGTGTGAGAGGGCCATTGAATCTGGAAAGCTTCCGCGCCGTCCTTTCCATTGCATGCTTTTGCTGAGCTTTTATCAAGCTTAACCTTCTTGAGATTCACATCTGTCAATGATGCTGAAAAAGTGAATCTCTCTACATCAGACGGGGTGAAGGTGGGGGTTCTTTCGGAATCAAAGTCATCGTCGTCCCAGGCAGTCCATATCATAGTGAATTCACGGTACAGCGTTTTGGAGGTTTGCACTTCTAGGCGAAGAGACCGAAATGGGGGATCTCCGTTCCCCCTCCAATGAAAAAGGAGAGAAGAGCACGGGGCTCGGAATATACGGCGCAGGTTTGACTGTCTTTGAGACGCGTAGCTTTTGCACCGCACACAATTGTCGTATGAAACCGTTGAAAAGATTCACGGCCAAAGTACCGGCTCTTTGTTTTTTCAAATCGGCTGGTCGCTTGCCTTTGTACTTGTCGTCATAACATGCAGTCGTTGCGTTATACTAGTTGAGCTCATTACTGCCTCGTGTCATGCGCTTCGAAATCTCTATCACATCATGGTCGCAACTGAATGGTTTGTCGGGCTCCTCCATGGTGTCAAAGCGGGGAACGTGATACCTGCACGAATAGAATGGATTAGAGCCGAAGAGAAGATTCAGTTGGAGGTTCTTTACCTGGCTTGAGGCTTGAGGTTCTCAGTCCTGCTGAGATAAAGCACCTGGCAAACTTTGCCTATCTAAATTTTGAGGGGAGTGTGTCTTCATGGGTTAGACCGGGGGAAATCATGGGCTCTGTTGTTGGTCACTCACCTGGCTCAAACTCGATGTTGTGAGGTGAGTGGACAGTAACAATGAGAATAGAGGGACCTGAATAAGTCGGTATCGAAGAAGAATGTCTTGATGGATGTCAAACGAGCTGATCAAGTGAGAAGAAGTTGAAAGGCAGAGCGAGAGGAAGCTGGGAAGCAAAGTGATAGATGGCGATGGATGGGAAACATACCGGCTGAGGACTCATAGAAGACCGTGGAGTGATAGTCAAAGTACTGCGCAAGTTCTGGAAGACAGGAGACGAGAAGAAGGAAGATAGTTGAAGGAAGAAGAAGGATAATGAAGAAGGTCAGGGAGGCTTATATAGTATATGCTATTTGTTTGCCATACGTTATCTCATATACTTTATGTATATCCCACGGGGTTATGCATATCATCATTCCTAGCTTCTAGTATCGATAGATGGAGTTATAGCAGACATGAGCAGCTTTGCATTTATACATAGTAGTGCACTTCCTCTTCAAAAGGGATGGCGCTATCTGTTAGCTTCCAAGTGCAAAAGGTATTAAATCTAATGTTTAGTGGGATGCACCAACACCAGGTATGTGTGTTGGGTGCTTGGCACGATTATTGTAGCAAAGATTGTGTATTGTGTCATTGTTTGAAAAAGCTAAGATAGCTAACAGAGGTAAGAATAACTTATAGACCTTGCTCCTTCCAGACGTCACTTGAGATATTTGCCAACTGATCAGGTGAGATCTCAATGTTATGCTCGGGCGGGACTGGTTGGCGACAAAACAATTCTTCAAACCCAATGGTCAAAGGTACTGCTGGCCTGATGGTAATCTGTGAGTTGGGTTTATTTGCGTCGCGGGATGTTGTAATGGACTGCCGTATAGTTGGGACGTAGCGGGGCCACTGGGCTCGTAAGGAGCTGACCACTGTGTCCAAAAACATAGTCTCAAACTTGATATTGGGTGCCTTTCGATTGACAGACACAATGATTACAAGCTTCACATCGCCCTTCGAGTTCGGGAACCACCATTCTGCATCTGCCTTCAACTTTTGATAGGACTCAGAGACTCCAACTTCGACCACAACGGTCGGCCATTTTGCATCGCGACCTGGAATAGGTTGCGTAGGGACCCACGACTCGTCGGCCTCCTTTGAAGAAGACATACCTCGGACGCGTTTAGACCCTACCGGGCGAATCGACCGACGCAGTCCCATATCGCGTACCACATCTCGCACTTCACAAAGTAGGCCGCGTGAAGCTGTGTCATGGGCCCCAGTCACGAGCTTTATTATCATAGATCGAGTGCCGTAACTGAACATATGTCGAGCGGAGCTCGAAGAAAACTCTTCCGCAATACTTGGTGGGACGTTTGTGAAACGCAGGTATTTCATCACCTTGATGGGAAGGTTCTGCTGCTCTCTTATGATCTTCCGGATAGCGCGGGCCTCCGACCCGATGGCTTCATATGTGTCATCGGGTAGTTCTTGGAAGCACTTGACGTCGGGGGAGTCCGTGTCATCGGACATATCTGAATGTCGCGACATGGTGGTCAACATGGGCGTTTCCTAAATGGTATCGAAGTGAACAGAAAGTGCTGACATTTTTTGGCGTCCGAAACTATATAGTCTTAGTAAGTATTGGATACGGTTTGTAGTAATGAGTCATCCTTACCTTATCAATCGGATGAAGGTTGGAGGTGATCGGCACACTGTGCCAGTTGGAAAGACGATGGCATTGGTGCTTGTTCGTCGATTAGAATGATCGGCACACTGTGCCAGTGGTGATGGCAATGGTGATTGTTCTCGTCGACGATGAAGAGAAGGAGAAAGAAGAAAGAAGAGAGAGGGGATGGGCGTGGAGAAAATAATGGAAAGGGAGGTCAGAGATGTCAGAGGAAGGTGTCAAGGTGACATCTCCTACCCACTGAAATAAGGAAGGAGCAGGGGGACTTTAGGAAAAGCCACTTTGAAGTGATGCTACTCTTTAGGTATTATAACCTGATTCATTTAGCTTAAGATGGTATAAGGGCATGACGGTAATGGCCGCCACCAGGCCACTACCTCGCCCTCATTTACCTCAAACCAATGATTGGAAAAACTCCAAGCAAACCAAAAGTACAAGGTGATCGAATTCCGAGAGAATCAGAAGTAAAAAAATGATCGCATTCTAAAACGATTGAAAGCAACAAGAGAGAGACATTCAGCTTCTCAAGAAACAACTCATAGCCTCTTTTTAAGACGAACGGGGGCGCTGAGCCGACGGGGCTCCCACGGCTCCTATATTAATCAAACTAGTTAGTGATTAAACCTCTTGAAGATCTTTCTATGAAGTAAAGTACGATTCGGTAGTCTCATCCCGAGACTTGTGCACGTCACCCCTAACGCAAATGTTATTATTTCGGCTATTCACCCGGATATCCGCGAGAGCGCGAATATTGATGGGCCTGAGGTATCCTATGTCATCGTTGGGGGCATTTGTGCGGTTCAACGTAGTGATTATGACGGCTGCGATGGAGCTCAGACGAGGTAATACCTAGGCATCCTAGCGAGTTGGATCGGTGGAAGAGTCCACTCTAAGAGACGACACCATGATAGTGTTTTCGTCACCAGTTATGGTGATGGAGTTATCGATGTAAATATTGATTGGGGAATCCCACGGGTCGTGTATGTCGTTCTGATCGACGCTTATGACAGTTGTGCCGCTGTGTCTGGTGATAGACAATGTGTATGGGAGTGGAGCTGTGGCTGGAGTGGAAGTAGAGATAGGTTCAGAAGTAGATGTAGAAGAAGGATTGAGGTTTGCCCGCACTTGAGCGAGTTTATGTAGGTGGTGTCGCAAAATCCTCTTGGTCAACACCCACGCTATCAAAGCCGCGGGAAGCGCGGTCAGTGGTGTCGGTGACTGTCTCCTTGACCTTGTCCCGAGTGTACTTGGTGGAGTCAGGAGTGAGCTCCTACTAGGCCTCTGTAGGAAGAAGTGGTCAGTACCTACAACTTGATAGGCAAATAAAGCAGTGTCACATACTGGTGGAGAAATCCTTGTGGCCGCAATCAGACGTGATTAATATTGATAGGATCTTGGTAGTTGGAGATAGAAGTAAATTGTATAATATAGTTTGGTTGAAGTATGAGATGTTGAAGGAAGAACGGCTGAAGAGGCAACAAAGGGGGGGTTTAAATGAGCGCGAATCCAAATTATAGGGGAGCCTAAACCCAGAGGGCTTCAATCTTGTGAAGAGCGTAGTCAGAAGACTTTGAGACACTACAGTCGCTGGGCTGTTGCGGCCGTCAGTCAATGGACCTAGAGCTGTGGACGTACGCTTGGACTCAAATCCACAGCCCGAAGTACTTGGCCACAGATCGGGTGCTCTGGGCCCTTGGCTATGGAACCATAGCCCTCCCACCATAGCTCCTCGGTATTGGACGTGCGTCAGTCCACTACTGGTCCCTAAACCGCAGTCACTGTTCCCAAAGCTATGCGCCAGCTGGGCTCAGTATCCATCAACTGGCGATTTGGTTGGATTACTAAACTTGATGGCCTGGTATCGAGTACTGATATGTTATATTAAATACATCCAGCCAAAGAAGCTACTCGGCCACCTATTTTACCCCGAGTTACTTTTAAGTTCCTGCACGAGGTTCATAGATATTGTCGCCCTACCTCTCTATCTCGGGTCTAGCCCTAACGGACCTGATCCAGTATACTTTCAAAACACACCTGGCGCTCCCTAATCTTAAAATTTGTGGTTTCTTTATTCTCAGTTTGTTGATTACCACTCTCCCGAAATCCACGGCCTTCTCAACGACTTCTTAGTGAATACAGTAAAAGAACTGGCGTGCTTATCAAATATTATTGGCCAAACAGCACTCTCCGCCCCATACCACGCCTCTCTTAATACCCAGGCACCCCAAGTCTACTACAGGAATCATTTCAGCCTGCTCGGTTAGTTGCCTAGGACAAGCCCCGAGCCATATCCACTTTTCTGCCATATTCCCCAGGCCTCCAACCCAAGCCCTCCTCCTAACCCTCGCACCTTGGTTCGCTTATATCAGTTGTGCCCGTTCAATGGCAATTGATACGCGCACAACAACTTACGTAATTTTTGCACAACATATTAACTATATGATCACGTGGTTACATAAGATAAAATGTCATGTGATTATCAACCTCATATATCAGATCTATAACCTTATATATCAGATCTATATACAAAAAGCCTCAATTCTTCCGCATTAGGCAGCTTCTAAATGTATGATTGGCCTCCTCACACCCTGAGCACCTAGCTGGCGCCTTTTGCTTCCTTTTTGGGCCCTCCTCCTTCCCAATTAGGCAATCTGCCTCCCTTTTCCCTCCCTTTCTTACCTTTTGTGGTATATCGGGAGGTAAGATTAGAACTGATTGGGTGCCTAGAGTAGGCTTTATATACCAAAATAGGTCGATTTTATCCAATAGAATTGACTGATTTAATCTGATAAGATTAAATAGTCGATGCTTACATGGAAGCCCTATTGAGCGAGTGAAATAGCCGGAACATTCCCTAATTGGGCCTATTTGTAGGGCTAATTCACGCTGCTGATGAATTAACCTAAAAGAATAATTAGATATAAATCCACGAATTAGATCATATAGCCGATTTATATTAGCTTTTTTTGGAATAGAGCACTGATCAGATTCGATCTTATCTTAGATATTATCTTGCTGCTGATTGATAACCCTATCCATAGCTAGAAATACTGTGAAAAGGTCTCCATTTGAACCATTTAGTTATATACTTGCCATGTTTGCTATTTACTACAATGTTGCTATAGGTGATTGATATATAAGGTTGATAATCACGTGATAATTTATCTTATGTAACCACGTGATTATATAATAACTAACGTATTTCACAAGCGAGCTGCGCACACAAGCGAGCTGCGCACCCCACCCAAAACGCGTCCATGAATTAGCAATCAATTAATTCAACCACCCACCATGCCACCAATTCGCTCTCAAAGCTCTAGAAATTCAATAGAGCAAGAGGGTAGGATCTTATTAGCCATCCAGGCTTTTAAGAATCAAGAAATCTCATCAATTCGTGGTGTAGCGCGCTGCTACAATGTCCCTGAATCTACACTTCGGACCCGCCTACGTGGGGTCCAACAACGCGCGACTACTCGCGCAAACTCCCATAAATTGACAAAAATCGAAGAAGAATCTCTCGAAAAATAGATTCTCTCTATGGATTCTCGCGGATTAGCTCCCCGTCCCTCTACTGTACGAGAAATGGCGAACCTTCTTCAATATCGAGGAACTACACCGGTAGTTTCGGTTAGTGAAAACTGGGTTACAAACTTTGTGAAAAGATACCCTTCTCTATCCTCCAAATTCTCGAGACGCTATAATTACGAACGTGCGAAATGCGAAGACCCAAAGGTTATCCAGGAGTGGTTTAATCTTATCCAAAAGACAATCCTCCAGTTTGGAATCGACCCTGACGACGTTTATAACTTCGACGAGACTGGTTTTGCTATGGGCTTAACTGTAATAGTAAAGGTGATTACAAGGAGCGAATTCTACGGTTGGCGCTCACTTTTACAACCTGGAAATCGTGAATGGGTGACTACTATTGAATGTATCAATACGTCGGGTTGGGCCCTCCCTCTATATATCATTTTTAAAGGCAAAGTCTTTATTAAATTATAGTTCGATAGCCTCCCAAATAATTGGCGATTTGAAGTTAGTCCTAATGGCTGGACCTCTGATAAAATTGGACTTCGCTAGCTTAAAAAGCTCTTTATTCCTAGTACTTCTTTACATACAAAGGGGGGATATCGGCTTTTGATACTCGACGGACATAGAAGCCATTTAACCCCAAAATTCGATAAGATCTGTGAGCAAAATAAGGTTATACCAATCTGTATACCTCCTTATTTGTCTCACCTTTTATAGCCTCTCGATATTAGCTGTTTTGCGGTTCTAAAACGTGCGTACGGTCGGCTGGTTGAATCGAAAATGTGGGTCGGGATAAATCATATCGACAAACTTGACTTCCTTGAAGCGTATCTATCCGCTCGAATTGAGGCTTTTAAATCAGAGACTATCAAAAATAGCTTCACAGCAGCTGGTTTAGTACCTTTTATACCTGATCGAGTGATTGAGAAGCTCAATATTCGACTTCGAACCCCTACCCCCCCTCTAGTAGGGCGAGCGATTGGGACCCAAGGACACCCTCAAATTATGTGCAATTACAAAAGTAAGTATCCTCAATTAAAGCCTTACTTCGTATACGCTCACATAGCCCACCAAGTCCCCTAAACAAGGCGATTAATCAGGTCTTAAAGGCCTGTCAAATCACGATGCAGTCTACCGCTTTACTTGAGAAGGAAGTAAGCGAGCTACGTACTGCAAATGAGAAGCAAAAGCAAAAAAGGACTCGATCCCGGAAGTAGATACCCGCTGAGCAAGGGCTCTCAGTTCAAGAAGCTTCTCAGTTGATTACTGAGCTAGTGGAAGCAGATGAAGCACCCCCCTCCGCTCCACGAAGAAGCCCTTCGCTAGGTTTACAACCACGTACGCGGGCCCCACCAAAGTGTAGTGGCTGTGGAGAAATAGGGCATAAAATCAATAGGTGTTTAGCTAGATAAATCAATTTAGTTGAATTAATTTAATGGTGTTTTGGTTGAGATAAATATAGTTAAATTCAATAGGTGGATATGGGTGCGCAGCTCGCTTGTGTGCGCAGCTCGCTTGTGAAATACGTTATGTTGTGCAAAAATTACGTAAGTTGTTGTGCGCGTATCAATTCCCCCGTTCAATATGGCGGTCTCTCTCTTTCGGTCTAGTTCTCGGGTCAAGGGGTTGCTAGGCACCGCCTTAGTGGTCTCCAACTAGTGTCACAGAAAATAGCGCAGCCTTAGCACTTGCGAGCCGTACGCGCTAGGCTGGTGTCACAGATCGGGTTTCAGGATTACTCCGGGTATAACGAAAGCTCCGTGGTATGGAAGAGGGTTCCGCATCCTCGTTTATTCTACGTACAGTAATTCATAGGTCCGCCATTTACACTTCAAACGCTGCTGAAATGATGATGGTCAATAGAAGGCTGAACTTTGCTATATATGCAAATATAATACGTCAACATGCTCACCTCTATAATATATACATGGAAAAGGTTTGAATTGGACAGGTAAGTACTAAGAAATGAAATTCAACGCTATTGGCATAATTTGTAATATCACCCTTCTAAAAAAGACAGAAGAAACTTGTTGATATGAAAGGTCCACACCAAAAAGCCAGATCAATGCAGACGATGATGGTATCTTAGTGTGTATCAAGCAATCAAAATGCAACGCTACTAGTTCTGTAAAGCACCCGGACGAAGATCCACAGTCTCAAAGTCTAATCCACTGGCTTCGAAAACATGTCCTGGTCGCAAAGCCCCTGTGTAGATATTTTCCTCAGCGTGTGGATGGAACAGGCCAGTCTGGCTGCAGTTTAGAACCGTCGTTAAACCCGGAGGATCAGTCAGTCGAAATACGCCCCAATCGGGGGTTTTGCTTGGAGCGCACACGATGGCAATGCTTTCGGGTAGCATCACTTGGTAACCGCAGTGTGTGTGTAGATCACGGGAGCTCATGAAACAGGTCTGTGACGGATGTGTGTGGATCCAGCCGAGCGTCATCAAATCCTCGGAGTCACAGTAATCGAAAAGGGCCGACTCATTAACCGTCTCGCAGGTGTCTGATGTTGACGTTTGCTCGGGAATGACAAGTTTTGATATGAAAAGGGCGTTGGAAACGAGGGTACCACACAGGATACCGCATGTCTCGAGGTTGGCGCGAGTGTTAGGAGCAGCCAGAGATAAGAAGCGGGATCGGAGATTCGCTGGCAAAAACACCGAGCGCAAAGGGGTGCCGTTTTCGAGATAGGCCGAAGGTTTGAAGGTGTAACTCGACGGATCCAGCCCTGGACGCGTTTTTTCTTCGGATTTGATTTTTGCAGGCAGGACCGGAGCTGGGGATATCTTCGCCGGCCGCGAAGGCGCTACAGGTGTTGCAGAATCACCGACAATAGATGCGCGGCTAGGCTCAAGATGCTCTTTCGGAGGCAATATCGGGGGCGCATGGCGTTCGGCGTTCTTGTCGAGGATAGCAATTTGTCCTGGAGATGTAGTGGGCTCCAAAGGCTTTTGACGTGGCACAGTTGGATAATTGTACGCAGAAGTGGCTGACAAAGGAACCTCTGAATCTTTGGGACGTTGGCCATAAAATTGATCTGTGTGATCGAAATCGGACCTAATGTTTTCAGCACGTCGGCCCAGGTCGCGATCATCAGAGTTCGGATCCGATTTAAGAGAATGGTCCCAGTCACCCCATACGCCAGCTGCGCGACGACTTTCCAGCTCTTCGGCAGATGGCCCCGAAAGACCGTTTGAGCCTCGAACGGTGGCTCGGCGATTGAGCTCTGATCTAGCTAACTGCACAGCGAGATCTCGATTCGCTCCAGCTTCCAAAGGCTCTGCAACGCCTGATAGAGCGGGATCCGGGACTTGCTCTCGTGGCTCAGCAACGATGTTGGCTCGTGAAGGTTGTTTTCGAGATTCACGCTCCCGCATCAACTGAGTATAGCGCTCATATCGCTTATTGATACGCGGTCTCAGGATTTCCAGCTTGCTAAGGTTTTTCTCAACCTCTTTTTCAGCTGCCACCAAGGCCTTGCGGTCTTCCGCGTTCTTTTTGGTATCGGGGTGCTTGGAAAGATGGACCAGGATCAACTGAGCATGTCGAAATAGAATAAGGTAGGCTTGCTCATCATGTCCTTCGCGTTCGTAGATGTGGGCCTAGCAAGTTGAGGAAAGTTAACAAATCTGGAATGGTGTTCAAGTGTAGGCAACAGTTATGACCAACCTCACGTAAAAGCGTCGCGGCGGTCCTTAGCCAATATCGCAATGGAACAGAAGAGTTGTACTCGTAGTTCTGTGCTATCCGTGTAATGTGTTCAACACTTTGAGGGGCAGTACCTCCAGTGGCGCCCATCGGATTGGAAGCCATGGTAAAAGGTACGCAAACAGGAGTAGGAAGCCAAGATCAAATCAAGCATCAAATAGCATAGTGAGATAGGAATCTCCGAAAGGAAAGACCAGCGGCAATAGTGAGAGCCGCATCTAGGCGACCTGGAAGATGAACTTGGTGAGGGGGGATGAGAAAGCGGGAAGCTTTGGGGGTCTCTCCGCTCTCCACTCTCCGCCTCTATTCGCCCGAAAAAAAAAAAAAAAAAAGTGCTGTTGTAAATTCTCTGACTCTCACAATTGATCTTCCTTCATTGATGTTCTTTATTTACTCATGGCATAATCAAAATAGACCTAGAGTTTGCCACATTCTCTCAAAGAAAATGTCCATATCCACACGAACCCCGCTGGCGCGGTTCCCGTGGACTACGAAGCTTTACCCATTGGTCAAAAGACAACGCGGGAAAGTGAAGCCTCGACCACAGTTCGTGAATGAAGATCTACTAGGTAGGTGTAAGCCTCAGCCCTAACACGTAAAAACATACTCATGCCTTTGAAATTTGCAGATAATGTTCTCGAACGCGTATCGCCTTACCTTCGTCGAAACCAACCGGTAGACATTCTGGATCTTTGGCCTGGATCTGGTCTATTATCGTCTAAAGTGAATAACCTTCTTAAGCCACGCCGCCATGTGCTTGTTGAACCAAATGTTCACTTCCACCCTTTTCTCACTCCGCTCACCAAAAGCAACACGTCTTATAAGATCGTTCAAGAAACCATATACGGGAAATTGAAATGGTCTGATTTCTTTGCAGAGCATTTCCCAGAACAAGGTCTTGAAAACCGAGACAACTCAGGGATTATACCAATGAATCATACACTCCTTGTACTGGCCAATCTACCTGAGGCTGTCAGTTCAAACGATCATTTCAAACCCAGCCGCTGGTTCCTCAACTTCATGAATAGCTGCTTAAAACAATCTGAACTGAATACGTACGGGGCCGTACGAGTCCTTGCCACAATGCCCTTCATTGAAATCTCGGCTATGTTACCACGGTCTGTCATTGACCGTACACGAACTGGTGTTTTCGCAGAGACCATAGGCTTGCATAACTTAGAGATTGCCAGTCCAGCCGAAAATGAACGCTCCGTTCAATGGCGGGGCTTCAGTGGCTTGGAAGACAACAGGAAACGTGTGGCCGAAAGAGCTGCAGCACATGGCATTATCACTCCACCCACCAGAGAGCTTCCTCCATTGGAAGCAGTGCCGGAATATGCCCACCGCGGGAGAAAGGAATCACCACATCAACTTCGATTACGTACTCCTTTTCACAAGAATATCTTTGCGACCATCGCGGCAGCGGATGAGTTGGGTATCAAGTCAGCCTTCGACACCACGGACCCCAAAGCTAAAGAATTATGGCGGAAGCGAGGAGTAGCACTCACGCATCTTGCCAGAGACAATACATCGCATTACTACCGGCAAAGGCTTGCCAACATACAACTAGAGATTGACGAAGTGAGCCGGACATTTGCACGTGCGGCTGCAGACCCCAAGGAAACCGTCGAGAGGCTGAAAGCTCTGGAAGATCAGATGACATCTCTCAAATCGAGTTTTAGGGCTGTGTTCTCAGAGGTTCACTTCACCGTGTTGGAAAAGTATGAACATATTACCGATGATTCCCGGTTAACCAAAATCTCCAACAATTTCGATGATGCTGTCCTGGACCATGATCGACGACCATTCGAGCCCTTATACATCCACCCTGATGAGCTCTATCCTCGCGACATCCCGATTGGCATGATTTATTTCGAAGCAGACCCCAGCCCGCCCTTGTTGAAGAAAGTCTTTGACCTACCGCGTGCAACGGCACAAAATATCCTCGAACGACATTTTGCACTGCTAAGTTGTGTGGGCTTTCGTGGCAAAATGTCTGTCACCGAACTTCTCGAAACTCTTTTCCCATTAGAGACCATCAATGATCATGTGCGGGATATTCCAAGCCTCGCAACATTTGCCAGCAGACGACTTAAGGCTGGGTATGGGCCGATGCCCCTGCCGGATGGTTCGACGTCGGACCCGGCTTTCGTCTACCAGGAGAACGTGGACTATGATTTGAGCGATGTTCGAATCCGCATTCTTTCTGCCAGCACCTTGTTGGATATTGCGATCAAATACGAGAAGCTTGCGGATAAGCTCGATATCATTCCTTTTAGTCGAGCTCTCGGCGCAGCAGTGACTCAGGCCCAGTTAGGGGAAGATGTTGTGAAGACAAGCATGAGATAGGGCTGCATGTATATGTATACTATCTTGTATACTTTGTATTATTACTTTGTAAATTATTTGTATATTATTTGCTATGATGATGGATATAATACCATAGATTATAGACTTTCGACAATCTGACTCGGAGTATTTAGGGTTACATGTGGTTGGTTGCATCCGGCACGAGGCCGAAGGATTGGATGTTAAGTTGAGTCATATAGAAATGCCAATGTGATCAGAGGGCGATATCAATATACTATATATAACAATAATATACATTCAACCTAAAAATAAAGCAGATGAACAGCCGTTGACAGCCGTTGAGACGCATGCGGAGATGCTCCAGAGTCATAGATTTGGCCACACCTATTATTTACGGCGTTCGTATTCCTATGCCCTATCGAGTCTAGAGTCAACGAACTAACTAAACGAACTAAATCCAGATCTTGAAATTAAAATGAGGAAACCGCAGATTAATTTCCCGTCGACAAGTCCCCCACTGGCACCGTAGTATTTTACTGTCACTTGTCGATCTTTTTATCTTCTACCATTTGTGTTTTTTGGTCGAGACCGGAAGTGGGCCAAGGTCGTGTTTTTTTTTTCTCTTTGCTTTTTATTTGCTTTATTACTTCTAGCTTAGCCAGTTCCTAATTATTCTTTGTCTATATGGATTATACGACATTCTTTCTCCCTTATAGTGCCCTCGCCACCCTTGATAGATCCAACCGTGGGTGAGGCTTAATTGCCTATCGCGAATGCCGGTGGCGCTGATATCAGAACAATTTCACTGATCTCGGCGAATTTCCCGATATCTTATAGGGACCTTGATCTGCTCAAAAATCCCTCCGCTGACATTGCGTATCGAAAGCATGGTCAATCCACCATTCCCGTTGTCGGTCCAGACGGCTCAAGGCAAAAACCCACCACTATATGCTCAAGTCCCAACGAGTCTCACGCCACCTGTGACTCCTATAGCCAAGGAAACGCCTTCCCAAGATTCGAAGGCAAAGCAAGCGCCCTCCATTTCCAAGGACAATGCAGGAACTCTGCTTTTCACAGATGACCTCGAAATCTGCCACGATGACAACAACCGCTCTCTCGAGTTCGGCCGTGGCGTCTGGAGCATAGTATACAAAGCGCGCTCATTGTCGCGTTCCCAACCAAACCTCCCAGGGACACCTCCAAGCTCCCCCGTCTCAACATCGCAACTGCTAGCCGTGAAAGCACCGCTGCGCCGAGACGCGCGCCCAGTCCTCAACGCCGAAGCGATCACCCTAACCCGCCTCACTCAAACCCAAGGCCACGAGCAATACGTCGTCCCCTTCCACGGCTACCATGCCGAGCTAGGCGCACTAGTAATGGGCGCTGTTCCAACCTCCCTGGCAACCTTCATCGAAGAGCAATCCAAGCTCGCGCGCACCCGCCAGCCAGTAACAGCAACAATGTTCGACCCAGTTCAAGGCCCAGCCTCGTACCAGGATCTCGCGCGCAAGCTCATCGCTGGCCTGAACTGGCTGCACCAAGTCGGCGGCGTCGTGCACGGCGATATCAAACCACACAATATCCTCCTTCGACCCGTCGACACAGACAGCGAAGAACACGCTTTCCCTTACGAGCCTCTGTTCGCGGATTTCTCCGCCACGGTCGATATCCCGACTGATGCGGATGCGTCGGTTGATACGACGCGCGCGTCGATGTCGTCGTTCACGCCGCCATTCACGGCGCCGGAAATGCTTGCTTCGTTAACGTCGACGGAGATGGCGCCGACGCCTGCGTCGGATGTTTTCTCGCTTGCTGCCACGTTGCTTGCGGCTGCAACGGGTGATTTGTTGCTTTATCCGAATATGAATCATCGGCTGCGGCTTGAGATGGCCAGGGCTGGACATCAGATTATTGATTTCACGAGGTCTGGGATGAATGGGAGTCGGGTTCCGAGGAATGGATTCGTTGAGAAGATTGTGAAGCCGGCTGTTGTTAAGGATCCTGCGCAGCGGATTTCGACATCGGATTGGGTGGAACTTGCGTCTGCCTGATGTTGGAGCGGATCTGTTGGACTATTTCGGTTATTTGTTTTTTCTTTGCATTGTCTATATACCCTGTTTAGATGGAGTTTGGTGGGATATGTATGATATCAGGAGCACGTGGAGGAATCAGCATAATATTTATCAATCAATTAATACCTAGTGGAGCATGAGGATATCAGTGTTTCATTCATGAGTATCGGATATTTCATAGAGTAGTGAGTTCGGAGCAGAGTAGTGATTTTGGAGTGGAGTAGCGAGCATCAACAGACGATGGTAATGATACCAAAGACAAGCCCATGTGTACACATGCGTCGCGTCAACTTGATCAAGCAGCGGCATTACTGCCTTCGACAAAACCCTTCAAATCAGCAACCCACAGGTCAAAAGAATCCTGCAGCTTAACCCCGTACATCCACCGCACCACATAAGCCAACCACCCATTCTGCGCCTCCCAATTCCGCACCTCCGTCCCACCCTCCACAGCCGTAAACTCATGCACCCGCTCCGCCTGTAAAAGCGATGACGCAAACGCACCCGGCGCTTCGGCGTCAGCGATCCACACGATACGGCCGCCCTGACCTGTCTCCGCGTTTGGCGCACTACATTCGCTTACGAGAGCATGTATGTCTTTTGATGGTTGGGGCTTGGTAGATGTTGAATCCATGCGAACGTGCAAGGTGAATTTTGTTCCTTTTTGCAGGATTGGAGATAAATTTGTTTCTGTTGGTGTGGATGTGGATGTAGATGTTGATGCTGGTGTTGGGTCTGGTGCGGAGGTGGATGGAGACGGGTCTGGGGCTGGCTGGGAGCGGATGGTTATGCGTGGCACGAAGGTATTCCAGCTTGGCCATGTTGATGTGTTTGTTAAGGCGGCCCAGACCTCTTGGGACGGGGCACTTATGAAGGTTGAGCTGCCGATGTGTAGGATTGCTTGCTCGAAGGGAATATTAGGGGTTGCGCGCGTGGCGTTTGTTGGGTCTGTTAAGGTCGCCATGATGGATTGAGAGTCGGTGGTTGAGAATTGGGATTGAGGAGAGGGTTGAAAAGGAAAGAAAGGTAAGTAGGTGGGCAGGTAAGAGTCATAAATTGTGTATAACGTTAGGCTAGGCTGCGAGAGGAATAGTCCGTGCACAGGTTGTTTACACCCGGGCCGATACCTACATGCACCTGCCCAGGTGGCTTAGGAGGGCTGAGAAGTTGGAGCAAGAGATAATTGCAAGTGCAACAACCAGCTCTAGTGCGAGCCTTTTAAATACCCCGAGCTTGCTCGGAGTCCAGTGGTTGAGTGCATTGTAGTTGTTACTACAAAAATCGTCGTCTAGGTATTTATAAGTTGACGAGCACCTCTACCTGGTAGAAATCAAAAAGCTGGGCTACACTAAGTAGAAAGGTACCGCCCTTGATATCTTCTAGAATATTCGTATATCATAACAGTCGGCAGCTATTAGAGCTACAAGGCCATACAGAATTCCCAGCCACATGCATGCACGGTTGATCGAGTATAACATTGTTCCTATTTATAGATTCCGACATGCGATATCATCAACATGGGTAAATTAGGCATATTATCTTAATTAATGACCTCCAACATAGTATAACGTGTTTCGTAAGTCCAACTTGACCATCAAAGGTGACGTAGTGATGCCAAGACCAACCTTTATTTGAAGCTATGCCTGTTACAGATACAGAAAAGACCAGACGGCCACATATGCAGCCTTTTGATGTTACAGGGCTCTTAAGTGGTCTTTGAGGCAGTCTTTTCGGTGGTCTTCTTGAATCTATTATGGGCTTCCCCCTTTCCAGTTGGGTAGATGGTAGAAAAAGGTGGAAAAAACATACTTTGTGAGACTTTTCTATGTGAGGTATCTGATGTGTGAACAGATGCTTGATTGATCCTAAGATCTCTCTTTCTATTCAATATTTGATATCTGCTTTAGAGTCTGATATATATCATCAAGTAGCAGAATAAAGCCTGATGCACAGGTATATCATACTCCATCATTGGATAAAGCTCCATTCTGAACTTATTCCCATCTATCTAGTACCCACACGGAGTTAGGGCATACTAATAAGCAAACTCTCTCACTCTCAGATGCAAGAAATCATAGAATTATCGTTGATATGTGCTCAAGTATTTATATTTCAAACGGTCAGGGAGATAGAAACATAGTCAAGTCGCGCAACCTTGAGATTGCCGGCTTGATGGACCAACCCTTTTGGAGAGCCTGCTCATGTAGGAGAATCCCTGCGGCAGATCAGATGGACTTGCCAATCCTTCTTTGATATCAATTGAAAAATTAAGTGCACCCATGGACATTCCATGGATTAAATGGTGATCTCTCTGATCCATCTGCCAAAGATTCTTTGCTCTTCTCTATCCGCTCCTTCTTGCAATGCTGCACCTTCCTCAGAACTCCTGCCATGAACAAAACTCATCTTCCTCCTCTTCCTCTTCTTCTCTTTCTCCTCTCCCAGATCCCATACATTCTTTCATCCAACGCTCTTTCATCTATACACTCATTTCCATCTTTCGTTTTCTTCAACATGCAGTATAATACCCCAGTTCCGGTTTTTGTCCAGGCCTCTCATCAACCTCCTCCTACCCTTCTTGCCCGCCCAAGGCCCCGATTTTGTATCCTGCGCCCCGGGGGCTTTTGGACACCTCTGATTCCACTGGACGAGTTGCCTGATTGGTTAGAGATTTGCAACTGGGCTCCCGACTTGTATATGGGGATGTACCCGGCATCAATGACCTTCATACCACGAGAAGGGGAGTATGACGTTTTCTGTCATCACTGCTCTCACCGAGTGGACTCGCTACACCAAAGTGTCTCAGAACGAGAAGCTCCTTCTGTGGCCCCCAGTAATGCCGCCAGTAATGGAACCTCGTCCAAAGACTGTTCTGAACGACAAGTCTCTCCAAACGCTTATCACACCGATGCTGTTTCATTGCCTACGGTGCTCCATCGTGGCTCCCCAGAGCACTTCTTGGAACAGCCTCCTTTCAGTGCGATGCTCCAGACGCCTTTTGTTGGAATGTGTGTGGTCGACATGAACTCACAGTATCCGGATATTTCTCAGGACCCTGCTGGCCCAAAGCGACGTATGAGCATCGAAAACTCGATCCCTTCTCAGATCTTTGCCGCAGTCGGCATTGGCAGCCCTCCTCTTTCCGTGGCGAATTCGGGAAATTCCCGCAGGCCTGACTCGCCTTATCCACATGCACATGACAGCGGATCTTTTGGCAAACCTAAGCGTGTTGAATCACTGCGGAACGAAAGCGTTGCGTCAATGCAAAGTGGCAGTGTTGCGTCGACTCGATCTCTTACAGTTGCTGCCATTGAACAAATGAAAAGGATGCGAAGAAGAAGGCTCTCTCGCGGAAGCAGTTTGCTTGCAAGTATCAGTATCGCAGGAGCAACAAATCTGTCTCAGGTCTCAGGCTCAAAGATATCCAAGGTTTCGAAAGATTCCTCTATCCGCGTTATCTCAAAGTATCGTCCAAAGGTTATACTGCGTCGTCGACGCGCGGAGGAAAGGAAAACCCGCAAACCCAAGTCAGAGACCTCAATAGAGGTGCGGCTGAAGCCGGAGCAACCGAATTCTGCTACCAAGAGACGCGATCGTCGTCAGCGCATGATGAAACGCAGAAAGCAATCTGATCGGGGCAAGCAACCTTATCGAAACATGATGCAGATTCCACATTGGAGCCCGGGTATGTGCAAGCACTAAGTTGTGATTGAAAATGCTCTGCATACGAGAAGAAGTTGTATCACTGTCTTGGCTGTTCGTATTATTCACACAAGTTTATTTTGACTGGGTTTTGTTCTCTAGATCGATGTCCTTCTTTTCCATTTCATTTTGCTGGGTCTGGCCATGTCGTTCTTTCGTTCGTCCTTTCCGTGAGGTTGCGTTTATGCATTTCCTGGTGAGCCGGCTTCTCGTTTCCCTCCACGTTCTTTTTGCTTCTGGGGAGGTTCTGGTTTCGTTTCGTTCATTTTGCTGTTCTCCACCGGTTGCCTGTATGTAGTTGATGACTTTGCCTCGCTTTGGCCCATTCCTTTGTTGTTCTGAGCTGCCTTTTGACTTTCCGCCCACTTCGTATTGTTATTCACAGTCGTTTTCCAGTGAATGGACTGGTTTTCTGTCGCTTGTCTTCACGGAATGTGTACTTCACTAAGTTCACTTGTTGAACCCAACCAGAATTGAAGCCAACTGTTCCATCTTTTCAGAGTCGTTAACAGAATGCAGACTCTTTTTTCCCATAGCACCAAGGCCAAACCCCTTAAAATCGCCCCCGAAGGATTCCAATGCGAGATCCACTTCGGCCCGGACAACCCCCGCACTTATAGTTGATAGCCTTCCCAGCCAGGCAACTTCGCACACACGATGAAGGTGAAAAAGCCCCGTGGTATCCGGCATGACCGGGACTGTGGTCGCTGCAAAGTCCGAGGGGTCAAGTGTGACTTGAACCGCCCCCGATGTCAAGGCTGTCTAGAGGGTGGAGAAGCATGCAACTATCCACAACGAGTTGTATGGGTAGATGATAAGAAGTCCAAATCACCAACCGCACAGATTCCTGAAACGCCAGGGCCTACCAAGTCATCATCTATCAATCTATATGGCTTCGTCGACCTCCTGGACACTTTTTGCCAACAAATCCAATCCAGCAGCCGCGATATCCCAGAAGAAGGAATCCAACTGATTACACGCACGCTAAGCTTTGCCCGCTCACGCATCCAAGATGCGAACAACAAAGAATCTCTCCAGTCGCACCTGGTGGCCTTAACGAATCTGAGCCAAGTGATCCAGTCCGCCCACCCAATTGCACTCTTCGGCATCGCCACTTTCGCCATGTTCGAAGTATGCTGCGGGTCCTTTGGGAACTGGCATTGCCATCTCCAAGGCGCACGCTCCCTGCTAGATCTCCACTGCCAACACAAAGCCGATTTCGACGACCTCTGCGGCGAGATCTCCGGTCTAGCTGATGTCCTCGCCTATCTAGTGTGGTTTGATGTTACAGGTGCCCTCGTCCGAGAAAGTCCATTAATTTTTGAAGACTGGCATCGCGAGACCTTATCTACTGGCTTCCTCGACTCTGTCGGCTGTCCAGCAGATACCTTCGATCTTCTTGTCTACCTTGCGAAACACCCCGACGGCGATGGAATTCGTACTATAGACCTCAGTGCTCGAGCAATGGCCCAAGTCCTACAGCTCAACCCAGGCGACTCGACCGATCGCAATCTGGCTGCGACCGTTTATAGAGGCGCCGCTGCAATCATGGCATTCAGTCGCGCGGGAATGACGACGGGCGACCCATCTCCATCAACATATCATGCAAACGTAGTCTCCTCCATGGTTGATCGAGCTTGTCAGGCTATCGCGGATATCCCGTCTTCGTCAAGATTCTACGTGCACCTAGCTACTCCCGCGTACTTGATCGCGATGAGTGCCTCGACAGCCCGACAATGCGAGATAATCCGAGGATACTGGCGAAACTGCCAGTCGTGTGAATTCCCCCGATATCCGGACGCGGAGGCGCAGTGCGAGAGGAAGTGGAGGATATGCGGTGTGGGGTTTAGCGTCGATTAGATTGCCTTCCTAATCGGGAAATATCCCACTTCTTATCTACACGGGTCTTACAACATATATAAAGGTGTGAGAGTCCAACTTTCTAGCTTCGTAGTTCTCGTAAATGAATAAAAGTTCCCTCATGGCTACCTCGTACCAAGACCGTTGCGCCCAAAAGCGCGCTGACCAGCTCGCCCTCATCCTCCCCGAATGGCGCTTAGATCCCGTTCCCTCCATAGAATCCACGCCAAGCGCCCTGGCATATCTGCGTCGCATCCTCAGTCCAGAGGAGCTAGCTCTCACGGAGGAAACTGATATCGCCGTTCTTCTCCGAAAGCTTTCATCCGGAGAACTCTCATCTCTAAAGCTAACCCGAGTCTTCGCTAAGCGCGCCGCCCTCGCTCACCAACTCACAACATGCTGCACGGAGATCTTCTTCGAAGAAGCCTTCGCTGTCGCTAAGGAACTAGATGACCATCTCGCCAAGACGGGCAAGACTGTCGGCCCTCTACACGGATTACCGGTATCCATCAAAGACCTATTCTCCGTCGAAGGACTAGACACTTCAATCGGTGAATCCACCTTTTCCCCACACCGCACCTTTCTCTCTGTATAGCTATTTGTTTACTAACAAGTTCAAATGCAGGCTGGGTCGGCCTCACAAATAACCCAGCACCAGCAGACAAATCCGTAGCTCGCACACTGCGCCGTCTCGGCGCAGTCCTCTACGTGAAAACCAATCTGCCCCAATCGATGATGATGTCCGACTCCTACAACCACGTCTTCGGGCAATGCGTCAACCCATTCAACCGCGAGCTGATTTCCGGTGGGAGTTCCGGCGGCGAGGGATCGCTAGTTGCGGCGCGCGGAAGCGTGTTGGGGATTGGTACTGACTTGGGCGGTTCGATTCGAATTCCGGCGGGACTTTGTGGACTTTATGGACTCTCGCCTAGTCCTGGTAGACATCCTTATGAGAGGGGGAAGTAAGTTTTACTCTGAACTGTTGTATTTTGTTTTTGATTTCGCGTGGGGAGCAAAAAAAAGAGAAAGAAAAATGTGCTAATTGAATGATTCATAGTCCCGGACAGGATATTGTGAGATCTGTCGCTGGGCCTATGGCCTGTGATCTTGCGACTATTGAGAGGTATATGGAGGTTTTGCCTGATGCGAAGCCGTGGGAGGTTGATCAACATGTTGCGCCTGTAGCGTGGAGAAAGGAATTGGCTTCTCCCGGGGCGAAGAGAATGAGGATTGGATTTTTGGTTGATGATGGTGTTGTCAAGGTGCAGCCACCGGTTGCAAGGGCTATGCGTGAGGTTGTCGAGGCACTGAGAGCGGCGGGACATGAGGGTAAGACAACTGACACCAAACCCTTGCACTGCATAATCTGAATCATTTATTAACGAAACCTCAGTGTTCGAGTGGGATGCCTCCTCGCATAAATATGCATATGACCTCTGGGCGAAGGCTATCTTCTCTGATGGCGGCGAGGGCTGTCGAAGACAGATTGAGAAAACCGGCGAGCCGCTTGTTGAGGGTATGCTCGTTGGTAAACCTGAGGATACACTGACTACTAGTCAAACGCACCAAGTAAGGGGGCTCCGTCTTGCTATTATCTTCATTGTTCACTAACGTAAATCGCAGCTCAATGCGGACAAATACAATTACGAATCAGCATATCTCGATAAATGGATATCATCCGATATCGACGCATTGATCATGCCCAATATCCCATGGGTGGGATACAAGCCGTGGACGTGGGTGAAGTCGAGCGCATATGTGGGTTACACGAGTATCTGGAATCTGCTTGGCTATGCTGCATTGGCAACGCCTGTGACTACTGCCTCGAAGGAGAAGGATGTTCCCGATGAAGAGTGGCTGGCCCATGTTCCCAGGAATGAGGGTGATAAGTTTAATAAGGAGCAGTGTGAGTACTTACGATATTGGAGTCTTTTCGACAGATGCTGATTCCATTTTAGATGACCCCAACTTGGTTGAGGGAATGCCTGTCGGAATACAGGTTGTCGGCGGTCGATTTGGTGAAGAGAAGTGTGTTGCTGTGGCTAAGGCGATTGAACTGGCCATGCAGAGGAAGATGACCTCGCGGGCAAGCCTTTGATCCACTACGGGCAGTAGAGATACATTATACGTTTATATAGCTCCAGGGTCATGTACTCTTTATCTTAATTACGTCTGGCACTATCAACATTTACACATAGTTCCTTGCCTCCAGTCTCGACGACTAATGCACAGCAGAACAGCATATATATATATAGAGTTATATCACTCCACGACCCGAACTCCATTATGAATATTCGTGCATTTCTAAAAGATAAACATCGTCATTTCTATCGTTCTCGTGTAGAATCCGAGTACAGGCCTTGTATGTTTCACAATATATACACCCCAAACTCCCACAATCTCAAATAGGAGCATTCATTTTATCCTGATAGTCCGGAAATTCAAAATCCCCAAAATCCCTCTCACTACTAAGCGCCACGCGAGGATTCTCATGCGCAATACTACCCCTCGGCCTTCCTCCCCTCTCCAAATCGGGATGTTGACTATACGCAGAAGGAATAGAAGGAGGAACAGAATCAGAATGCAACCTCAACTCGCGTACAACACGAATCCCGTCTTCAGTCTCTTCGGCTTCATTCGGATCAACCTTAGAGATACTGGCAGAGTAACTCGCCGGTGCAGGATTGAACAGATTGTGACACCAGGTCTCATCATCTTGGTGAGCAGTCTCGGTCATTTTGGCTTTACTGGAAGGTCTCCGCTTTGAGAGCGATGAGCGTACTGGTCGAGGGAGGAAGAAATATGAGAAGATGCGGGAGAGGAGGGGGTGAAGTGGTGGTAGACAGATGCAAATGATGGAGATATTTGCTTCAAGGGAGGACCATAGGGCTGCTTGGGCATTTGCTTCTGTTGATGTGTCAGGTTTGCTCTTGTGTATTGCATGCGCAAAAAGAGCTATCAACTTACCGGTAAAGTCTCCTCCACTAACCATGATGTTTAGTTCATATAAGCGACCGGCACTGGTGGCAACGATACTATATGAAATGTCAGCTTCTTTTACAAGATCAAGCAGGAGTGTGCACTTGACGTACAGGATTCCAAGACTGAAAACCCCAATGATCCCCCACTTTTGTCTTTTTGGTAGCTGTAACTTCAACAGCAGTGGTATGGGCATAGCCACAATCAACAGATCTGTAAAGGTCTGGATTCCGGCATTTGTGAACCAGGTAGGCGCGTCGGGTAGACAATGATTCTTTCGGACCTCTAGGGATGGGTTCCAGAAGTAGTGGATAGGAATGCAGTAGACGAAGCCGCTCAGAGTCGTCCAGAGGCCGAAGAGGGCAAGGAACGATATCAAGACGTAGGTGATTATGAGGAAACGACGAGAATGGAAGACGCGGGTGAAGAGGGTTAGTGCGGAGATCTTGGCCAAGATCATGGTGAGGTTGTAGAAAGGGACTGAAAGCCATAGCCACTGTGGTTTATGTTCATTAGTGACTTGGTCCTCATGGTTCATAGAAGGGTTTTTGTACAAATAGTTGACGCTTGTATTCATCTAGAGAAATCTTTGTGGTGGGAACGCCGAGCCCGTTTTCTCGTTCTATTGAGGAGCCGTGTCAGATGTATGTGGTGAATGTACGATATTGCTGGAATGGACCACCGACCAAGAATGATAAAAATATAAGATAAGATGTCGGAGACCTATAATAGATAGGTGGTCAGAACTGCGCTCAATATATCTTGTTTGGAGGATAGATTCCTGGTATACATAGCAGGTAGAAGTACATACTAACGCAAATGATATAATCAGATCGTCTAACCCAGCGGCCTTCGCCATGTGAAACCGAGCGTATAACCGGAAGGCGACGGTCAAAACCGCCAGGCCTGTGAATATTGACGTGATGACCTCGACATACATCGCACCGACAAGGGCAACGACTGATCGATCTCAAAGATATCAGTTGGATCCTAGTGGAATGCCGCCGCCGAATGTCATTGTACTGGAAGAAATGCAGTGGAGCAGCGCCACCACTACACTGCGGCTGGGTATTGAATAGGTGAATAGTAGGGCAAGCAAGAAAGTCCAACGTCAGGAAAGTAAAAGGAGAGTAGAAGAACTATCTTAACCCACACATAACCAACACCAAAAAAAAGCACATGATCAGCCACAATCTGCAAAACTCAGGACTTTACACCTAAGCCCGTGTCTTTGGGTCTTCGTCCATGGCTGGTACTCAAAGATCAAATGGCCGCAAAGGCGAGCTGGCCGGTTGCGTCAAGACCTCTGGATCGACGGCTAATCAAGTCGGAAAGTGATGTGATTCGCTGACAGAATAAAGTTGTGGGCTACATTCCTCCGGCGCGCATCTCGATTGGTTCGATGCTTTTTTTTACATTCCGAGAAAGGAGGGCGATCAGATTCGAGGTCGAATAGAAAGCCCCTTGGTTCTTCGAGTCACTTTTGGTGGGTTTCCTGGTTTGGGATTAGGGTTGATATTTCTGCGCCTTTGATGCGCAGATCTGGTATGAATAATTATGTGTCCCCAATCGACAAGCACTCTTGACCTCCATGGAAGTGAGATCGACAGGAAGTAGTCAAGCCGGGCTAAGATGGTGGTAGCATCTAGACAAGGAATGAACTTAAGAGATTGATAGTTACTGTACCGACTAGTTATCTACAATGTGATATAGAAAGAAGTATACAGAATGACAATTCAATTGCAGACTATACAAAAACAAAAATTACCACAGCCAGGCCAATTTCCTTTCCACTAGGGATTCTAAAACGGGAGTATCTCATCAAATTTTGCAGCAAATGGGAAAATAATCTACAGGCGGGCCTTGAGGTTGGCCTTCAGCCTCCGCTCAACGGCAGCCATGTACTCGCCAGTGGTAACCCAAGCCTCGCGGTCCTTGCGACCACAGGCAAGAGCCAAATCCTTGGTCATGATAGCCTCATCGTTGACAACTTCAACGCAGGCACGCTCGAGCTCCTCGGCGAAGGCGACAACGTCGGGGGTGTTGTCGAGCTGACCACGCTGGACGAGACCACGGGTCCAAGCGAAGATAGAGGCGATGGGGTTGGTGGAGGTCTCGTTACCCTTCTGGTGCTCACGGTAGTGACGGGTGACGGTTCCGTGAGCGGCCTCGGACTCGAAGGCTTCACCGTCGGGGGTGGTGAGGGTGGAGGTCATCAGACCGAGGGAGCCGAAGCCCTGGGCGACGATATCAGACTGGACATCACCGTCGTAGTCTGAGTGGTGTTAGCTAAGGCATAGTAAATTGAGATGGGATGGGAAACTCACTCTTAAGAGCCATGACGAAGCCACCCTCGGACTTGATCATCTGAGCGACCATGTCGTCAATGAGACGGTGCTCGTACCAGATACCCTGGGCATCGAATTCCTTCTTGTAGTCCTTCTGGAAGATCTCCTCAAAGATATCCTTGAAGCGGCCATCGTACTTCTTGAGGATAGTGTTCTTGGTGCTCATATAGAGAGGGAGCTTCTTCATGAGGGCCGTCTTGAAGGAGGAGTGAGCGAAGCCAGCGATGGACTCATCAGTGTTGTACTGGCACTGGGTGACACCGCCACCCTGGAAGTCGAAGACCTGGATGTGCTCGGGCTTACCACCCTCAGGGGTGTAGACCAACTCGAGCTTACCGGGGCCAGGGATGACACGGTCCTGGGCACGGTACTGGTCACCGAAAGCGTGACGGCCAATAATGATAGGCTTAGTCCAGCCAGGGACCAGGCGGGGAATGCGGGAAATGACAATAGGCTCACGGAACACAGTACCGCCACTGGATAAATTAGTGATGAACAGTCAAAGCCAATAGGGTTGAATTTACTCACAGGATGTTGCGGATAGTGCCGTTGGGGGAGAGCCACACTACGGATGATTAGCCTTTTTGTTGTTACGCAACACGGACTTTCGATGAGCTTAATGAGCTTACTCTTCTTCAGCTTGAACTCCTCAACACGGGCCTCATCGGGGGTGATGGTGGCACACTTGACACCGACACCGTACTTCTTAATAGCCTCGGCAGCATCAATGGTAACCTGGTCATTGGTCTCATCACGGTACTCGATACCCAAATCGTAGTACTTGAGATCGACATCAAGATAAGGCAGAATCAACTACAGACAGCCAATTAGTATCAAGAATGATTCCGGGTTGGCATGTACTATGATGTATCCACTGCAGGCATCCTGCAACGGTGGCGATCATGCAGGTCTAGCCCGAGCCAGGAGGGGGGCGATCAGCTTACCTTTTCTCTGATTTCTTGCCAGATGATACGGGTCATCTAGATTTCACGAAGATGATTCGGTTAGCACATGTCAAGGATAAGGTTTAGGGCCTTGGGGGCGGCGTCATCAGAGGATTGACACATGAAGATGATCCAAATCGCCGTGTTTCCCCGCGTTTTCGACGAAAACGAGATCGCCGAGCACGATAATATGCAGGCTTGTGAAACAGGCCGATTGAAAGTTTGAACTATAAAAGGGGGGGGGGTTCTCCCATACCTCATCACCATCCAACTCGACCAAAGGGGTCTTGACCTTGATCTTGGTTTCGGAAGCCATAGTGCGGGTTTGAGTTAGATACGTAGGGATCGATCCGGACCAGCGGGAAGAAGCAACAACTCGATTAGTACGTTGAGAGAGGGAGGTAGAGGAAATAGATCTCTTGGAAGGAGAAATGAAAGAAGAGGAAGAAATAAGACGAGAGGTGGAAGAGAGAGGGGCAGGAGGGGTCGTAAGAGACCGACGAGCGACTGCGGAACTGGACCGGAGAGCGTTCATCGTGGAATAATGCCTAAGGACGTCAGCACTTGTTTCGCTGTTTCTGTTTGGCTGAGTGGGATCCAAGTCGCCTCAACCGCCTTGGTTACAACCGAGGGAATGAGGTTCGGCAGAAAGGAAAGTGTGGAGTCGGGAAATTTCCCGGAGAAAGGGCAGAGAGATATTGCGATTTCCGGGAGTTTGGGGGTAAAAGGACCGGGGCAATACGGGATTTATTCGGGATTAAGATGAGTAAGGCAAATCAGAAAGGGAAAATTACCGAATAGCAAGAGAGAGAGTGGTTAGTTGAAAGGGTAGAAGGAAAAAGCCTTGTCCGGTGTAATGAGGCGGTTGAGGATCTTTATCAACTCCGCAAACAGAAGCGCCGAAGCCGGAGTCACGAGATATTCGAGATTTGAGGGAATGGCTTTTGGGGGTGAAGACACATGGATCTCTCTTTTTCTTTAAATCTTTCTTTATAGGTCTCCTGACTCATCGATCTAACCCTTTCCCAGGTAAAATTTGATGTCAAGCTCCATCAACCGACCCGCTGAAGAAACCTATACGTGATGGAGCGGTTCCCGGAGAACGGAGCTCAACTCCGGCCTTGACCGGTCCTCCTTTTTTGACCCCGGAAAAGCTCCAACCGAATTGTACGATCTAGAGAGAAAAGATATAAATTGATTATGACGAAATAAGATATCAAAATGAATTTCCAATTGCCCCGGATTGGTGTTGAAAAGAATCTCCATCTAAGGGCCCGCTCCGATCAGACGCCGATTATGGTATGTGTTGAAGAATCGAAATTCGAACCGTATATGCAAGCTTCAAATATCTTCTTATATACTCTAGAACAAACCGTCGATATCCCCAGTCTCGGTGTCAATGTCCACATTAAGGTAACCGGGGGCAGTGGGGAGTCCGGGAATAGTTTGAATATCGGCAGCCAGAGCGTAGCTACAGCTATATTAGCGTAACGAATTTCCACAATTGAGGGGACAAAAACTTACAGGTATCCAGCACCCACAGCCAATCTGACATCCCGAATCGGTACAGTGAAACCGGATGGGGCACCCTTGAGGGCTGGATCGTGACTGAGTGAGTACTGAGTCTTGGCGATACAGATCGGCAGGTTAGAGAACCCTTGCTTAGTGTAGGTATCGACCTTCTTCTGGGCCAATTCACTGAACTCGACCTTCTCAGCACCATACATGGATTGACCAATGCGCTCAATGCGCTCCTGAATAGTACCGTCCAGTCCGTAGAGGAGCTGGAAGTTCTTCTCTTTGGAGCTAGCAGTCATGACAGCCTTGGCCAGATCAACGGCGCCGGCTCCACCCTCAGCCCAATGATTGGCAGGGACGGCATCCTCGGCGCCAGCAGCGATCGCCTCTTCTCTGATGACAGCAATTTCAGCCTCGGTATCAGTCTCGAACTTATTAATCGCAACCACGACCGGGACGCCATATTGCTTGGCGTTGGCAATGTGCTTCCGCAAGTTAACACAACCCTTGCGGAGAACATCCACGTTCTCAGTGCGGTAGACCTCATCTAGAGGAGCGCCGGGCTTGATCTCAGGGCCGCCGCCGTGAACCTTCAGGGCACGGACCGTAGCCACAATAACAACAGTGTCCGGAACCAGACCGGAGGAGCGGCACTTGATGTTAAAGAAGCGCTCACCACCCATTGTGAAGTCGAAGCCTGCCTCGGTGACGACGAAGCCGGTCTTGGCTTCGTGATCCTCATCAGGCTCAGTGCCGGCAAGCTTCAGGGCAAGCTTGTCGGCGATGGCAGAGCTGGCACCAATACTAATGTTGGCAAAGGGACCAGCATGTACCATCACAGGGGTGCCTTCCAAACTCTGCATCAAGTTTGGCTTGATGGCATCCTTCATCAAGGCGGCAAGGGCACCACCGGCACCAATATCATCGCAAGTCACAGGGTCGCCGTTTCGAGAAGTGGCAACCACCATGCGACCTAGTCGCTCACGCATATCATGCAAGTCGTTGCTCAAAGCAAGAATTGCCATGCACTCACTAGCGACGGAAATATCGAAGCCAGTCTCGCGGGAGTGACCTTTCTCGGTGGCGGCCTGGCCGACTGTGATACCACGTAGGTGACGGTCATTGACATCGAGGACGCGGCGCCAGGTGATGGTTTCTGGGTCGATATCCAGGCGGGCAAAGCGGGTAATCTCCTCCTCGGTGAGGTCATCTGGGTTAGTCTTCTCAATGCCCAGCTTCTTCAGGCGTCGGAACATGATGGGCTTGAATTCACGTGTGCCCTTGCTGGCAGGTACAAGACGCTTGTAGAGAGCTGCATCTTTCTGGGTGGACTCGTGGAACATGCGAGTCTCAATAGCGGCAGCGAGAAGATTGTTCGCGGCAGTGATGGCATGGATGTCACCTGTGAGGTGAAGATTGAACTCGTCCATAGGAATAACCTGACTGTAGCCTCCACCAGCGGCGCCACCCTTGATACCGAATGTAGGACCTTGGCTGGGCTGTCGGACGTTGGCAAAGGAAATGCGGTTCAAGTGGGCACCAAGAGCTTGAGTAAGACCCAATGTAGTGGTGGACTTACCCTCGCCGAGAGGGGTGGGTGTGATACCGCAGACCAAGATGTATCTTCCGTTTCTGCGATGGGAGAGGCGGTCCAGAACACTGAGGCTGATCTTGGCCTTGGTGTGGCCGTAGGGCTCCAACTCGTGGGGGGCAATACCGACCTCGGTAGCAACCTGGGTGATGGGCTTGGGGTACTGGGCGCGCGAGATGGCGATGTCGGAAGGCACGGGGGTTTGTAGGCGAAGGGGAAGAGGAGTGACGTGACGATCCTTCTGTTTCTCAAAGTAGGTCTTGGCGGAATGAACTACGTTCTTCAACAACATAGCCACTGTCATAGGACCAACACCACCGGGGACTGGAGTAATCTGCGAAGCCACTTCGGAAGCAGACTCAAACTCGACATCACCGACCAACCGCTCACCGGACTTCTTAGTCGCGTCAGGCTTGTAGTTGATACCGACGTCAATAACCACGGCACCAGGCTTCAACCAGTCACCCTTCACGAGCTCAGTTTGGCCAATGGCCGCCACAACAATATCAGCGTTCTTGACAATGCGGGGGATATCCGGTGTCTTTGAGTGGCAGACAGTAACGGTAGCGTCGGCGTTCTTTAACAAATAGCTGACTGGGCTGCCGACGATGTCGCTACGTCCCAGGACCACTGCCTCCTTGCCGGCGGGGTTTACCCCGCTTGCTTTAAGTAGTTCCATAACGGCCAGAGGGGTGCAGGGAGTGAACAACGGGCGACCGCCTCGCTTAGCCAGCTCGCCGATATTGATTGCGCCGAAACCATCGACATCCTTCTCATCTGAAACAGTTGATGTGATTGCATGCTCAGACATGTGGCTTGGGAGGGGCAATTGAACCAGAATGCCGTGGATCGCGGGGTCATTGTTGGCTTTGGTGATTTCCTGGATGAGCTCCAGCTCTGTGCTTGATTCGGAAACGTTGATCAAAGTGCAGATGATGTTGGCCTGGTAAATGAGGTCAGAGGTTGCTCCGCATATCTCAAACAGCAAGTCATACCTCTTGAGCAGCCTTCAGCTTCATGCGCACATAGGTACCTAAGTGACATTAGTCCAAACTATCTCTCCATACTGTTTGTAGATAGACCAACTGGAATCCGATCGATTGCCGACTATATAGAATCGTCATGTTAGTATAGAACATTCCTGTAATCATTCAAGGGACATGCTTACCCTGGAAGATGACCAGGTTGGGCTTGAATCTGGGGTTGGTCACTTGAATCTGCTCAATCTCTGACTTCAACCCCTGGCGAATGCTCTTCGCGATGGCAGTGCCATCAATCTTGGCGGCAGCCATTGCTGATCCGGAAAACGTTCGGGATGGTGAGATAGCGGGGTTGATAGGGGAAAAGTTGACGTTCACTGGAGACTTAATAGATGTAGGAAGGCGTCTAACAGGTTGAACAGAGGAAAAATAACGAGATAAGAAAAGATTTCGGAGAGTGCCCGCATGCACTTGGAGATAAAAAGTGCAGCGGGGTAGGGCAGCGGGGACAAATGGCATGAATTGCTTGTTTTGGGGCGAACCCGCGGACTTGCTATCGGCGTGGTGACAAGAAAATCAACAATTAGGCCTCAATTTCACATGTAACACTCAGGAGATATACCGGAGTAGAATCCAGCCCTATCAATTTCGAGTATTTCCCTTCATATGCACCTATTCCCTGCCTTTGTCTGTAATTAAGCTCATGCGGAGAGTCGGCGAGTTTCCCGGTTTCCCGGGAACCTCCTTGTTGCCGCCTGAGGCACGAATACATATCTAGGCTGCATGAGTCATCCACGACGAATTAACCTTTTCTGGCACACCAGCTAGGGCTTAGGGTATCCAGGTACCAGATCACGTGTAGATATCGGGATGCGGAAGATTCTGGCCTCCGAGAAAGTCTTGGCATTGAGGGCCGAGTGTGCGATGAAATTCACTAGTCAAAGAAAGTGAGGTTGACGAGGTTGACCCCCCCCCAAAAAAGCCACTCCGCCTTACCCATTCTGAGCCGAGCGTCTCAGATTTTTCCCCTCCGATACTCCATCTCGAAATTCCCATCATCTACTTGTCAAAATGCGGCCTATTTTGCTTTCCGGCCATGTGCGTTGATTTCCTCGAAATCTTGCTGGATCCACAGAGACTGACCGCAGCCATCTATAACAACAGGAGCGGTCCCTGACCCAAATCAAGTTCAACAGCGATGGCGATCTCCTCTTCTCCGTCTCGAAGGATAAGATTGTGTGCGCATGGTGGTCCGCCAACGGCGAGCGTCTCGGTACTTACAGCGGCCACCAGGGTGCCGTCTGGACAGTCGACGTCAGCCCCAACACCGTTCTCCTTGCAACCGGATCAGCAGACAACACCGTGCGTCTATGGAACATCAAGACCGGCGAGTGTGTGAAGGTTTGGGAATTCCCAACAGCCGTCAAGCGCGTGGCATTCTCCCCCGATGGAAGCAGACTTTTGGCCGTGACGGAAAAGCGCATGGGTTTCAACGGTACTATCGCCATTCTCGATATCAACTACGGCGAAAACCTCAGTGCGCAGGCTACCGAGCCCACCCTTACCATTGTTTGCGAGCAGAGCAAGGCCACCGTGGCGGGGTGGAGTTTCTTGGGCAAGTACATCATTGCGGGGCACGAGGACGGCAGCGTCAGCCAGTATGATCCTAAGGTATGTGTTTTTTCGAGGTGATTTGAGAAGGGTGGAATGCTAAATGCATCTCTAGTCTGGAGAACAAGTCGAGAACGTGCAAATCCACGAATTCGATAGCCAAATAACTGACATTCAATTCGCACCCGATCGTCTGTCTTTCATTACCGCGTCGAAAGACAAGTCAGCCAAGGTATGTGCTTTTACAAGTTATGCTATTGTAAGGCAATCCCCGCTGATAGTATGCAGCTCCTGTCCTCCCGCAACCTCGCCATCCTCAAAACCTACATCTCCGACACTCCCCTCAACACTGCTTCCGTGACACCCAAGAAGGACTTCGTTATTCTTGGTGGTGGTCAAGCCGCCATGGATGTCACCACCACCTCCGCCCGCCAGGGTAAATTCGAAGCCCGCTTCTACCACAGAGTGAGTACAGATATGCGATTGAGTGATCTTACCCGCCACATACCAATAATCATATCACGCAGGTCTTCGAAGATGAAGTCGGTCGCGTTCGTGGCCACTTCGGTCCCCTTAACACCATCGATGTCCACCCCGCCGGTACCGCATACGCCTCCGGTGGTGAGGACGGATACGTTCGTGTCCACCACTTCGACAAGTCATACTTCGACTTCATGTACGAGGTCGAGCGGGAGCAGGCGCGGAAGTAAAGAGCGGATGGGTGAAGAAAGTTGGAATGCGTCGTGTGTATGTGTTTACGAGGCGAAAAGACTTGGGACAGATTCCCCGAGTCCCGCATACGGAATGGGATGACCTTCCGGTCCACGATTTTCTCATATCATTGATTCCATGATCAATCGGAGTTGGTACCTTGTGTTTGTGTCTTTGTTTAATAAAAAGATGACATGGTTCATTTTTTGAGCTCTTATGTCTGTCCTGGTCCTCCGCAAAAGAGATGAAAATCGGGTAAATAGACAAAATCAAAGCTTTGCAAATCTTCAAATCGTGTCCAGACAGCCTAGCTGGTATAGAAGAGCATGAGGATAGGAGTTGTCTGTGTGTGTAGGAAAGCACTAGTCCGTACGTATCTTTTGATCTACCCCAGTACTTGCATACACTAGTTTCCCTTCATGTGCATAGGTTATGTGCGAGGTATAAAAACATCTATTCATTGAAATTTACATTTAAATGGCAATTGAAGGAAGATAAACATGACAATATCAAAAAATCTGAGGTATCTCATTTATACAATTTTTTTTTCGTGAAATCTTCTCTAACCCCGTTTCCCATGCAAGGCCAGCGCTGATCCGACCAGCAGAAAAGAAACCTGTAGAAAAAAACAAAAAAAAAAGTGACGTCTCATGAAAACGGAGAAGGAACATGACAGTCATAGAGCGCAAAAAAAGCAGAATGCAGAAACTTAAGATTTGCCCCCGGTCTCATCTCCGAAGGGATGAAAGCCGCGGACTCAACCCCGATCGTCTATTTCTTCTTAGGGAACTTTTCTGAGCCGATGTCTGAGCCACGCAGCTTGACGTTCAACACGCGCTCCATAGCTCCGAGGACCTTCTGGTCGGGGGCGGCAGTGCCACGCTCGAAGTCCTGCACAATGGTGATGGTGGTGTTGCACTTGGTGGCGAGTTCCTTCTGGGTCATCTTGTAGCCCTCCTCAGTACGGCGTCTCTTGATAGCGTCAGCGACGGCGTGACCGATAGTCTTGGGCTTGACGATGTCGTCGCTGCGGTCGACCTTGGTCAAATGTTGGCCTTCGGGGGCACCTGCCTTAGCGCCCTGGAGAGTGTGTTAGTCAAGATTCTAGGTCTTTTTGTCCCAGGGTCAGAGGAGAAACGTCACTTACAATGTTACCAGTGGTGTACTTCTTCTCAGTGATAACGCCACCGGAGCGCTGAGCAGCATTCAGGGCACTCTTGCCCTTGATGACGGTCTCGCGAGGGGCAGCGCCTGCTCCGCGGAACTTGCTGCCGATCTTGGTGGTGGTATCCCAGTCAGACATTTTGAAAGGAGGTTGGATTTGGGGGTTTGGGTGGTTGAGGTTGGTAGGAATAGTCGATGAGCGAGGGAGAGATGACGTTGGTCGCGTGCGGGTGAAGACAGAAATGCAATTTATATCGATGACACAGAAGCTTCTCGAGGGAGGGGGAGCCCGCACTAGTCCGCATTGGGACTAGCGTATATATGGGTCAAAGGCGTTCATTTGGCTCTCGCTTTTACATCAAGCGCATTTTCTGTTCCTAGTCCTATAGCACTTATTGCGGTTTGCTGTAGGATTCCGTATCTCTTCTAGCAGGTTTCAATGGGGTCTTGGGGGCTCATCATACCCATCGGCAATTCCCCCACCATGTCGATTGCCACAGCCACCTCCAATCATGCACACTATCACATACATTCCAGACTCACCCTACTCCTATTTAGAGTTCAACAGTATAAATAGTTCTTCAACAATACTTATACACCCAGTCACTTCTACATATATGGAGATATACATTGTAGTGCCCTTCAAACTATCACTAAGACAATGATGTTACTCGACCCACAGCTTGATGTCATAAGGCCTTGCTTCGTATGTGCGTGGACATTTGCAACCCTAATCGCTGATATCATAGGAGAAGAGCAACAAAATATCACGAACCAATCGCTTCCCTATAACGCAGTAAGCACAAGAGTCACAATGAGTCTTCAACAACGGGTCCCCATCAGGCTGAGCGCATGGTCGGGCACCAGGATAGGTTTAGCCTCTTTTATTCTAGATTGTTGTATAGCCCCAGAGACAAACTCTTGGGCTGGTTCGTGATTCAGTATTAAATCGAGTATGTAGGAGCCATAGAGTAGGCTTGTAACGGTATACCTACCTATCTTTTTGCTTCACTTCCATTCAGTGCTCTAATGACCTACATTGGCACGCTGTTCGTAGCCATATGATACAAACTCTAGGTGATTCAGATGTAATCCAGATTATCAGGGGTCTCATTGACTGAGATGAGTATGTACCATGTAACCCTAAGTCGGAAATGTATCGCAATGAGCTAACTAGCATTTGAGGCTGGGGACCCTGGGATTTTTGGCCATAAGCCCGCCAATAAGCGATACCGATTGAGCCCAGTCAATCCATTCAAAGCAAAAATCCAAGCCACCAACGCCGTATCAATGAGTGTGAGTACGAAGCAAAATGTCCAGCAAAATAGCCCAGCCATATGATTAGAAGATGCTGTTCACGATGTTGGAGCCAACAGTAGCACCGGCACCGAAGATTGCTAATATCAAGTTAGAAACCAAATAACGTGCACGAAAAGTATACAAGACGCACCGGCATTGCCCAGTTTCTTTCCGAACTTCTTGCCTCCTTCCTCGAACTTGTTCTTCTTTGGGTCTTCGGGATTTTCGGACTGTCCACTCTGGCTGACATCAAGAGGCATGTTTCCATAGTTAGTAGGCGGGGGCGAAGCGAAGCCAGCCTTCTCATTCACGACGTTTACGTAGCTCTGAGGGAAGATACCCTCCTGGCCAGTCCGCTCATTGCGACCACGCCACCCTGTTGATCACCGATTAGCTTTGTTTCCATAGCAGATAGGAGGGAAATAACATACAGTCCTTGTTCATTTCCTCGATAATCTGGATGCGATCCTGTGGTTTCATGTTCAAGTCGCCTGCATCAGAAGCGTGGTATTCGTACATGGCCACCGCGAGACCCATGACTGGCGGGACTTGGGGATAAGCTGGCGGGGCCCCCGGGGGGCGGGCTTGCATACTGATTGTGCAGCGCTGCCTTCTCGTTCACCGAGACGTTGGACATTTGTGAGACAGGAGGCGAGTAGGAGGGCGTGTAGGGGGCCGGAGGGGGCTGTGCTTGTACTGGAACATGTTGAACAGGCACAGGCTGGGCCTGTTGTCGGGGCGGCGATGATGATGCGTGCGCCGCTCGAGAGGCCTCGGAATCGGTGGGTAGCTGTGATAGAATGGTGGAGAGTTGGTGGGGTGTGATCACACGAGAATCGGCGAGGAATTCTAGTTCCTGATAGATGCTGAATTAGTACCTGGATTGCATTTCAGGAACAGGATGCCGGGAAGCCATACTGTTCGGACCATGCGGAGCGACCGGGTGGTCATGGCAGACGCGAACTCGCTGGAGGCGGCCATTGTGAAAAACAGGAGTCGTCTAGATTCAAGCAGACAACTTCAAAATGATCAGGATTCTTTTTTTTTTCAAAAAAAACAGTCCAGTGTAAGGAGAGTTGGGAGAGACAGGGGGTTGCGTCGGGTGTTATTAAGTAGCCTAGATCACCTGTGCACCTGGGCAACATCTAAGAATCTTCACTCCGACATCGACTGTAACATTTACATTCACTATAACCATCACAACTTCTCTATTTGATTCAAGGTTTCGTCGGGATTGAATTGCTCCCTTTACCCAATCTCAGGCTTTTTTCTCTTCTACATTGGATCGACTGATCCAAATATATATAAACAGGACAACCAACGAATCTACCTGGATCTCAACACAGATGCCAATATACCATAGGTTCAATCGGTAAATCGATATTAGGATGACCAATTCTTGGATTTCCGACCATTCTAAGCCTCCATGTGCCTGCAACAATGCCACATTGGTATCATCGCCCTGCCAAGGTAGGCCATATGGATGTCAGAGCCGCGAATCCCGCAAATTCCACGCAAATTCCACATCATCAACCCTAGTATAGAAGAAAGTGCATATTCTTGATCATAGACCTGTCCTGCCCCTTGTCACTTTGCCCGGGTTCGATCAAGTCTGCATCCCAGAGCCCCAAAATAAGAACGAGAATGCCAAAAGATCTTCATGGTAGCCCGAAAAGTAACTCGTTTCACGCCACTAACATCCTCCTTCACGTCCCCGCAGAACATACGTCTTATATATATCAACTTCCCATAAGTGACTTATGCATCAAGAATAAGTTACGCGCCGGTCAAAGAACAGCCCCCCCCCATCTAGACCCGCAATCCGTGCGATAGCGCATGCGGGCCGCAGCTAGTGCAGTGACAACGGAAAGTCTCGCCAGCGCAGCGCTTATATGCCAGCAGTAGGTACCTTAGTGTGTTTCATACCCCGGCAGAATTAAAGCCATGGTCATAATGTTCTTGATATCATTAGCTGGCGTTCTATTATTGCCACGGGGGAGGCGCTTCTCGAGCATATGGGCTCTGTACCTCGCTCTAAATCGAGTGAGGATCGGCAAAAATGCCCATCGATGGCGGATGGAGGCTCGAGGGCTGTATTCTTAAGAGAGCGCGATTTGGGCTTCTGGTCGAGGATGTTCTGTTAGTTCTTTTCTGTGGTCTACGTTTTATTATGAATTGATGTGTTGATGATTTATGATGCTTTCTATATTGTTTTTTATATCTTTATTTCCTTTGGTTAAGGCTGATGATAATTGGGATGATTTCACGAATAATCTTGCTACGGACTTGGTATGTCGATATCTTTATTGTATCAATAACGCCCCGAGTGGATCTGGATGCTGATGTTTCGACCAAAGGCTCCTCTAATCACCTTGTTCGGCGAACGACTTACGAAACAATTTCTCTCCGAGTCGATTAGCACACTCGATAATGTAATATTCGCTCTTTCGCCGCTAGGGGTATTGACCGCTGTCGTGTCGGTGATCAGAATCTGCGGAAGTTCTTCCCTTAGGGCATTCGTCGGACGAGCACAAGAAGGTCCAGCCGAAGCCGAGAGCGAACTTCTTCCTTGTGTTTCAGAATCCACTGCGGAGCTATTCAATGATGGCGGCATCACGCGAGTCTTTGGCCGGCCCAAAATTTTGGAGATAGTTGCTTGGGAGGATGTGGACCATAGGACTGGAGAGAAGGGGACAAAAATTGGCACTTTGAAAGATGCCCTAAAAGAAAAGGCTTGGTCTTGCAACGGCAAAGTCTCACCCAGCGAGCTTCCTGAACTGGACATTCCTAATCTGTCATTGAACAAGGGAATCAAAAGGAGAGATCAATTTTGGTTCCATTGTGCCGCAATACTTGGTGCTATACTGCAGCTCGGTCAGTATTCTCCTTTTTCAAGCCCGAGATAATACTGACAACAATCTCAAGGCACTATTCTGTACGCTACACTCACGGTGTTTGTGTTTCCCCAGCATTTCCAGAAAGACGACAAAGCTGTCGCCTCATACGCATTCCCACTCTATCTCATCGGGACGACCCTTCTGTTTCTCGGGATGTTTTTCTGCGCATTTATAATGGAGCGTTCCTCGAAGGAGTTCTATCTCAAGGCAGAAAAGCCAAGCAAGATATACTGGCTGCAGCCTGGTAATCAAGATGTAGGTGACCAGGTCTTCAATGCTTTCTTAGCTGTCAATGAAGGGCCCGACTCTTCAATGACCAAGAAGCTTCGTTACATTAAATCAGTCAGAGATCGAAGATTTGACAGGAAATATTTGGAGATTTACTCTACCCTCGCATCGACAATTATGGGATTCATATTCCAGTTCATCGGACTGAGAGGTCTTCATGCATCTGTCATCCTAGCTCAGTTGGGATCAACATTTTTGATGTCTATTATACGCACTTGCCTTCGCACGGAAAGAATGAAACCGGATGAAAATAAGATGAGAGATGATCGGGAGCTCACGTCTCACAAACAGCAAGAGATGGATTGTTTTGCATTTTATCTCGAGAAAGTAGAGACTTTTGATCTCGCCTTGAAGCCTGATCGGCCAGCAAATATGCCTTCACCAAGATTCATGCCTCATATTGGACCCCCTTTGGCCAAGCGCTTAATTCAAACCAGGACCCAGCTCGCGAGGCTCACGACTAGCTCAAAACAGGGTATGGGGGCTGATTGGGACGGGATGCCTATTTCCCAAATGGCACACAACCTCGCAGAGACAATCGAGTCGACAATGGATTTAGTGTCTAGTTGGGGGATTGAGCTCGGGAAGACCTTTGATTTCCGACTTAGCTTTAGGTGCAAGGAAGCCTCTCTAGGCTCTGTTACTCAAGCCCCTGGGACTTATTCAATCGGTCTTTTGCGATGCGGTGATGCTCTGAGGTGGAAATTGGATATGAGCGAGCTAGAAGCGATTCTAGGCTTGTGGACTTGGTCACTTTATAAATCAGATGAACACTGGCAAAACTCAACAATTTGCCGCCTCGTTGGATTGAGTGAAGACGAGGCAACCAGAGAAGAAACATTCCTCTATTTTCACAAATGGATCTTCAGGCAAACGGAAGTGAGACTAGTGCCATCTGCAGGGTATGATCATTCCTCGCGGCTCTTCGGGTTTGAGCCCAAGAACTTTGCCTATGATGGGAAAGTCCTCGCTGTCAGGACAGCGAATGAGCTCGAAGCCATGGTAGCCCAGGATATCTATATTCAATTCCTAAAGGAACTGTTTATCAACTTGCATGATATAGGCGGGGATGTTGATGTTATCACTGGGTTACAAAACTCGTTTCTAGCTTCGAGTACTAGCATCAATGATCTCACGCGTTGCTTTGAGAACAGCAAATTGGGCTCAAGAGAGGATGCATTGCTATGTATTGTTCCCGTTCTCAAACATCGACGCCTTTTACCAGACCTTGCGGCAGACTCAGCCAAGATCAGGGCGCGCAGGGAACAATTCATTGAGCAAGGTGATTGGAAAAGTGCCTTTGCCCTTCTCTGCTGGATATGCCAGCGGTCAGAAAGTTCAGAGTTTGAGCGATCAGTGTATGAACTAGGGTTCCTTTGCCGTAGGGCACTTTTGAGCACAAACAAAAACGTTCGCAAAGAAGGATTGGAGCAGACATGCGCTCTTCTCGCATCCGACATCAGATATGAATTTATTAAAGCCCATAAGAGCTTACCGACCTTGCATAGGCTTGTATCCCATGATCGTGGGGAATGGTGGAACTCGTTCTCGCGCCAGCTTGGGTGGGTTGCGTGGAACATTTCAGCCAATGTTCCAGGCATGGCATTCTGCCAACCCGCCTTGAAATTGCTCAATGTACCTGAGAATCTTCAGGGATCACACGATGAGAACCAAGATCCAGACACAATCCAAAAGGGTGTTCGGGCTGTGAAATATTGGCTCACGTTGTCTAAGCTCGATAACATTGAGCGCGAAGGATACGGCGAGGACGAAACTATAGGCTTTGAATGGATGATTAGGAATAACTTCGATGCTTTGTTGTATTTCAATTTGTTGCGATGGGTGGAGCTTGGGGAAGACCTTCCCGTCCTTGTGCGGACTGCGTACAGTCTTGCAGCAAGGGCTAGATCTGAACGAGCCGTTGATATACTTCACCGGCAGGGCGCAGACATTGACACACTAGATCCGAGCAATCGTTCAGCGTTGAGTGATCTGGTCTATACCCATGATCTTGAGGGAAGCCGACTGTTACTACAACATGGTGCGGACCCAAATGGGAACATGCAACAGTTGAAGATCGCTCCACTTGCAATCGCTGCTCATGAAGGCTTTGACGACCTTGTAGCATTGCTTCTACAGTATGGAGCGAACACTGAGATTGCAGACCATGTTGGTCACCATGCTCTCCATTGGGCAGCCAGAAATAATCATCTTGATACTGCCCGGGTGCTATTATCCCATGGCGCAGAGATTGATCCACTGGGACACGACAACTCAACACCGCTTCTAGCAGCTGCCATGAATCACCATGTTCAGATGGTGGAGTTACTCATTAAAGCAGGAGCGAATGTCAATGCTCGAGGTCAATCCGACAAAACTGCATTGATGCTATCCATGCATGCAAGTAATCCGATCCCGATTTTCCAGTTGCTCGTGGATCACGGAGCTAGGCTTGATTTACGTGATTATAATGGAATGACGGCTTTGGAACATGCCAAAGAATTTGGTTATCTTGAAGCACTGTCATTTTTATGTCAGGCATCAGAAGGGGGCAACAAAGAGCCCTCACCTTGAGTTCGGAGAAACTCTTAAATTGTACCAGAAAATTTAACCTTACTTTGACCTCTGTCGTGTCCATGTTGCAGTCTAAAACGTTTCCAAATTGAGTGGGCAAATGCCAATATATGAACACTGTGTACTCTGTATTCGGCATCGAGTTTACTAATGCAAAGTGTTGACAGCCCCTCATATTTGCCCAGCCCTGGGCAACCTTGGAATTTCCTTTCTTTGGGGTTTGATGGCATCAATATGGGATTCCAACGAATGAGCTTTGCCTGGCCAAAAAAAAGGATGCATAGGATACGCCTATCAACTTCCGCAGATGCAACCTCTTTTAGCGCCCGGTGGAGAAGATCACAGGTACTCGCACTGTGTGACTCGGGACTGATTGACCGTGAGCTGCAAGCCTCATCACACGCCTACTCTTTTGCTACAGTGGCCTGTCTAATAATAGTGCAAGCTCTTGGTGAGGGGAAGCTGCTCTTTAAAAGGAGAAGTCCCCGCGGAGCCCACTTTGATTCCATCTCATGCCTTATTACTCCGTGCTAGGCTATATGGATAGCCATTGATCTTCCCATTGACTTAAAATACTACGGGAAGAGCTGAGAAGTTTTTCGGATTACGATATTCTACCTACTGTGGGTTTGATCTTCAGTGTCTTCAATCTGCCCGCGAACACTTGGATGTTGACTTCAAAAGTACCTTTACAGGAAAAGAGGGACCATAAGTGTTTAGACACCAAAAGTGTACACCAAGATTACTCAATTAAGCAAAAATGTCTCAACACTATCCCCCACCACCCATGACAGGTCAGTGCTTTCGCAATTCACAGTAATCCGTATACTGATCAACTAAATAGCTCCGGCCCATATAACCTGTAATTGATTCCAATCATATTCTTGCTGTTCTAATACTGAAGATTTCAGCATTTGCACAATCCCAGAACCAAGCAGCTGCGGCTCCCTCCTACCATTATCCACCTCCCCCAGGACAACCGCCTCAAAATGGAGCATATGCCTCGGCCACTCCACCAACAGAGAGCCCGCAGCCCCATCGACACACATCTTCGGTCGGGGAACATGCAGCCCCTACCATTGGGGTATATGCAGCTCCCCCAAAGTCAGTGAGCCCGCCTCACGATTCAATTGCTCGCCAAAATCAAGCTGCCTTCGAGCAAAACAGTGTCATTGGAATGCAAAAAATGCCCGGAGGAGCCCCGGCATATGGGGAATTTAGTGGAGCAAAGGAAACCAACCAAGATGATACTGGGGTTTTCAACGGCGGAAGTTTCAGAATCAGCCATCGAGATACCAACTCTCTTTTGACGGTGCAACTGGCAATGGGTTGTCCTTTGACCATAAGACCTGGTAAGTTTACTCCCGCCATTTCTGAGACACGGATGTGTTTGGGTTGCTACCTTTGTTCGAATCATGTATTGAGGAGGAACTCAAATTGATTGATTTCCTAGGTGCAATGATTGCGATGTCTCCAACGCTCACATTGAGAGGAAACATCTCGTTTTCATTGAAGAAACTTATCATCGGAGGTAGTATGACCATGTCCCAGTATACCGGCCCCGGTGAGCTGCTGGTGGCGCCTTCAATGTTGGGAGATATCATGTGTATTCAAATGGAGGAACCAGATGAATGGAAAATCGGACGTGACGCCTTCCTGGGACATACCGCTGGTGTCGAGCATAAGTATCAGGCCCAAAGTTTATCCAAAGGTGTTTTCTCCGGGGAGGGATTCTTCATCTACAAGATAACAGGTGCTGGATTACTCTGGATCCAGAGCTTTGGTGCAATCATCCAGAAAGATGTGAGTCAATCGTAACCGGCGACTCATACGAGAAAGGCTTCATCTAACACACCTTCCCTACTCAGCTTCGCGAAGACGAGTCGTACTTCGTCGACAATGGCCATCTTGTAGCCTGGAACTGCAAATACAAGATGGAACGTGTGGCCTCTGGTGGTATCATCTCCGGCATTACGTCTGGTGAGGGTCTTGCGTGTAGGTTTACGGGGCCTGGAACTGTCTACCTACAGACCAGAAACCTGAATGCCTTCGCTGCTCAGATGAAGATGAGCACTGGAAGTGTTTAATTTTGATGAGCTCCACCAGATCAAAGCAGTTCTCGCGAGTTCCGATTTACGAAATTTATATCTCGAATTTTACTTTCATGATATACGAAGTTGCAAGCGAAATTGTCATCATATGTTCTTGTTGTATGCTTATTCGATGCATCGGGTATAGGCCCCATCGCGAGCAGGTCTTCATTTTATACCAATTTGCTATGTTACAGGCGGGTCCCTTGCTCATATCAGTACATTTATGTGAAACTTTTATGTATTCTTTGCAACGTTATCGTCCAAAATTCAAGTTATGTTTACATACTACATACTCGCGAGCCTGAGTTTATGTTGGAAGATCTTTCATCCACGATGTCTGCTCAACTAGGCTAAGGCACAGAGCCCACATCCATCTTGGCGGGACACATAGTCAGGTACTGGCTAATCCATTACATATGAACCGAAGGGCAGATCAGACCCGTAGGTACCGTAGGTATCAGTTGGCTGGAAGAGTTGAACCCAAGATAAAACACTCGTGAAGATGGCGGGCGATTCTCCCATAATCATAAATGTTCACCTAGATACAAAGACCATGCAGCCTCAAGAGCAAAGTATATAGTAGATAGTGATATCAGTCCATTTCATGCGAAACTACTTTTTATTCTTCAAATCGTTTCCTCATCTCAAGCACATCGGAGTAGAAAGAAAGGCAACAGTGCCTCGTTTCCACCCCGCAAAAGCTTTAGTAAGTGACACGCCATAAGGAAGAGATAAAAGCAAGCCCTTCCTTCGCAAATTGCCAGCACAGCTCCATGCGCTTAGCCCACACGCTTTCTGCGGCCGATCTGGGAACGGAAACCAGTCTTGATGGCGGCGACGGAACGGCGGGATCCACAGGAGTTGCAAGTAACGAAATAGAGACGGTTCTCTCCCTTGTTGAGCTCGGTGTCGGGGCTGCGGCACGTCTTGCATGTGACGTACTCAACAATATAACGACGCAGGACTGATTCGATACCCTTCTGTTGGAATCTTCCCTTGATGACCAGGCGACGGGAACCGTCGACACTGCCTGATGTACCGAGTTCGGCGAACAGGAATTGGGTGCAGTGTTCCTCGCTAGACGAGAAAGAAAGTTAGCAAGAAAATCTCAACGAAAGAATGGGAGAGGAGAATAACGAACCTTCGCTTCATGCGCTTGCAGATATCGGCGATGTTGGCGAAAATGGTACGACGGTTACCTTCACGCAAGCACTGGGGCGGGGGGGATCTTGTAGGACTTGGCGCCGCTGGACAGGAGGTCGGGGTGGTGGCTCTCGATGAGGGAGAAGAAGCGGGAGACGAGGAGCGAGTAGGGGATGGGTTGTGTGGCGTCGTGTGCCCAGATACCGGTGCCGGCCTCGAGGTCGCCCTCGGGCAGCTCCTCAGGCTGATCCTCGCCAGCCTCCTCAGCGAGACCAGCCTCAGCGAGCTTGGCGTCGAAGTCGTTAGGGTCAACCTTCTTGGTCTTCTTGCTGCTCTTCTTCTTCTTCAGCGCGGAGGGATCGAATTCGCCATCGGCGGCGGGGGCTTCGTCGTCATCGCCAGCTTCGGCGGACTTGGACTTCTTGGAGGACTTCTTCTTTTTTGAGAGACCCTTGAACATCTCGGTGACCTCGTCGACATCCTTCTCTGTATATTCAAGAGATCGTTAGTGGGGCTGAGGCAAAGGTGACCCGGGGACTGGGGCTGGGATCGGAGAGCTATTGCATACCGCCTGTGGGTTTCTCAGCCGGAGGGGCATCTGTGACTTGGCCATTGGTATCCATGATGACCGATCCTTCGCTGAATGCGACCGACTTGCGCTGCTTAGTTTCGATTTCCTGCGCGGAGCGGCAAAAAAAGATGTTAGTTAGGAGAAAAAAGAGAATGAGTAGAAGAGATCGTATATCCTGGCTTTTCAATAAGAAGTACCAGTGATAACCCCGGGCTCAACAATATGTGTTCTTGAATCACTGTGGTTGGCGGCCGAGGGGTCGATATTGTGCAGACTCAAAGAAATTGTGGGAGGGTCGGTAAAAAGACAAGGGTGTGACGTACAGCGTCAGCCATGTTTGTAGGCTTCAAAGGTGCTATTTACTCAACCACGCTTTGTTGGAGACGAGTTGAAGTTGTTGGGTATTGTAGTAGTTAGAGCAAGAGTGTAAGATGGCAAAATTGTCGCTGGAATCTGATATCGCCAGGCCTGAAGGTGATTTCTGTTATCGCGGTACGGGCACGTGACTCTCAACTGAGTCACATAATACACGTCACGTGCCCGATTTGTTACGGAGCTTGGCTGTTGTCCGTCGATCAACCTTGGAAGGCAAACAGTTGCTCTCTCATTGACGTATAACCGCAGTAGGCAGGCCGCTGCTTGATCAACATCGCTTCCCCTTACTTACTCACATCCCGCTCTTTGCAAAATCTCCATGATGTCTTTTCCCTCTCCAGACAGCTCGAATCCCTCATTCTCAATGTCCGCGTACATGGTCCCCTCCAGACAGAACTCATATTCCGAGTCCGACGACGAGCTCGCTTCCCTCCCTTCAGAATCTACAACCGACTCCGACCTTGATACCCTGTCTGAATATTCCTCTGATGCCGAGGCAGAATGGCAAGAAAGCATTGAACAACTGGAGCTGCTTCTGACCATGGTCCTGGTACCCTTCATTGGGAAATACCTGGGGCGACGATGCGCATATTGGAGTATGTCACACTAAGAAATTTCCTGATCCTACTATGTGAAAGGATCATTTGCTAATTGGTTGGCTTCCAGGTTGGACGCGATTCATGCAGTGGCAGTACCCGGTTGAGGTGGTGATGCGGAACCCTGCCGCATTCAAGGCAACGGGTGCGATCGAGGCGGCCGCGACTCTTTGATAGATCCTAGGTCCAACCGTTCCGTAAGCACTCGCTGCATGTCATTTTTCCAAGCGTGCCGTTGTCAACTGTATGACACCGACCTTTCAGCGTTCGAATCCTTATACAAGACCGACTCAACCTATTTTCGTGGACTCCGCAACATATCCACGACCCAAAAGCTACAAAATCGCTTCACAACAAATTCAAATTCCCAATAATCCTTGCGCTTGTTGTATCTGGCGTTGTATGGGGACCAGGAATCGAACTCAATCTTGTTTTCCCTGGCCTTCGATCTGCCGTGGTTTGCAATTGTTCTTCGTCCAACGACAGAACATGGATAGGTCAACTCCATAGCTTGAATAGAGACAAGCATTTGGATTTGATGCATATGATGATCTGTTCACTTTACCTATCCAAGACTGTTATATACCCAATGAATTTATCAACCCTCGTCAATATTGATAAGTCAGCGCAGCAGTATACTTTATAAATCATTATTGACCTGCGGGCTCTTTGAGGGCCGGGTTGTTGAGGGGCCCTGTTGAGATGAACTGCGTCAAGTCACTCTTGGACTGAATTAATCCAAATATTATAGGCTCTGGTCCTGATCATACAGATTTCAAGGGGAGCTTGCTCTCATGCATGCTATATCAGATTTCAAGATACTCACAATCTCTATTGGCAGCTGCATTCAAGCTAGTTACATAGGTATGTACATGAAACTGAAGATACTTTGTTTTGATATGATTGGTGATTGATGCAAATGTGATCAAGTCACTAACACTTCCCACTGTCCAATTTGAATAATCGTGCCCCCGACGAAGCTCAATAGAGTTTGTTCTGTCGCCAGAAATCAGATAATTCTGGAGGCTGACTCTGTCGCGCATTGATTACAGTCGAGGTACACGCTTGGGACTGGTCGTATCCAGTAGTCAGCCATGGCAAATGATTATTCTGATCAACACAATGATCATCTGAATGACTTGTGGGTAGTTCTTGTTGGCGAAAAGTCTCAGGTTGCCTTTCATCAATCCGTTCTTGTATGATATCTTGCGAAACCGTTGCCAAATGCCCCGGCTCTCCCGCCTCTACCTGCCGAGTAGGAAGATCGGAGGCTCGAAAACTAGTCGATTCTGGTGTATTCGGAAGATCAGCGCCATTCAGCTCGGGGGATTCAAGTAACTGCTGCAAATTTGATGCAACTTCTGCCGCAACCCCAGGGCGCACGATAGCGCAGTACGCAGCATCCAGCGTGCGATAGAACACATCATCATCATCGACTCGAGCCAGTTCATAAAACTCGATGTCGGACATATGCGGCTGTTCGACTTCTGGTAGGGTTGCAGGAAAAAGGACTTCATCCTCTGATGATTCTTGGGGCAAAGGCTCGCAGTGGTCTTCATTCAAGATGTATGTGAATGGATCTTGGCTTTCTGATCTCTTGGGAGCTTGGGGACTTGAACAACCTGGTTTATCAGAAACTTGACCTCGCCTGTTCTGCTGTTGCTCAGACACTGAAGGCTGTTGCGGTAGACTGTGATTCACACTGGAAGTTGTTTCACAGGCGATGTTCAGATCCTGGGATTGTTGGGATATTTCGCTTTGTACGGTACCGACATTATGGAGATCCAAATGGTCCGGTGGAATCTCTTCGAGAACCTCCTGTGCAGCGGCTTCGGCTTCGGCTCCCACTGCAGCTACCTGCCTCATGTTAGCTTTGGGTGAGCCTCGCTTTTTGTTGCCAGTCTCGTTAGACCATGATCTCTTTCTCTCCTCTAACAGCGCCCACAATTCAGCAAGACTCCAGTATTGTCTGGCCAATACTGTTCTTGTCATCTCAGAGCATAGCGCTTGAGGATATACTCCAACATGCAGCAGGCTCAGCAGGTATTGTTCGAGGGCATGGCTTTGTTCCCTGTTGTCCACTTCAGTTTCAGTCCAAGTGTATGGAACAGATGATGATTGTTTTGATGTTTTCCTTCTTTTATTGGGGAACTTGGGGGAATTGCCCTGAGCGTGGCTAGAAACTGGGGAAACTTCGCTTGCGGGGGCCTCCTCAAATGGCAACAGCGGTGGGACTGGGGAGTCAAGTTGGCTTTCCACGTCAAGTGACTTGCTGTTTGACGGAGGAATTTTGAGCTCGGGGTCATGCACAGGAATATCGAACTGTTGCTCTTGTGGACAGTACTCTGTCTCGTGCTGTCCATCCAGAGTGTCTACGGCGGTCGACGGTGGATATGTGCTGAGATTATTCTTCCTGGACAGAAATTTCATCTCAGAAAATGCAAGGTCGGATTCCACAGAATACTTGTGAGGTTTGACGAACGGTGTGGGTTTTGCAAGAGCGGTTGACGGGGTGTTTCCGGGGTGACTGGTTGTAGAAGAGGACCGTCCTTTGCTGAATATGCCCAGATTCGTATTGTTGCGCAGCTGTTTGGCATCAGTGATGTGCACTGGGACATTGTAGAACCCTACTTACTGTCAACCTATTTCCTGTGACATTGATGGCATGGAAGTCATCGTTCATGGTGTGTCTTCTGCCACGGGGTTTCTTGGCTCTTCCTTTGCGATGTGTCTCCCCAGCTGATGATGGGCCTTTGTATTCGTATCGGTCCTCCCGAGTCTTGTGTCTGGGCCTTAGTTCGTAACTCTGTCGAGATACCTTGTGACCTTTGCTTCCTGGTATGGTCCCATAAGTGGATGATCCTTCAGCGTGCTCGAGGTGACCTGAATTTCTTTTCCTGCTGGCTGAGTTTTCATTGCCATGGACACTTTCAGATATCTCAAGTGGGATGCAAGTTCGTGATATGTTCGTTGCGAGAGTTGTATCCTTTGCTTGTCCCTGGCTCTCAGCTAAAGCTCTGTTAGCCCGAAAGCTTCATAGTTCTGGCGGCACAACATGCCTCCATCTTGATGGCCACCTTCATGGTCCTCCACAGTGGAAAGCCACCGATAAATTGGACTATTGTTCTCCATCAAGAAAGTTCTAAGAAGTACGAGACTGGGGTTAATGCAGAAATGAAGACTTTGAGGGCAACCGGACAGAGTAAAAGGAACCTGAAAGCACACAACTTCAGTCACCGCCAAAGAAAGCGCGACCAGCTCAACGTCGTCCCGCTCATCCTATCCTTTCGTTCTTTCTTCGTCTCTCCATAAACTCCTAGTGTTTGCTTCTCTAATTCCTCCTTTGATGCATTCTCTCTCAAAGGACTTGCATGGGAAATGATTCGGTCATCTAGAAGTTGCTTTTGCTCAAGAGGCTTCAATTGTCGAAGAATCCCCTGGCTTTCCAAGAGCGAAATTCCCATTGTATAGACGCAATCCTTGTGCCGATCGTCGCCATTTGGACCTTTCCCGGCATACAGAGTACACGGTCCACGGGGCAAGCCGCATGTGGGCCCACGGAGCACTGCCTATCTGCCCGGATACATGCACGCGCAAAACCACTTTTGAGACTGATGGCCAGAACCGAGAGAATAGACCCATTGTGGTAATCCAGTGCAGATCAGTCTACTCCGTCCTCCGTACATAGCTAAGCCATCATCTTCCAGCAGTCAATTCCCGAACGAAGGAGAAAAATCCACAACGCATAAACATGCATACCACCAATCACGGATAGACCTGCGAGGTACGGGTCACTAAAATTCCACAGTCCATGCGATACCCCACTTAAGATGGCGTTTCAAGAATGGACTTACTATATTCACGGGATAAAAAGTACTCAGCTCTCTGTGCTCCGGACGCCGTACAAGGATTCGCAATACAATCCAGGTGCTATTACAGGTGCTATTACAGCCCTATACAATCCAACTAAGTGAGGGGCAAGCAAAGGTACATCTGTTCTTTGTCTCTGAAAGCCCAACGAGACCCGCAATACCATCAGCTCAAAGTCTAGCCTGGACCTGATTTGGTGTCTCTCTGCATCATTTCTCACCCCACTTCGGATTACACTCTTGCGTCTGAGCCCGGACCTTTCTCACTCTGGTCAAGCTCCCAAAGATGCAGTAAGCATTATATTGCGCGGACTTGCCGTTTCCGACCAGTGGAAAAATTCCTTATGTGGGAGCCCTAAGATTGTTACACGGGACTGGCTGACTCGCCTCTTAACCACTAGGATCTCCCTGTTATTTCGCAACCCAGACGGGTTCTGATTTTTATCCTTTCCTTCTTCTCGACCTTCCCTCCTCATCTTCTAGTCAGATCACAGCTCAAGTATTCTCTTTTTCCCAGCTTCCCTTTTTTTAAGATATTTGACATGTCTAAGCTCTTTGTTCAGTGTGTATTTTCTATCTGAGAACAAATCATGCTAGCCAGTCTAACCGTTGCTGCGATGGAATTTTAGCGGCCTTTCTTGGCATACTAGCGATGACACCTTGCGCGAAGGTTTCCAGCAATTCGGAGAGATCCAGGAAGCCGTCAGTCTGCCTTGATTATATAGTATACACCATGTTTGTTGGGCTTGTACTAACTCTCCTAACTATAGATTGTCGTGAAGGACCGTGCGACTTTACGCAGCCGTGGCTTCGGCTTTGTCCGCTTTGCTACTGACGCGGAGGCGGATGCTGCTTTGAACGCCATGAACAACCAAGAGTAATCATTCAACCTCACATTAATCTTCAAGAGAAATCTCATCCGTTGTTCAGATTTGACGGACGGGTCATCCGTGTTGATAAGGCATTTGACCGCCCCCAACGCTCCGAAGGTGGCTTCCAGGGCCGTGGTGGATACAATTCCCAGCCCCAATCTACTTATCAGGGTGGTGCGGGTGGTAACTATGCTGGATACAACAATGGCGGTTACAATAACGGAGCTCCCGGTGGATACAGCGGGGGCGGCTACAACCGTGGGTACAACAACTTCGCCCCTAACGGTCCCGCTGGCTACGGCGCAGGTCCCGGCGGTTATGGTTGGTTTCTTGCTCCGATATTTGTTGTTGTTTAACTAATTATATATACAGGTGGTGGCCCTAACACCGGCTATGGCGGTGGCGGAGGTGAGTGATCGTGATATATTGATAGCGATATTAACTGACGTCCCAAGGCTGGCGCGGTAACAACCACGAGCAGGCACCTCAAGACGGTCAACATTAAATGATTGAGCGTCTCTGCAGTTCCTCCTTATGTGTCTTTCTTCTTCGGCAATTCCTTCTAAAAGAAGTGACGATCTACAATGACTGGAATATGGTGGAAGATGAGTTGCGAACAGCGTGTGCTACCCTCGTATTGAATATTGTAACGGGGCATTTGTTATTTTTCTTTGCGCTTGACTTGCTTGGAATGGAATATGGGTTGTTGGCTCGATGTTGTATTGGATGCAGATTGCCCTTGAACCTTTGAGGCCTCTCTCTCTAGTGGAATGTCCCATATGGTTTCATTTCTGCAATATTTGTTTGCGTTTCACAGCATGTTGTTCCTATTACGAAGCATACACAACAAGTCAGTGGTTTGATGGGTATTTAAGCATAATCTGAATATATATCCGGTAAGGGTTACGAGTGATCAACTGTACTACCACCGCCATGAGGCTTTCTCGGAAGGGACATCAGACATCGCCTACCACTTTTACCCAATGTTCTATTGTTTTCGGGACTCTTATACTCATGCGAAATACAAGTTTTACTGGGTATTCTTGCTTTGTAGAAGAGTCGCGCCCGAGCTAAGAACAGGAATTGTCCACAGCGAGAGATACAGTCTCTATATTAAGGTTGGACGAAACCAGTTACACTAGGCCCCATGCATAGCGTGAAACATTGGAATTTACCTTGCTAAAAGCATATCTAGACCACAAGAAATGTGATAAGCAGTTTATGTAGGTTCATTGTAGTGGCTCGATTCATCACCCATAGAGGACATTGATAGTCTTGCCGGGTATCTGGCGGGAATGAAACATACACCATCGATCGCTTCTTTCGCTATCTATATATTCTACTAGGCAAGTATGTAAGCTACACTATGTGTTAAAAGAAAACATCAAAGCCATCAACTCACACACCTCATTCAATCGTTACACGGCCCTTCTCACGATCAGACTCTTCAGCCGAACCCTCCAAAGACCTAGTAACCTTAATTTCAGCCTCCTCTTCCTCGGCTTCTGCAAGTCCCTCGGCCTCAATAGCCTTAACCCTTTTAACCAAATCGGTAACATGAACATCCGCGGTCCCAAGCCCAAGACCTTCAAGAGCCTTCTCAAGCAAGAACAGATACTCAGAGCCCTTACCACTCAGTCCATGTCCAGCGCTAATAACCTGAGCCACATGCTGCGGCTCGCGGTGAGCGGCGTCACGCAGGAATTGTGGGTTAGTCGGCTGGCCGATATAGACCATGCAGATGATTGGAGAAGATCCAGCTCCGTCGACATCCACTGTCGGGTGGAATGGCGTGTAGTGCGCGCTATACCCGTCAATCTCCCGCTCATCGAGGTAGTCGTGCACTTCTTCCGCATGCGATGCTGGGATGTGGTACGCTGCGCCCCAGACTTTGCCTGCGGATGATAGCTCGGACTCTAGGTGGGCGAGCTAAGAGGGCATGTTAATATGGCGACATAGACAGATGCTGATAGGGAACATACTGGGTCGTCCAGGGTCTCCCAGAAGGTTCGCTCAATTACGGTGACCACTCGGCCTGGTTGCTCGGGTGTGCCACGGTGATCGGTACTTGGGGGATAAGTTAGTGATTTGCGTTTTTCATTAGGTTTGAATGGCAATTTCTGTATGTTTAATACAGTCAACGACATACCTAGCCTAGAATTCATGTAATAACCACGATATTAGTCGGATTGTTCCCTAGGTGGGCATACATAAAGTTGTGCGCTCAAGTCAAGGTTTAACGCACCTGCCAGAAACGTCGCACATAGCCACTGATATAGCCCGGTACGCGCTGGTCTAAACGATATGGTTAGTCGATTGATTCTTGATCAGGAGCAACCAATACAAGGCTTGATTCCAGCGCTGCCATTGAGCACTCGCGTACCATAATGTGGAGGCGGCTTCCATATCAAACTCCTACAAATATATCAGTATCTAAAACCCGACGACTCAGTGGCACAATTTGAGAACGACGATTTAACTCACCCATAACCAAATACCCAGAGATCACCCTTGGGGAAATGATTCTTCCACGTCCGACCGTCCGGATGGACCTGATGTCCTTGCGCAATGGCAGCCATACTAAATATGCCAATGCTAAATGAGCCCCAATGAGTTTATTGGCTGCGCTTTTCAACCGGGGAAGGAACGGATTAATAATGCGCTCCGATTCCACCGAGGTCCGGCTCCAAGACTGATATGCAAGGAGATTGGCAAGTCAACTTTAGTGCTTTGACAAAATTGGGATGCTGTTAGATATAAATTTGATTTTAATTGTACGGGCATTCTAAATGCACCTTATACGTACCAGATTTTCCCGGGTGTATAAGGCTTCCTTATTTGATCTGCCGCCGCTTTTATGAGTGCTCAGGTTTAGGCTCACATCGGTAGATGTCAGCACGGACTCTCAGATGCTTCAGTCACGTGCAGAAGGATCGATGGTTGGTGCGTAATGAACGTTCATTGGATGCTCTTTAATCACTCATTGTCCAATCAGTGAATAACACCGATGCACTCAGCCCACTGCAGTCTATACCGAGAAGAGATTAGTCCTTACAGGGTTGTGTAGACTATGATAGCAGCTATGATGGTTCGTTGATAATATTGCTAGTGCCACTCAATTTTTGAAGCTCTCTATCTTATTAAAAAGATAATTTAGGGCAAATTGGTGCGGAAAGAACGAAAACCCCTATTCGTTTTGTATATTACTTTTTTCTTTCTTCTAATGTAGAGCGGCTCGAGCTGAAACACGATATTATACAATATGAAACTCTATACTGGCAAATCAAGTTAATTCCCGCTACCTTATTCCCAGCTCTCTCATGGTAGATTAGTAGGTAGACTAGAAGTGGACTAAATTTCGTAGGTAAGAGATACATAGTGTAAATTAAAAGGATGTGGCGGTGCATGTTAAAAAAACTAAGGATTCTCTAACGAAAGTAGTCAATGCCGTTTCAGAAACACTTCGAAATAGCATTTCTTGTGTATTGGACACGATGTCAGACTTTTTGTACCTATCAAGGTTATATGCTGACCTTGTTAAGTGAAGGCGTGTATAGTACTCAGAACTAAAATTCCTATAGGAAGTATTCCACATGAGAACCAAACCTCTACAAATTTACTCTTTATATACATCACTGACGGTTTCCATGACCGGTGCAGTTTCAGCTTCAGTGAGACTGAAAGTCCCAACATGGTTGTTGCCAAAATCATTCTTCAGAAGTATCTGAGTTTCCCTCGCTGGACCGACGATAACCTCGCATTTTCCGAGCTTTCCATGGACGCGCCCGTGTCTACCAATGATACAGAGGTTCATTCGTAGTAATTTAGATGCCTGCCTTGACAGTCGCACCTGTCTACTATTTCCATAAAGGCAGCCAACTACAGTGGAGATTTACCAAGATCAACTAAGGCCGCAAGCCTGCCTAACATCTCAGGGCTCTTGCTTCCAGTATTTCATGTTCCCTGGCAGACGAAAACGTGGGGTCAACTTCCTTGACTTCTCACGCCTAAACAGAAATATTTCCTTCTCGTTCATCTTGGCATCTGTGGATGACCTGCACTATCACACCTCGTTGGCCTAGGGGGCAGACAGTGCTCAAATCATCATTCTACAACTTGAGTGAATAAATCACCAAGATAGAGCCTGTGTATACCTAAGTAGTCACATGTACCCGTGGACTCCAGGGCTACCTATAGGTAGGTACTTCATACATTCGATGTTCCCTAATCATCCTTATCGCTATCGCTATCGGTTTATCGCTTATCGGCCCCAGTGTTATCGGCCACTTTTTCTTCCGCAAACAATCATCAGACGCGTCTTGGGACGCTTGGTATTTTGTTTACTTGAATTTATTTTTTTTGAAGCTCTTGAATCAGGACTTTCACCATGGCCGGTCTTCTCCGCCTCCTCAAGATGCAGTATACTCCTCCTGTGGATCCCAAAAGTGTGTCCTTCGCTGGCAAGATCGTCATTTTGACAGGTGCCACCTCTGGTCTTGGCTTCGAAGCTGCCATCAAAATGCTGAATCTTGGTGTCGAGTCTCTAATCATCGGATCTCGGAGCCTAGAAAAAGGCAATCAGGCCAAGGCTGACCTCGAAAAGGCCACTAACCGACGAAACGTGGTCAAAGTGTGGCAGCTCGAGATGAGCAGCTTCCAGAGCGTCAAAGGATTTGCTGAACGTGTCAATCGCGAGCTTGACCGGGTCGACATCGCTTTACTTAATGCTGGTCTTTGGAATCGAGATTACTATCAATCCCCAGAGGGCTGGGAAGAGAGTCTACAAGTTAACACACTATCAACCTCGATGCTGGCCTTACTTCTACTTCCCAAGCTGAAGAAAAGCTCATATGCCGAAAATCCTGCCCACCTCACCGTTGTTTCAAGCCAACAATTCGTTCGCGTTAAAGCTGAAAGCGTCCGGACCGATGACTCGCTTCTCGCCCACGTGAATGACCCGGCCAACTTCAAGGGTCCCAAGCAATACGGCATTTCAAAGCTTCTGCTTGAATTTATGATCAAGAATATTGCCAATATGGTGCGCGACGACGACGGGACTCATACACTCATTGTTAATACCGTCAGTCCCGGGCTGTGCGTTTCGGCTTTGGGTCGCCAGTACACTCATTGGTGGGAGAAATGCTTCGTTTGGGTTATGCACAGATTGTTTGCGCGGACTACAGAGCAGGGAAGCCGCTCGCTGGTTAGCGCGACAATACAGGGGGTTGAATCGCAGGGAAAATGCTGGCGCAGTGAGGGATATCTTGAGTAAGACAATCTTCCACCATATTTCAGTGTCACCATTGCTAATCCTTTTACAGTGAGTCAGCTGCATTGACTACTGGTCCAGAGAGTGAAGAGCTCCAGGCAAAGGCATGGGAGGAGATTATTGCCGTGCTAGGAAAAGAAGCGCCGGAGGTGTCCCTCATCTCTCGTGGCTTATACCAAGGCGTTTAGTTGTTACGATTCCGACGAGTCAACAAGTCTCGCCAAAAAAGTGGTTTGTAAGTGCGCCTAGCGTATCTTTGCAGAATATCATGCGTTCTTGCCTCTTTGAGATACCCCTGTCAATACCAATGTGTCATTTCTGAAATCCTTGACTTTTACTTTTGATTTTTACAATACACAACACATATTGCACCCTCACAGTCGTTGTCAGATGTAGGTAGTAATGGCCCACTCACTCCAAACTCATGATGTGTATAATGTAGATAGCCTTCCCCGATGGTTATACGATTACCGTGAGGTCCGGATTACACATGTAATCAGTATGATCTTGGGCAAAGCGGTCTCTTGATCCTCGTACGCGGAGTAAAATTCGACAAGAAATTGGGTAACTTGGATACCGAATGACAGCACAGAGATCGGATCAGCATGAAGGAGAGCCTTTAAACTTGAATAGATACAGCAATTGAAGGTTTGTAGTTGTTCAGTGAAGGCAGCAAAGTGGTAGTAATGGAGCGGGCGCCCAACGAGAGTTGGGCACGGGTTTAGCGCAAGATGTTAGCGCAGTATAAGCCCCCTAAGCTATTAAACAGGAACCTTGGTTTTTGCTGTGGCCTAGCGGTAATCTATTGTATTTGCACTTTGACACAAGACTGTAGCCTCCACTTACTACATATTCTCTATGGCTCTTTCGCCTCAAACTACTCCATAGGGGGTCATCGATACCTTAAGGGGCAGAATCCACTTGAACGTATTCGTATTAATTCCACGCTAGAACTGGAGCATGAGTAGGCGCTAATTCGTTTTATTAATAGCTTGAATATAGGTATCCTAGAAGTAGTGGTGATACTATCCCTAGAGATATCGATAGGTATACCCATAGATAGATAGATATATGTATGTATACAAGTTGAACATTCCTACTCCCTTTTTTTGCGTTCTAAAGGGCGTCAACTATACCAAGTCACACACATCGTCATCCCCCCGACTTTATCACTTGGCGCGCTAAAAATCGATACCCCACGGCTCCGCTTTGAATCTGCCTCTCCTTTTATTCTGCTTATATCTTGCTCTTTACCAGAGTCCGTGTCGCATTTTTCTCGATTGCGTCTCCAGGACTTCAACCATGGCTTACAACAAATCCTACAATCCCGATGCGCTGCCAGCGTAAGTGCATAGTCAATCTAGAAGGATACACACTAACATGGGAAATACAGTCACGCCGAGCCAGAACAGGTACAACATCCACCACACGACTCATCTTTCTTCTCGTCTTCATTTCGTTAACAGAGTCAATTAGGTCGCGCAGATGTTAGGCAACATGAATGTATCAGGCCAAAGCCACACGCCAAGCCACACCTCGAGCCTCAATCAAAAACCGCTTCCTTCTCGCCCACCACCGCAAACAACGCACAGCGGTGTTCCTCCCCGTGTTCCTGTATCCAGCGCTCCCCCGCAACACGCATACGTCGCAGCACCGCCACGTCTCGACCCCCAACCCCATCACTCCCACTCCTACAGCGGCCGTCCCGCTCCAGCAAACGCGCCTCCACCAAGCCAACTCCCCAGCCAGTCTCAGTCTCGTCCTCACCCCCTGCACCCTTCCCCGCCACCCCAGAACTATGGGTTTGGCCCCCCCGCCAGTGCAGCCGCAGCGCAGCCGACCCCCGTCCTCATCGCGCCCTCCCCAATCCCCCGTCCCACCACCATTGACAGCACCCAGCAATGACCCGCAACAACTCTTTCCCCTTTTCCGCGCCGCGAACGCCTCCAACTCCGGCACCCTCACGGAAGGGGAGCTCGGCAGTGCGCTCGTGAACGGCGACTATACATCCTTCCACCCGCGGACGGTCAGGCTCATGATTCGGATGTTTGACCGTGACGGCAGCGGGACAATCAACTTCGATGAGTTTGTTTCGTTGTGGCGGTATCTAGCTGCGTGGAGAGAGCTGTTTGATCGCTTTGACGAGGACCGTAGTGGACGTGTCAGTCAGCCGGAGTTTGAGAAGGCGCTTGTCGCGTTCGGATACCGTCTTAGTGGGAAGTTCATTTCTGTGATCTTTGGCGTTTTCGAAGGCAAGGGCAAGCAGATGAGCAATGCGCCTAAGGATCCTAGGTCTCCTGGTATGAGCTTTGATCTTTTTGTCCAGGCTTGTATTAGTCTGAAGCGCATGACCGATGTCTTTAAGCGGTATGATGAGGATCGGGATGGGTACATTACTCTGAGCTTTGAAGAGGCTTTGACTGGTAAGACTTTTTTTTGTTGTGTGATCGTAGGAATTCGTTGGCTAACTGGACTTTGTCTTACAGAGATTCTTCTATTGCAGGAGTAAATTATCCTGCTACATTACCATACGTATTATTCCGCTCCATTTTCTTCCTGTTACGATGTTCTATCCACGCTCTTGCTATCTTCATTATACCCCCAATCCCCCATTTGCTTTTGTCATAGAATTGCCAGGGATCAACACTGGTCATCGCATGTTCATCGAGGAGTTTTTTGAGTCAGGAATATGCTTGGGATATGAATGCATTGGAATTCCCAAAGTATTGGCCATCTTCAAGACATACACTGTCGAAGTAAAGTATTGTGGACAAGAAGCAAGCCATAGTAAACTTTACATGGTCAGAGATATTCTTATACTATAGCAGAATCAATGGTTGCATTAAGTAGACTAATTGGCTCAATCACTATCATCAGTTTCCCATGAATCATCACCACTATCCTCATCTTGATGAAGATGCGCAAATTCAGGGTCCATCAAAGCCCGCTGCATAAGCAATTCAAGAAGCTGTGGTGGGATTGAACCCATGCCAGGATCAGCCCCTGGGGGATTCTCTTCGAAATCCGGTTCTTCGAAATCTTCCTCAAAACCGAGATCTTCATCATAATCATCAAGATCACCGTAATCATCGAAATCAGGTAATTCATACGGCAAAATCTGGAAATTCACTTTGGTTCCTTTGAACATATCCCGAAGAGCAAGGAAACATTGCTCTGGTGTTTTTCCCTTCTGGAACACGTTGTCCAGGAAGCTTAATGGGCTGGGTGATATCGATTGCAAATACCTTGAAGTTAGTCAACTTCGGATAGAGACCATTTTTACAATCTGTCGCGACATTCTGAGCCAACTCCCGGATAGATGAGTTGCAGTCGGTGACATGGAGTGTCTCTAACGAGCTGGGGAATTCAGGGTGTGGTGGGAGAGAAGCTTGTGGGATGAGGATGGTCTGAAGCACGGAAAACTCGCGGAATGAGCCAACCTTGACTTGGCTAGGAGCGTTTTCCTCGGGACTATCAGCGTCCCATACTGCCATTGAGAACTCGAGGTGGAAGAGCTCAAGGGTGTCCTTGTGTACGAGGAGGGCTTCTTGGGCCTGTTTAGCATTAAACTCGGGCTCGGTGCCTGCATGGAGGATCCGTCGGTCGTTAGGATCCAAGCTGAAATTGTTGTAAGTAAATGTCTTCAGCTTCTTGCAGGCTTGTGTGAGCTTTTTGATGGCGCCAGCATCGATGTGGCAGTGGTGGAAGGACAGTTCTTTCGTCTCCAATGTTCCAGGTAGCCAGGTAGACGGGAATGATGCGTCGAAGAGATCGCCGTACTCGAAGGTCGAAAATATGACTTTGGGAAGGGTGAGGAATTTCTCGTAGAAAGCAATGTCGAAGCCAGAATGCTCGTCATCGCTTTCAATCCAGATGGACTCGAGGTTGGACAAGAACTCCGGGTTTCGGCGGAAAAGCTCGATGAATGGTTGCGTCCAGAAATAACGTACTGGCAGATGTAGTCCACGAAGATTGGGGGCCTTGTTGGCTAATAATGCAGCAAAAACTCCCAGGTCGGATTTCTCCATGGCGGAAATCCAGGCTGCCTCTTCTTGATCGGCTAATTTAAGTTCCCTAATTATGCTTTTAAAGAACTCGGGGTCCTCTGTGGGCAGAAGTTCCCGACCTCCCGGGTTGAATGGGAGAGGGAGGATGGAGATTTGATGCACATGCTTTTCAAGGTCTGGACGTTGATATATTGTTTTGGTGAAAGAGATGGTTGGGTTTGGATCGTCTCCAGCCAAACCATCATCGAAGAGATCACGGAAGAGTAAAGGTTGAGCCACCTCACGGAACTTCCGCGAAACTAAGCAAGCATTGCGTAGAGTGTCATAACCATCGGGCTTATCATCGTCATATTCGTCATCCAACTCGTTCGCTTTGTCGTCCCTATCATTCGTGCTGGGATCTCTGCTCAGTAGGTCGGAATCATCTGGGCAGACAAAAACAGACAAAATGAGATGTAGGAGCTCTATGGGAAGGCCCTGGATGTCTACCATGATTGAAGAGCTCACTGGAGGTGAATTGAGTGCTAGACCTAAGTTAGGGTTGAAGGTGGGGAAGCCAGTGAAATTATCTTCACGCGTTCTGGCGCGTGAAGACCTATCATATTATCCTAGAACGGTAGTTAGGGCTAATGAGTTAGGGCTTTGGTCCACATGCACCTCGTGCTATTCTTATTAGGTCTAGCGTCATATGCCACGTTTCCCCCGCATACATTGATAGCTGCCCTCTGTAGATATAGACGACCTTGGCCAGACCAGTAATCATAGTCTTCTGATCTAACGAGTACATCAACTTTAAAGTACCTGTATAATAATGGTAGAGTATCCGTATAAAGGTAATCCCCCATCTTCCTATTCCCTATATGAATGCTAAAAAATCCAGATCTAAGAGCAGGGACAGGATATTCAAATCACCTGATGCAACGATGTACAATTTAGGTCACCGTGAACCCGCAAAAGGAATAGTCATCATTCAGTCATAGAAAGAGCGACCCAGGTAGGTCTCTGCATAAAGTCGGTCCATCTTCCAACATCAACTGGTCAAATCTCCTCCACCTCTCGACACACTCCTCCGCACGTCAAAACGCTCCCCTACGTTCCGGACGTGCTTTATAAATATCGAAAAGTGCCTAACGCTGACATTTGATTGGTCATCGCCTTCCTGAAACCTCCTAGAATGAGGCCTGGAAATGTCACTGTCAATGACACGACCAAGCAGGTCCCAAGTAATCCGACCCATCACTAGCAATCATAATGGATTGACCAAAGGGGATTTCGTTTACGCTTCCCTGAGTCCTTTTTTCCCCCACAAATTCCAGCTGTCGGCGAGAAACTCGGAAAAGCTCATATACTCCGAGTCATCCTTCATGGTCTCGTCGCTGCACTTCTTCCTCTCTTTCAAAGCGTAGCGCCCGCTTAATTTGATTGCTATCGTCCGAGTGTTATTCTCTGTTCTTTATACAAGGAACACACTCATCAGCAAAACATCACCGAGAGAATTTGCACCTAAGGTGCATGTTTGTGCCATAATTATTGCCATACTCGTCTGCAAAAGTGTAGGTACTGAGGTCATATGCCTCCGTATCCTTCAGAATCGAGGTCACCATTTTCAACCCCATACCTCCTACGCTATCGAAGTCAATCCAAATCCTCTCGCTATGGCCACGAGTCTGATGGATCAAACATTATCCCTCAATCCTCAACAACTCGCATTGCTTCTTGCCATAACAGTCACATCGTCAAGTGCAACATCTGCAATGACTCTCATGTTTGAATTGTCAACCATGGGGGTCAACCATGGGTCCTACGGTAGGTGATACCGATATTATTGCGTTGTGTGGACGTGATGCGAAATGGCCGCTGGGGTTCAACTCGGACGGCGAAATTTACTCTGAATGACGGCCAATTGGTCACCCAGTGATCATGTGGGAGAAGACCCTCCATCTGTCGCCGTCTCTTTGGATTACCATGCCATGCCCGGTCCGACACTCCAGTCCTCATTCTGGCTCTTTGACGGAAATGCCAAGCCCAAATGTCGACACATGACGGATATCACTCTGGGATGATTATGACCTTGAGCTTGAACAATCAAAGGGATCCCCTCAGAAACTCACGAGACAACGGCTATCATCTCATGAAGACCAAGAGATACGTGTCTCGGAGAAGCCTACAAATACCTACAATGGAACTAAATTTCGAATGAAAAATATATCATAATTTACCAGAAGAATTTCCGTGTATTTGTATGTAAGATACGTAGAGAATCAGAATGATCTCAGTTTCAAGTACTTAAAATAACGAAATGCATGTTGACGTCGTCATACTTCAAATGATATGTGATTTGTAGCTTCCCCAACGTCATATTCATCCTGCAGTGCTCAGTCTTCAGCTTTGGCGAAGGCGAAATGCTCGCAGTTGACAAAAGTAGGTCCGTCCGTGCACCTAGGTAGAAACATAGTCCGTATGCAACTCGGACATTCCCTTTTAAGAAAGATTCGTATTAACTCCGGTCCAAGCTGATCAGATTGATTTCCAACGGTCATTTTCGGGCATTTATGCGTAAGCCGCAATTTTGGAATTTTTTTTTGGATTTTGATGCTTTTTTCACTGCGAGTTAGTCCGTAGTCTTGGGGAAGATATTCTCGAATTGTAAGTATATCATAAAATGATGCAGTATATTGTATATCAAAAATATATATAAAGAACAAGACAAGCCTTGCATGGCGGACTCGGTGCTTATCCAAGGCCCGACCCCGACGATCCACTCCAGGGGATCCAAATCAATTCGGCCTCGCTTTTCTTCTCTAAACCCCGAAAATACGAAATCCGAATTGCTGGACCCCCTTTAAATAGATGTCTCTGTCCTCTTAGCAAAAAATTAACTCCGATCGCGATCGATCGGAAAACTTTTGTTACGTTTGTTTGCCTCCGGGGCTTTGTCTCCGATCTCTTTCTAGTGCATTTTTCTTCCCTTCTATTTTCCCTACAACCTAGGCATCATGACGAGTGAGCGCCATCAACCAGACGCCTCGAGCAGTAATACAGATCTCGATCAATCCAACGCGGAGAAACCCCTTGACACACGCGCCGAAGAGGACACGGTCGTCGACCAACCCAACGATGCGGAGAAAGTGACGGAAAAAACAGAGGGTGCGCCTCTAGATCGCGCAACCTCACAGGCAGCAAAGATGGGCAAGAATAAGATCATAGTCGTGATGACGGCGCTTTGTGTAAGACAATCTCTGCCCATGAGCGGGCAGAAAGGCTCGGGAAATACAGGCAGCTAATTCGGTGTGACTTGCAGCTGGCGCTATTCTTGGCGGCTTTGGACATGGTATGTCTCTCTTTTTTTTATGCATTCGCTTGCTTCCGGCCTTTTTTTTTAACGTTCATCTTGCAGACGATTATTTCCACGGCCCTTCCCACTATCGCTGCGCAATTCGGTGGCTCCGAGAGCGGTTTCTCATGGATCGCATCGTCATATCTTCTCGCAAATGCCGCCTGTATCCCCCTGTGGGGCAAGATCAGTGATATCTGGGGGAGGAAGTCTATCATTGTCTTGGCAAATGTTATCTTCCTGGTTGGCAGTTTGATCTGTGCCTTGGCGCATAATATGGCCACGATCATCGCTGGTCGAGCGGTGCAGGGTGTCGGTGGTGGTGGTATCATCATCCTGGCGAATATCAGTGTCTCGGATCTCTTCAGCTTGAGGTATGATGTCGTCTAGATCTGGGGATGGAATGAAGCTAACTTCTTTGCAGAGATCGTCCGATGTACTATGGTCTTTTCGGTGCAGTCTGGGCTGTCGCAGGCGCTCTTGGCCCTGTCATCGGCGGAGCTTTCACTACAAGTGTGTCTTGGCGCTGGTGTTTCTGGCTCAACCTACCTGTTGGAGGTGTTTCGCTAGGTATTCTTATCATCTTCCTTCGCATCGAATCGCCCAAGACTCCATTCTGGGCTGGTGTGCGCTGCATTGATTGGGCAGGAACATTATTGATCATCGGTGGAACCCTGATGTTCCTCTTCGGGCTGGAGTTCGGTGGTGTCAACTATCCCTGGGCCTCACCTACTGTCATCTGCCTAATTGTCTTTGGCGTGCTCACTTGGGCTCTGGCGATGATCATGGAATGGAAGGTTGCCAAATTCCCGATTATTCCCCCACGGCTGTTTAACGAGTGGTACAACGTTCTAATCCTGCTTATCTGTTTCTGCCACGGTGCCACCTTCATCGCTGCTACCTACTATCTGCCGCTTTACTTCCAAACAGTCCTCCAGTCAACCCCCATCATGAGTGGTGTGTATGTCTTACCTCTGGTTCTGTCTCTTGCAGTGGGCTCCGCGGGTACGGGTGTCTTTATGAAGAAGACTGGTCGTTACCGCGAGCTGATCATCGGTGGCATGTCTTTCATGGCCCTTGGATTCGGTCTTTTCATCGATCTCAAGCCCTATGCTTCATGGCCCCGTATCATCATCTTCCAGTTAATCGCTGGTATCGGTATTGGTCCCAACTTCCAGGCACCATTGGTCGCTTTCCAAGCCAACATCCGTCCCTCCGACATGGCCACAGCAACAGCCACTTTCGGCTTTGTCCGTCAACTTTCCACTTCGATGTCTGTCGTCCTGGGTACTGTCATTTACCAAAACATCATGAGCAAACAATCAGCCAAGATAATCGCCGCAGTAGGCCCTAAGACCGCTGCAATTGTTTCTTCTTCCTTCGGCGGCGCCTCCAAGTCTCTCGTCCAGAGTCTTAGTCCCTCCCAGCGCGAGGTCATCCTGGGCACCTATACACATTCGCTGAACCGCATGTGGATCTTCTATACTTGCATGGCCTGTACTGGCTTGATTCTTGCTTTGCTTATTCGTCCTCGTGAGCTGACTCGTCACCATACCGTCCAGAAGACGGGTCTTGCTGAGCAAGAGCGTGCCCGTCAGGAACGTATTGACTCTGAGCGCAAGGCCGAGTCGAAGCCTGAAATCGAGGTTTAATATATCCCCGCTGGATACCTTGTTTATTTCTCTACTCTTTGGTTCTTAGCACATATTTTTCTTAAAAAGTTAATGCATATTGTTTAATCGGGTCTTGCCATTGCAGCCCAAAACCATTTCACTTGGCTTCTCCTGGCGTTATACCTTTTGCCGTTTACAAATGAGTTATGATGCATGTTGAGCCTTTGTCCATAGTAACTAAATCTAATTGCAAAAATTGCATAGACTTCTATGCAAAGTTTGATCCCTGCCTTCTTTATCTAGCTCCCTTTGTCCCTGTACTCAACTGTATAAGTACATGTCAACATCTCCAAAGCTTTGATTTATGGGAAAGATCACATGTTGTAGTATATCGCCTTCATCCCTCTCACAGCTTGCTCTCAACACAATATATAGCACTGCTATATGACACCAATCCAGACCTCATTTGAAGCGTCGGTATTGAGATCTTCATATCTCCCTCGTCCAGTGCCATGCATCGTCATAAAAGTGCCTCTGCCGGTCTA